ATGAATACCTTTGTAAGTTTTAACAAACATTTTTTAAACCATCTACACCAAACAAAAATTTTATCATCATGATAGCACTTAAAGACTTTTGATTCTATGGTTGCTAGCTTTTTATGATAAAAATAAATGTAAGCATACCAAGTGAGCTGATGATTAAAAAAGGAAATGAAAAACTTGAACAGTCAAACAAGCTGATTATCAAAAGTCTTTTTAGGTTTTTAGCTTGAGTTGGAAACCAGATGGAACAAGACTAGCCACTGTGTCAAGAGACAACAAGATCAGAATATTTGACCCAAGATCTCAAGTTTCGCCTCTACAGGTATTATTCATTTAAAATATTATCTGGGTGCAAGGAGATTTGTCTGGACAATCTTCCACCAGAGAGAGCCTCAACTAGTGTATTTTGTAATTTAAAATTGAGCATGAGCTCTGTGAGAGGAGTGCTGGCTCAGTGGATAGTATGTTGCAGACAGGTTTGATGCTGGACTGAGCAGTGGTGTTGTCTCCTTGAGCAAGAAAGTTTACTGTAACCATGCCCCTTTCCACTCAGGAGTGTAATTGGATACCTGCAAACTGTCATGGAAACCTGAGGAAATGTTGGGGCTACCTTTGCTGGATTAGTATTGCTTCCATGTAGAGAAGCATCTCCCCCAGTGGCCTCATGCTACAGAAAGCAGAGATAATCAATGGCAGTTGTGTTCAATTGTTTTCCCTCACCTCCATAAGCACATCAACAATGTTCTTGGTCACACCCTAGGGGAGTTGTTCAGCTGGTGTACCTTCATGTAGTCTGAGTCCAGCACTGTTGATTTTTTTTGTAGATATTGTTATTTATAGTGCAGCCTATATTTGATCAAAGAGTTAATTTCTTTTTTTAGACAGGAACAGGACCTGAAGGGAGCCGTGGAGCTCGTGTCTTCTGGGGAGGTCCAAGTGGGGACTGGTTAGTGACCACAGGATTTGGCAAGTAAGTTGACATATATACCTCACCTTAAAGACAGAAAGCTATTTGCTGTCCACCAGAATTGTATGTCAAGGAGTAACTCATTAAAGACACTGAATAAACATGATTTTCATTTTTTACATTATGCTATTACTTGCCATTCTCAATTCAATTTCCAGTAAAGACCACTTGGATGGATATTTTCACCTTTTATAGAAAAAAAGTGTGGCTATTTTGACTTATGTACTTGGCATTTTTGCCTAATATTCTTTTCTTGTACTTAAATTTGTTTGGAGGTTTTTTTTGTTTGTTACATATATCAGGGCATGAAATTGCACCTAATACAGGTGCCAATGCGACTAAATTTTATCACTTTGGCGACCAAATCCTGAAAATTAGTTGCCAAATTGGCGACTAGAATGTTTAATCATAATCTTACCTAGAGATATAGTGAATTAAAAAGATTTGCAAAGATAAATCCGCAGTGAACTTCCTCTTTAAGTTTGTTTTCAAATCACAATACATGCATCTTGATCAATAACTAGACACCATCTTGGATTTAGGTGAGCTTGAACGTTGCATATCATCCATCCTAGTGTCCACTTTGTAGCACATTAAAGATCTTTTCCCTAACTTAATTTCTAGAACAATGACAGCAGAAAAAAAGGTTTTGTTTGTCTTTGAAAATGGCAACCAACTTTTTTTGAATTGGCTACCACTTTGAAGTATTAAGGAGCCAAGTGGATATCAGAAGAAAAAAATTAATATCACACCTGTGTATATATATTTCAATATGCAGTTTTTAACTTTTTTCAGGTTTAGCTGTTCAGGGGTAATGTGAATTTTCTTCTTTTTCTCTGCATTAGATCAAGCATAAGAATCATTAGTGTTTATGACAGTTGTGATCTGTCTAAAGTTTTATCATCAGTGGAGGTGGATGCGGCACCCGCTACCCTGATACCTTTCTATGATGAAGACTCCTCTGTCATGTTTCTATCTGCTAAGGTATATGTATATAATATTATATAAATATGCTGTGTTAAAAATGTCAGCAGTGACAAGGACCAAGCACTTCCAATAAACAATCTGTATTGGCACTTTCATTTCTATAATTATGAAACTCCATGAGGAAGGTTGTTGTGAATAAGTTGAGATGTGGTGCAAGGAAATTTGTACATATCAGTCAGATAAATAGGTTTGTGCATGTCAGCCATATCCTGTTAAGCAGACTATTTGAGTTTATGGTATGGAACTGTGTAGGAAAATAAATTTTGGTATATTTGATCTCCAACAAGATAAATGGGCTGAACTAGCAACAAATGCCTTACCTTGTGAAGTAACTTTTCAGGGTGAAACTACAATATTTGCTTATGAAGTCAGTGAAGAGCCACCTCACTTGAATGAATTGTCACACTACGGGACAAAGAACCCTTACCAGGTGATGAATTTCTGTATATACTGTAACAGTGAATAAGTAACACATGTAGACACCACATACTCATTAATATCATCAATAACTTAATATTTTATTCTTAAAATAATATTTTTACTTTTGCATTTAGATTGGTTTTTGATTGGTTAAAAAAGTTTTTTAGTACCATTTAAACTCTTGAAAACCATTAACCCTCTGCTCCCAAGGAGTAACTAGCATCTGATAATTTACTCCTTAAAATATCACTCTTGAATCAAACATTAAGGTCACAAAAATAAAGGAAAGGATCACTAACTAAAGAGGCTCCTGATTGTTATACAAATTCTACTTGTCAACACCTAAGGAAATATACAGAGAACAGTTTGGAGAATATGCATACTGATGTTGGGGTGTAAGAGGTTAACAAGTTATCAGTAAGCACAGATACTTTGACACTATGTCAATTTATGAAATTATACTTATTTTAAGCAATAGTCTTCAGTTATTGTTTGATAACTTTCATGATTTTAATCAATAGAATCTGAATTCCAACAGGCAGTGGCCTTTCTACCTAAGACTGTTTGTGACATAAAACAAGTGGAGTTTGCCAGAGCTGTTAAGTTGAACAAGACGTCAATTGACTTAATTACATTCCAGGTTCCTCGAGTGAAGGCTAGTGCATTCTCTTGCTATATTAACAATATGTAAATGTTTGTTCTAAGTGGAGGGAAATTTTAGTGATTAGAACAGTAACATCTCTAGCAGTTAATTTAGAGGAGCAGGTGTTAGTAGTGATTTAATTTTCCTTTTCATTATCAGATGGAATACTTTCAAGATGACCTTTTCCCAGACACCAGAGTATGGTGGGAGCCTTCAGTGACTAGTGATAAGTGGTTCACTGGTGAAGATAAAACACAGAGAACAATGTCACTAAGACCAGATGGCATGAAAGCATGTGTGTAAAGAATCAATAAGTGTAGTTACCATGCATTATTATTGTTTACTACAGGTCAGAATATGATTTACTTCATTCATTTGAGATCAAATTTACTAATGGAGAACCAACCCTAAGCAAAATTTGCCTTCCTCCAACATGTAGCATTATAGTGCTGTTGGCAGTAATGTCCAACTAAGTAAGTCATCCAGAGGGAAATCATAGAGAAGTGCATTCCATATCAAACAAATTACACTTAAGGGTAACCTCTTTTTCATGTCAAAAAAGTGATTAATTTAGTTTCTAGAAAATAGGGAACCTAGTCATCAATTTTTTTTCTTTTGTTTTGCCTGTGCTTGTTGGCAAGGATTTTTTTTCTTCTCTTTACAGACCACTGCTCTTCATAACCTTAATTCATTAGTTATTGGCTGAACATTATTATTTTAATACAAGGTTGTTGTTCTCTCTCCTTATCTGTGGCAGTGAGTGAAGCACCCAAACCAGCCCCTATTGCCAGGAAGTACGACAGTAGACATGAGCTGGAGGAGGTGAAGTCCGTCGAACAGCAGAAAGAAGAAGTAAGTAAAACAAACTGTTCACTAAAAAAAGAAAGATTGCTAAAATAAATGAAAGTGTCTCTTATTTCTTCAGTTCTTTAAAGTTATTTTTTAATAGATTGAAAATTAAATTGGTTTTATATATTTATTTTCAGCTTTTGAACTCTATGGTTGACAAATTAAGAAATTACGATGATGATCCTTTGCCTCAGGATCTTCAAGAAGGAGTGGATGATGATGAATGGGTAGGAGAGAAATATAGTCACCTCAAGTTCTTACAAAAATCAAGATATACTGTTTCAACCCTTATCTTACATCATTCTCTCTGTTTTCATTCTAGGATGACTGACTCTCATCAATAATTCATGTCTGCCTCAGTTGTTTGACTGTTATTAATCATAATAACACACACTGCAATATCTTTGAATTTCACTCAATACTTCAAGTCAATTGTACATAAAAAAATTTTAACCATACAAATTTAAAATTGAAATTCTCTCATGTATGATTACAGTATAATTGCATTTTGTGGAGATATTTGTGGGAAATAATTTTTTGCGAGACTTTGTCATCCACAGTTGAAATATAAATGTTTTCTTAGTGAGGTTTTTTACTGTTCCATGTGCGTACAAGGGCTAACTAATGTTTAAATAATAAAGACAATATTGTTTATGAATTCTTGTTTATTTATTTCTATTTACTTGTTAACCTTATTGTAAGTGATCCTGATTCTTAGCATAGTATTACCCTCTCCTTTAGTGCCCAGACTCCTAACCATCTGCACATCACACACATTTCTCCTGGTTTCTTCAATGCCTCAGAAGGAATTAATTTTTTTTTTGTCTCTTAAGTGTCACTGATGCTGCAAATGACAATTGCCAGAGACTTTTCATGCATAATGTAAGGTCCTGGGCATTGGTCAGGTCACAACTTCTTGAAATAAGAAAAGCAGGACTATACTACACATTTTAAAAAAAACTGAATACAAAAAATGAAACTATTGAACCCAAGCACATTAGTCAAAGAGAATATTAACTAGACAGAAATTTAAAAGTTTTTTGGTGTTTATCAAGTACATTTACTTACAAGAATTATATGTTCAAGCATTGTTGTATTCCTCTGTATTTCAATAAATACTGAGAGAGTCTTTAAATGTGGGTAAAATGTATTTTATTCAGGTTATTTTTAAGTCTAAATACAGTGTCATCTCCTATGTTATGAGCCTGCTTCCCACTCTGTCTCTTGGAATAATTCTCAGGTCTGATCCATGTTTTAAAAACACATTTCCTATGAAACAACGACAGGTTGGAAGCATGTTATAATTGTGCAAATTGTCCTTCACTAAGCTATTTTCAGTATTACCACAGTACACAGTAAGTAAATAAGCAATGTAACTAGGTGTAGGTCTAAATCTAAAACATGTCTCAAGAAAAATTCCTGTTGTGAATTTACTATGAAAAGAAGCCAACTCTTAGAATGGTCAACAACCTCCCACCCAACAACTACTTGGATTACAGTATGCTTCAACACAACTTTGCATTTTTCTTGCCTCAACATGATCACAGGTTCATTTTAGACCAACTACTGAGTGGAGGGTAGGGGGGAGAGGAGAGGAGGCAGCGGTTAGTGTGAAGGTTAACAGAAAACATATTCACTTAGCAAACTGAGGTGGAAAGTGATATGTACTGTTACCTAATGACTGAAAGTGAGGGCCAAACAGGACAATTTTTGGCTCAAGTTTTGTGCATCATTTTCCCCCTATCTCTATCTTTTTATTTTATCCTACAGCTGACAGGTAATGCAGCTTTCAATCTATTGTCTGGGATCACCTAGAAATAAGGGGGTGGGGAGAGAAGGCAGATATGTTTGGATGAGGAAACATTCAGGTGAATTTACAAGATATACATGATAGGGTATTCACCTGCACTTTGTGATGGATTTATGCCAATGCCATCTAGAAAAGGAAAAGGTTTGATGAGTTATTAGATGCCTTGCACATTTTCCCTAAACCATCCATTACATCATTGAGAGAAAGCTAATTATGTAGAATAAATTTTTTGAGAAGCTAATTGGTCTAAGACAGGAACATTATCCGATCCAAGCTGACTGAGATGACTTCTGTGTTGCTTGAGCGAACTACTAGTTATTATTGTGCAATTAGCTAAAAGCTGTATCGACGAGGCACTAAATGAACGCTGGCAAGGGACTTTTGGATGTTTGCTTAAAGGCCTATTTACACGGCACGACTTTGTCGCATGCGACAAGCTTACGACAGGCCTACGACATGACTTAAGAGTCGTAAGCGAGTTGTAGGTTTGATTTACACGAAACAATTCGTGTCGTAAGCCTGTCGTAAGCTTGTCGCATGCGACAAAGTCGTACCGTGTAAATAGGCCTTAAGACAGGTTCAGTTGTATTGCGATACTGGAATCACAGTTATGATAACCCACCCACAGTTCTTATCGCCATAGCTGTCTTGCCATGATCACATCATTTTTGCTTGCTGCAGTATCAGTTCCGACTAAGATCACAAAGAAATTGGCAGTGTACTTTAGGGGTTTAAGATCCTGATTAACAGCATTCAACCATATTCACTAGAAACGGTATAGCACTAAGGGAAGACTTTCCTTTTCTTACAGAGGAAATCAAAATAACTCACCGTTTGTAATAATTGCACTGGTAGCAGGAGGAACCTTGAACTTCAAACAAAATACGGAACGAGAACAATAAAGATCAATATTTGTTAACATAGTAGATCAGATCTTTATACAAACAGCTTGTTTCAACTGAAGTTAAATGTTGCATACTGTGTTATGATTTAGTGATTCATCGCAAATCGGTCAGATAACTTACTTCTTCGGCGGCGAATTTTAAGACTGCTGTAAATGGCGTTTCCTCTGGAACACTAAGTCTGTAAATGGAATTTTAACGTCAATTACTGAGCAATATTTAAGGTTTAAACCCCATTTAACAAAAAGTTACTAATACTGGCATGAAAATAAGTTTTCACGTACACTTTGAATGGTAATTTCGGATCAGAAGTTAAAGTAATTTTGAAGGTTACTTTCGACCTAAGAAAAAGATAATAATGTTAGTAACACTAATAATGAAAGGAGAAGAAAAACCGAGAGTAAAAAAATTCTAATAGAGCCGACATTTTTACTAACATTTCGATATGTAACTTGTGTTTCTACGCAAAATTCAAGTGGAGAAAAGATCAGGCGGTCATCGCAGGTGTTCAAAAGAGGAGATCTGGGCTTCAATTAATATTTATTTTGCGTCATTTCCGCTAAAACTGATTTCCGGTTCAAATTTTCGAAGTCCCACTTCGAAACACAAGCGAATTTCTTCGGAAAAAATATTGTAAAAAAATTGAAAGACAAAATCAGGTATATTTTTCACATAATTGAAATTTTTTTGATTTTATACTTTGAAAAAGATGACAGGATCTGAGTGGAGAGTAGGGGGGGGAGACGAGAGGAGGCAGCGGTTAGTGTGAAGGTTGACAGACAACATATTCCGGCTTAGCAAACTGAGGTGGAAAGTAATATGTACTGTTACCTAATGACTGAATGTGAGGGCCAAAACAGGAATATTTTTGGCTCAAGTTCTGTGCAGCATTTTCTTCCTATCTTTATCTTTTTCTTTTATCCTACAACTGGCAGGTAATGCAGCTTTCAATCTATTGTCTGGGATCACCTAGAAATAAGAGGGCAGGAGGTGGGGAGAGGGAAGGCAGATAAGTTCATCCAGATGAATTTACAAGATCTACATGATCTTTTTTGGTGAAGCTTGGTTTGGAATTCAGGGGACTGCTTCGTTCCCAGGACCAAAACCCTCTATCCTCATTCAACTAGGAAATACTTTCGGGGGTGGTTAAGAAAACGACCTGAGCATGAGATTGTGAGAGAATTTGAAGAATGCTCATATCTTACACGTGAGCCAGTTTTGGCTGTAACACTTGAGTGTGGTAAAACACGATTACAGCTGGTTTAAGGGGCACGTCAAATGAGTTATTGGCTCTGGTATGAGTAAAAAGGATCAAAATGCAAATTAAGATTGTGTGAAGATGAGGACCTAAGAACAGACAGAAATAATTGCTTTAGTTTCCATAGCATTAAGCTACAAGACCACATTTTTTTCTGTCTTATTGTTCAGCTCCTCCACCCGGGCTCTCCATACCTTAGAGTCAGTTCAATTTTCTCGTACACTGCTCGGAAGAAGAAGGGATACCTGCATAATCAATTTTTCGGCCATGATTTCGACAAACTGAAGATGATCAACCCCGGCATGAGTGCTGCGTCATACAACCTCTGATACAGAAATTAAAACGTAGACGCTATAAACTTGTTATGCGCCTGAAGAAGAGAAAGAACTTACCACAGAAATGTTAGTGATGAGAAGACTTAATCCTTAAAAAGAATGATATAGTTCTTGATAATATTTATGTGTCATTAAAGTTATTTTTACAGGTACTTGTCTATTTCTGGCGACTTCAATTTGAAACTGAGCCAGCTTGTCCGAAGTTTCCTTCTTTCCTGCATAGTATTTTTAAATCACTTATCTCTGCAAAAAATAGCAACGTTTCATAACACTTACCTATTTCACCGCCAATGTCAAGATCATTAAACCACAACAAACAGGATGAAGCTGAAGGAGGAACTACTAAATGGGACTGGGCTCAGTTCCAAAACCCAAAAATATTCCTGCTTTGGTCATAACTTTGTGGAATGGGGGTGTTTAGGCGCACGGATCAATCCACAGGGGTCCGTTAAAAAGAGTAGGTTATTTCACTTTTATTTAATTGTCCACAAAAGAAGCTGATTAACATGGTCTAACATTTTATTTTTTTATAAAAGGAGAAAAACGTTAATTCAATGCTGACTAATGAAGGACCTCTTATCTTAGTGGTAGTGAAACTTCTCTTCCGTTTTATGCCCTCCTAACGACCTTTCCAGATTTATTCATATTCGAAAAAAGTTACATAGCTAAGATCACGTTATAGCTGAGATCTTTCAAAGCTGTCATTCGTTCCTAAGCCCTCGCAGCCGATCAAAATACTCATCACATATGTTAATGTATTAATTTTTGTAAAACTTCTCCGCTTCTTGTTGCTACGTCGTTGTTTACTTTTAAATATTAGGAATGTTTGTCTTTTTAGCTGTTAGAATTTCCGTCAGCACAAAATGCAATTTTATTTCCATCTGAGTAACATTCATAGTTGTCAAGTTTATGGCAGCACACAGCTGTTAAGTGTAAAGACTTATGTCAACTTTGTACGCAGGGAGAAAGGTAAGCACCTATGGCCCGCTACACATACCATTTGATGTATTTACTTAGTCAGCTTACTAAATCCTGTATCCGCTACTAACGTATGGCCAGTTTAAGCCATTTCTGCTCAGTATTTCATAAAGATTTCATAGGAACCTCTTCGTGCTTTTTCTTGTTGTTGCTTTATTTAGGCATGGAGTCGTTTTGTCGTCACTTATTGAAGATCCAGCCTAACTCGAGGACAAGTCTTTCGGTTTGTTCTTCGTGTCTATCTTTAGCGCATAATATTTTCCCCAGCATTTAAAATATTTTCCTCGCTCCCTCAAGAATCTTTAAAAAACACAGACAAACACTATTAAAAACAACGCCTGTTCCCTTAAAATCTCCCATTAGTACTTAAAAGGATCTTAACAGTTTCTTACCCAAAGAATATGATATAATAGAATTACTAATCCATGAAATCCTTTTTGTTTGCAATCACATTTAGTGCAAATTAGCTGCATTATCCTAACTATTTACTAGAATTCCCCCTCATTACCCTTGCTTCTTTTAATTCCTGTCCCTGTTCTACGTTTTACCAGTCGGACAGTTATAGCCCCTATTCCGAGGGGGGAAAGGGGGGAGGGAGGGGAGTTAAGATCTCAGCGATACCTGACATGATCGATTAGCATATTTCCGTTTGCTTCTCCAAAACCCTCCATATTTATGCTTGTATATTTACACAATTCACTCCCCTCGTTACGCATATATTTTTCTTAAACCATCTGACCTTCCCTTGGTGTTAAATTCTACAAAATCATTGAAATTTGAACCAGCCATTAGTGACCTATTTGTTTTCAGCGAAAGTACAAGTGGTTTGAGCATGCATGACCACAATGCGAAGAATTTGCTAAAAATAGGTTAGATGTTCAACTGGCTGTCCTTTCACACCAAACCTAAAACACAGGAAGCCTCACAGCCACTTAGACGACACCAAATGATGTCACGTGTAGCTATAGATCACGTGATATACGCCTCGGAAAAAAAGAGCTCGCATTGAGCGTGTATATTTTCTTCATGTGCTAAAGTTTAGAGCCGCTGAAAGTTAAGTGCTTTCGCTCAGGAAATCCCTGAATTCCCTTTTGATGTCGAGGAAGAAGAGCATTTGGCGGAAAGGGTAGTGGTTGAGGTCCTGATATGCCGATTGCTCTTAAAATGACTTAGAAGACGCTAAAGAGATGATTTAGTTAGGTGATCAACACCGGGGAAGCCTTGAAAAGCAAGCTGTCTTTCTTTGGATAGTGAAATGGCTGGTGAGGAAAGGTCTGGATACTCTATCAGCACAGATCCAGAGTCCATGAGTGTCGAATTAAAACCGTCATACGCTTCAGTTAAAAAAGAGAGGTCTTTTTCACAGGTCGATACGCGCTCGAAAAAAGGTTGTATTCCCTTGTTTTTTGAGCGAGCTTCTTCTCAATGGTGGAAGCCCTCATTTGATTCGGAAATTTTGGAAGAGGAGTTTCAGCGTTTCACTTCCCACAACCAAAGGCGTCTCGTCCACGCTCTCGTATTTGTATGCCTCGTTTGTGTCACCTGGGGGATATTTTTTGCGGTTCTGCTCAAGAGTGAAGGCTATCAGATCTTAGTAGGAGCTGGGTTTTTTTTGGGGTTAGTGATCTCCTTAATACTGTTTACTAAATTCAGCAGATTGTACAAGAAATGTGCATCGTTTGTTTCGTTGCTCGCGTCTGTTTTACTGATCGCCATGGAACTTTGCCTGTTCGCTTTGCGAGAGAGGGGAACAGCTCTTTCGAACCCGGCTCGATTTTGTATGTGTACATGTGTTATCATGCTGATTTATACCATGATCCATTCGCTTCATTTGTACATCTGCATTGTAATGACGGTGGCTTTTTCTGTCGCTCACGAAGTTCTCTCTGACGTGGTCACCGACGAAAAGGAAAGAGACAGCCAGCCCAAGGAAATCATCTGTCGTTTAATTTTGCACATGTGTATTCATCTGTTTGGAATTCAAATCTTTTTCATGGCCCAAGTACGAGAAAGAAGCACTTTCTGGAAGGTTGGTCAATGTGTTGTTGCTCGTCGCGACTTGGAAATTGAAAAACAGGTGAAAGAACAGATGATCCGATCGGTAATGCCGGATTTAGTGGCCAAAGAGCTGCTTGTGGTCGAAGAAATGGAGGAAGATCCGAAGGACAGTACAAACGGCAAGAAAAGACGACGAAACAAAGGCCAGATGGTCTTCCGACCGTTTCAGATGCATCGCATGGAGAATGTCAGCATTCTTTTCGCCGATATCGTGGGCTTCACCAACATGTCTTCCAATAAGTCTGCTGAGCAATTAGTTAGGCTCTTGAACGATCTCTTTGGGCGCTTTGATCGCCTCACAGATATCAATAACTGCGAGAAAATCAGCACCCTTGGTGATTGTTATTATTGTGTGGCAGGATGCCCTGAAGCGACAGCCCATCATGCATTTAATTGTGTGGAGATGGGACTGGACATGTTGGAACAAATCAAAGAATTTGATGCGGACACCAAGAATGAAGTTGACATGAGGGTGGGCGTTCATACAGGGACTGTTCTATGTGGTATTGTCGGCTCGCTACGCTTTAAATTTGATGTTTGGTCCAATGATGTAAACTTAGCAAACCGCATGGAAACGGCTGGTCTCCCTGGACGTGTACATATCACTGCAACAACACTTAAGTTTCTTGCTGGTCACTATATTGTGGAAGATGGTAATGGCAGTTCACGTTATCATGGCTTGGAAGGTATTAAGACTTACTTCATTGTTGGTCGTAAGAACGGTATGAAGAAACCAATGAATCTGCTTCACCCAAGTGGACGCAAAAAGAAACCAGCAATCCTAAACTCCATCAATGTCAGCATGAATGAGAATGCTTCTCATTACAGCAGTCCACAAGAAAACAAGAAGCATGTCAAGATCTCAGAACAGATTACCTCCTCAGATGTGATGTTTAACTCTGATTCAAACATTTCCAGTCAAGGTGAGTCAAGTTCGGACAATGGTCCTAAAATCCTTAAAGGCAACCTGAAAGTCAAGCCTGGTGTCATTGAAATGGACTATTGCAGTGGAACTTCAATCCGATCTGATGATGATGATGAAGATTCTAATGGAAGAGTGCCAGAGGGTCAATGCTCTCCTCAAGTTTTGGGCTTATCCCTGAATGAAGCTTTAATGAGGGATACTCTGAGAACAAACAATGATCAGCAACTTGTCAAATTGATGAGTCAAGAGAGCACTAGCGATGAGTACTTTCACAGGTCAATGAACCCTTGCACCCTACAGTTTCATGACAGAGAAACTGAGGGACGATATCAGAATGAAGGTCAGGACTGTACGTTGTTGAACCCTTCGGTGACAACGTTTGCATCTCCCAGAGTGAACTTCTTTTTAGATGTGTTGCTTTCCAACATTATTTATCTAGTCATAATGATTTTAGGCTTCACGCTCTACCAACCTGTTCCATTAGCAGTGCAGGTCTTGTCGCCAATTTCAATTGTTATTGAAATAACATTGTTCTGCTTAACAGTTGCCAGAGCATTTCCACATTTATATTCTGTATGTATACACCAAATTGTTGGTTACATTTGCGGCTGGTTCACAAGCCATCTTATAGGAGCTCTTTTAATGTGTCTTCCCATGGGAACACTCTTTGCAAACTTCATGAACTGTAAGGACCGTACTGATTCAAAAGCAAGAGAATTCTACTCCTTAATATTTGCTGTGGCACTTTTACATTTCTGCAATTTCACTCAACTTACATCTTGGATGAAGACTGTACTTGCTGCTGTGTTTTCTATTACATACATTATTTTGCTTACTTATGACGAATTTTGTGCATTTCGGCCTGGAGCAGAATACAATGAGCGTTTAGGCTTAGAAATCATGGTTTGCATTGGCTTACTTCTGATTTTTGTGTGTGTGTTAAATCGTCAGTTGGAAATGAGCGTACGACGTAATTTCAATGGAGATGAGGAAGCTGCTAAAGACAAACGAAAAGCGCAAATGCACAAAGAGCAGGCTGCCTGGCTACTGGAGAGCATTTTCCCTAAACATGTAGCAGATGCACTAAAACTGTCTAGTCATTACTCACGGAACTATGAAAATGTTGGAGTAATTTTTGCTTCAATAGTAAACTTTTCTGACTTCTATGAAGAGAACTTTGAAGGTGGCAAGGAATGTATCAGAGTTTTGAATGAACTTGTTGGTGACTTTGATGACCTTCTGACAGACAAAAGCCAGTTTAGCCAAGTGGAGAAAATCAAGACAGTCAATGGCTCAACCTTTATGGCTGGGGCTGGCCTCTACCCAGAAGGTTGCGCCAAAAAAGATGCCCACCCATATGACCACCTGAAGCAACTTGTTGAATTTGCTTTGGGAATGATCAAGGTTGTTGACAAATTCAATGAACACATGCTGGGATTTGAGTTTCATTTACGGATAGGATTTAATGCTGGGCCAGTCACAGCAGGGGTCATTGGTACAACAAAACTTCTCTATGACATATGGGGAGACACAGTGAATATTGCAAGCAGAATGGACTCCACTGGTGTGAAAGGGAGAATACAGGTCAGCGAGGCATCTAAGAAACTTCTTGATGAATTCTTCACATTTGAGCGTAGAGGAACTATCCCAGTCAAGGGCAAAGGCCATATAACCACCTACCTCCTCACTGGAAGAAGAACAGTATGTGACATTCCTTTGTTTTTTTTAAATTTTTCAAATTTATGATACTGTTTTGTTCTATGGGCCTTAAAGAACATCCTTCATGGCAAGTTTATCTGATGTCTAACTTAACACAATTTCTTAATTTTAACTTTTTCTGATCCAAATTAGAGCCATGTTACTTAAACCCCCTGCCTTTAATCTACATTAGATGTCTCCATCCTTCCATGGCTTACATAATATAAATTTCTTCTTCAAAAATCTTTGCATTTTAAGAAGAAAGGTCACAAAAAGTAACTAAAATGTAAAATAAAGGATATTTATGATTCAAAAGTAAATCTTTCAGGGGAAGAATTATAAGAAATGTTTTCCCAACTTTGTGGAGACCTGGTGAAGAAGAAGAGGTAGATATGTTTGGGCACACTTGCTTCAGTGTTCTCAGGACAGGTTACGGACTTTCTCACTCTCTTTTGACTTTTTCATTCAGAAATTTTTTGTAGTTTTTCTTGTTTTCTTCAAAAAACAACTCTTTCCTCTGGCAACAATAAAAAGGTAGCTGATATATTTACAAATCCAGTGGTAAGTTACTCTTTTGGCTAACAATGTGATGGATATATTTGATTCAACTCATTCACTTTTATGTTTTAGGAGGCAACTACAGAAGCTGGTGCTTGTATTTGTGAAGAAATCAGGGTTAGTTTACCTTTGTCTTTTCCTGTATAATATACATTCATCTGCAAATTTTCTGGTGTTACAATCTGAATTAGGTGATAACAATAACACACACTTTTTTTTTATTTGCCGTAGTAATGAGTTTAGAAAGCTGTTTACTGTTCTTGCTCAGGGACTGTGTCCTGCGGAATGGTTAACTTCCTCAAATTTTTACTGGAAGAAGTGATAGTAGTAGTTATTTTTTTGTGCTTTGTCTAAGATTTTCTATTTGTTTTTTGTTGTTGTTTTTTTTTTTTTACAGGAAACTGTCATTGATTGAGAGTGAAGTGGCAGGCATCTTGTAGTCATGTATGTTATTACATATAAATATACATATACTATTATATATTAAAAATATAGGGTAATGACAAATTAAGTTGACATTTGTAAAGAATTAAAATTTTAAAGTATGTGCTCTTCATGTTATATTTAGTAAGTGTATATTTAAAATTAGATTGGAAAATAGTAAGAGTTCTATTGGAAACATTTTAAAAATACTTAAAAGAGAAAATTTTTAGATAAATTTGATGCCAAGTATAGCAAATGTAAAAGTAATTAAATAATATCATATAAGAAATATGTTTCTATGGATACAGAACTTCATACCCACTGATTTATTATTGACTCATAACAAAGAGGCAAAGATTCCCAAACAGATTTCTAACAGATGTATGTCCAACTTGAATTAATATTTCCAGCCTGGGTTTCATTACTGAATGCAGTTGTTTGACCAAGTCCAAATGTTCCCAAATTGCTTTGGGTAAGAACCAGCCATAGATAGTAATTACTATTAGCATACATTGTAAAGCAGATCAAGCTTTACAATTTTTTTTCAGTGACCCATTTCTGTTTTCAGGTAGGTTTTTGATGGCTGGTTTTCGAAATTTCAGCATCTTTTGACAGACACAATTACTGTGGATGATCTGATTATGTGCTTTTAGAAAAGGGAAAATAAATTGCTTTCTTTATTTGTTTAATAAGCACGTCTTCTGATTCTAGTTGTGTGACTCACCATTTGATATAAGAAAACATCATTCAAGGTAGCTATTCTTCCACTATGGGCATGAGTGAGAAGCATATCATCAGCTTCACTTATTTAAGCTTCAATCTGTATGGCTGACCTATTGTGTGTGGTCTAATCTGTTAACTGTGGGAGTCACTTATTTAAACAAAAAGGCAAGCTTTTTTAACACAATATTTTGTTATGCTGTCATGAAGTTCATTCATCTTCATGGAGGAGTTAAAATTTGGATCCTGAAAAGTCTGGTTTTCCAATCAATATCTACGATAACTGGAATGGGTATCTGCTCTCTCACTTATAAGATGTTTTGCTGAATTATGTAATATGAATGTATTTCTCATCTTGAGCTTTCTTTAAGTGGTGATGGACAAATTTCTTATTAGTTTATTTCAAATTTAGTTACTGGTATATTGTTTGGGAGAAAAGCCAAATGTTAACCTTACAAAAAGGATTTAATGCTCAGACAGTGTTACTTTACAGAACCATTTTATGTATTGTTAAATAAATAAATATTGAAATGCTGTTATTTGATGATCATTTTTTACGTGTTGCTGCCATTTAACATTCAAGCAATGAAAATCTTTCACTTAAAAAAAGTTAATTTTAACTGGATTGAACTTCAGTATTAACTGAATGCAAAATATTTGCAGTGACTAAGGTATCCAGCTGAAAAAACTACATAAACAGTAAATTGTTGAGTTCTAGCAGCCACAGCATAATTATTTACTTTGATTAAAGTTAAATGCAGGGTCATTTTGGATTTCATGATGAAAGTCAAATTAGTTAATTTATGAATTATGAGGATGGTTTTCCAACAACTTTTTCATGTTTTGATGCTTACTATGTGCCTCTCAGTTTTGTTTTAAATTACAAATTGATGATTAATACTTCACTGCCTGCTTGTCAATTATAGACTGGCTTATTAAAATTAACTGCAATGACACTATTTTAACTGTAAGGTCAGTGTAGGAAGATTTTATAACTTTTGGTTTGCATGTATAATGAAACTACCTGTGACATGATTTAAATTATTCTGTTCAATACTCATGATGCAAGAGTTTTTTGATGGCATGACTGCTATTTTTGTTGGCTTAACATTGAAAGTACTGAAGCACACTCTAACAAAGCTTTAATGTTTTAAACACCTTTCAACAATGCAAGCACTTCCAACTAATTTTACTTGATAGATAAATGTTCATCTAGTCTTAAAGAATAATGTTATGAAAAAAGATCAAGACCATCATTCACTTACTACTTGCTGAGTGTGTGAAACAAGACAATACTTGATGCCCAAGGGTTGATTTCTAAAACTGTAAACATTCATTCGGGTTTAACTATTAAAACCTTAAAGCTTTTATGTCTCTTATGCCATAAATAGATGAATATTGTAAATATTTTACAGCGCACCTTTAGCATTAGGGTTACTTGTGGAAATCTGACCAGAAGTCATAGGGAGTGAACAGTAAATCCCATCTAAATGTGTTGTCTGTGCTTGCTCTGGTCACACTGGTTGGAACAACCGAGTTCATTGTTCTTTTCCCGTAATGTGATTGATTAATTTTGATAAAGCAACCCTGCTAACATTAGTGGCATTGTAAATCTCAACTTCCATGACCATCATTTTTTATATAGGATGTAAATATGAAAATTATGAATTAATTTTTTTGGTCTACAAACAATTAAATGCTTAATTTAATTAATTCTAATTACTCAAATAATTCAAATATATTCACCAAAAATAACCATGAGATTTTTGTTGATTTATTTTTATAGCTCTAACAAATATTGATTCAACAAGATCTTATAGTTAGGTCAAGAACTAAACTTTAAAGTGTATGTTGTACATATTCTTGCAATAGCTGTTTGCTCCTTGGCTAAACATGTTTTATTGTAGGATAAAATTTATGTGTAAGTAAGTCAAAAAGAATTAAATGACAAAAGATGTTGTTGGGTCAGTGGTTGGTTCCCCCTCCCTTCCCCATTAAAGAAACAAACGCATTGGGAACGATCCTTCTCGTGTCCAGTTCAATACGTCTACTCCTTCAAATTGGAAATTAAAAATTAAAAAAATAGTTTTTCAATGGAATGTGTGACTGAGTTCGTGAACATTTTGTTAGGGAATGAGAGCATTACAATCTTAACAACAGTAATGAGAAACTGCAGCAAATTTGCTTGCCAGTGATATGAAACCTTTTATGAGGTCAGTCTGTCTAAGTTCCTTGATACTTGATAAAATGTAGTAAACCCATTCTTATAATAAGGGAACCTGAGTGAAGGCTTGCCAGTGGACAACTTTTTTTTAAAATATGACTTGAGCAATCTAGATTCATCGAACGTCCTGCAGGAGATAAATATCTGAAAACTACCTCGTCCTCATATTTTGGTCCTCCACTTTATTTCTTTCGTGGGCACTCCCGTAAGTACTCCTGCCCTGTAGGGAGGCGTTACAAGTGATACAAACTGTTTAACGGTTTCAGCTTCGCATGTTTCTTAGCGAAGTACAGTCATCAGATCTTTGTATTTCTTATCGGCGTGAAGTCCTGGGGCAACAAGTAAGGTGTGCGCAAAACCAGGTATTTCATCCATGTTGTCACACTTCACTTCTTTCTGGAATGGGAACAGAGTAAACTTCCTGTCAAGCAACTTACAGGGCGGTTACGAAGGGAGGGTACCTGAGCACTGGAGTTACCTATGCTACTTTCCCTCTCCCCCCTCATAACCCCTCTGTTATACGGACCACCAAAGCGTGTCTGCCCGATTGCAGCAACCATCTTCCACTGCTTCACACAAGTCGATCAACAACGACACATTAATTAAATATGGTAAAACGATACTTAATCTGCAAATCATGCCAAGGATTCGACTGAGAGTTATAGCAGAGTAAATTACTCATGTTAATGCCAAGCGCGGGAAAACGTTCAACTAATCAAAAGCGCGGGAAAATGCATGTGTGGCGTTGTTTAGATATGAATGAGAAACTTAATTTGATCTTAGTTTGGCTGCACTAGTTAGTAAACACCTCTATTTTTTATTTACCTTCCCTGCACTGTTGATTTTACTGTTTCCTTGAAGCTTACAGTTTTCGGTAAATAGGCATGGAAGCCTTGATGCAGTGTTACCGAACCGCGATTGTCAATAATCAATACCTACTTGTCATAGACTGCATTGATCCATTTGGGGGAATTATTCTTCATCAGTGTTCATATTCTTTTAATGAACTAGAAAGGATTCTGCAGAGAGTTGTCTGCTGCCTTGTTACTATCCCATGAGTTATCCGTAAGGATAATTTACTTCTGTTCCTTCGGGCCCATAACGCAAACATGGTGTAACCGGTTTTCATGTTTTCCTGATGAAGCCGATGATCAAATTCGTGTTTTTATGTCTTAAGTCAGAGAAAAATTGTCTCACGACAGTCGTCATATTTGGAACATGTAAATAGAATGTAATTCAACAACAGTATTTGAATCCATAAAGTTGTACTTTGGAAAAGAGACGAAAAACCGTTAGTTTGGAAATATGGTTTTAAGGAACATTTGGAAGGAATTAAGATATAAATTTGCCGGAAGTCACATTAACATAGTCCAAATCCCATATCTCTCAAGAAATTCGTTGATCGAACGGTAAGGGACGTATTGTAGTCTCGTCTTTATACCCGCTATTGTGTCTCAGTTGAACTCTTTAAATATTAATGAACCGTGATTTCGTGACCTTCAGTCAGAGCTACTCAGATCGCTCAACGAGTAAGATGAACACACTACATCCTTTACGAATATATACATGGAAGATCAGGCGCTATGCAATTTTTCTTTTTTCATTCTGATGGTACCTTCAATACCAGCCTTCGGGTTCACGCTGATAAAATTCGTTCAAGCGGAAGCGCTTCGTGTTCTATCGAAGTGATTGCGTGCTCAATAAATATCGATCACAGATTTAATTGTAAGGTCGTTTTAGTGAAAATTTTTATTCGTTCCATTATAGGAAAGATAATCGCGTATTGTTTTGGAATCCCAAAAGCCGACATGCAAGTAAGTAAATTGACATGTAACCATCCCGTCAAGGAAAGTATGGTCACATTACTCTGGAAAGTATAAGCCGCTTTCTTTTTTTCAAGAAAATAATTCACGCTTTCATAAATTTGTCAAATAGGGTAAACAACTTTTAGCAAATTTTATGAAGTACGCCCTCTTTTCTGACATCTAGTTTCAAATATTTATTTCCCCTCACAAGCGAGAAAAAAAATTCTCTTACTTCCAGTGAGTGGGATTGAAGAGTGATGCAACTCCTTCCGGTTGCGTGCTACACGGTGTGCGAAGGACACCGAAGCGAGGTTATCTATTGTTTTCTTCGGTTCCAGGCTCCAAGATGATTGTCATAAATTAAAATTAATGGCGATTAACGACCGCAATGCATGATGGTGGGGCTGGGCCCCCCCGCGCTGTTGAGCCATCGCTTGTTGCGCTTCACGGCATTGACACAGGGAACTTTTCGGAACGCTATTTTACTTCAAGTTTTCATTACTAGTTGAAGCTTTACGACAGGAAAAATCAGATTCATCTGGAGGAGAGGAGATAATTCGTTCATCGAAGGACACTTACAAAGGATCTTAAAGCCGTCTTATACTGTTTTGTTCGGTTCGTTGTCATAATGCTGTGAGAACGACAATGGTAAGCGGCCATGATTTTGTTTTTACTTCTGCGTTAATTTTGTTGTAGTACGGCTCGTTGTGACTTCATTCCATCGGAGAGATTCTTTTCCTTAGTCAGATTAGTAATCTACTGATTGAATTTATTTTCAGGGGACGAAGGCGCTTCGCCGTTTTAAAGGCGATGACTATGTATGATCAACAAGTCGTTTTCGTGTAGTGGGTTTTTGTATTGTAGTAGTAATGGCCGAGCAACTGGTAGACGGACCACCGAACAAGCGACCGAAAATAGGAGCCCCAGACACACCAACCGACAATGCTGGTAAATATAATGTCAACTGATTTTTTTCCTGTGTTTGTGAGCGTTTTAAGTTTGCAGTTGTAGTGAGTTCTCCAGGTCTATGTTCCGTTCCTTTAACTTATTTAAATTACCGTCTTCCCTTTAAAGAGTTCAATTGGAAGTTTATGGAAGACCTGGATGCCAGTTTACCCGATGAACTTGGTGGACCCGCAATGATTCCTAATTCTGATGGTCTAACTAATGGTGAAACAACAGCTGATGTTTCAAGTGCTACCTCGAGTTTGCAGCAAATTCTTCAATCGAATGTTCCCCTGTCAAGTGGCGCGAGCTCTACGCTCAACACCAGTGCCATCTCTTCGACAGTTAGCGTATCTAGTCCTGATAGTCCATCGTTGACTACTTTAACATCGGTTAAAAGTCCGGCAGTGAACAATTCTTTGTCGTCTCCTCCTCAAATGCCGGTCAGTACGAGTGGGACTCCTACTCCTGCAACACCGCTCACTTCATCCAATGACCTCCATCTTGGAAGTGTTGGTTTGAGTCCTGCCCCGTCATCGTCTCTGCCGATGTCAACAGTGAACTCGGCATTGCAGAGTAAGGTGGCGAGGGATGCAAGACTGCAAGTTGCAGCCCAGTATGGTAATAATTCGCTCGATATGAACATGCTTGCCAACAACAACGCTTTGATGGGATCTATGAATGGGCCTAGCTCAGCGACTCAATCGATCGCTTTGAATACGGTGGCGCACGAAATCGGAGCGACATTTTCTCGAACTACTAATATGAACGCGAGTAATTCCGGGAGCAATCCCTTTCAAAATCCGTTACCTCAGCTGCAACAAGAACAGTTGGCGAATAATTTCGTGAGTCATTCTGGTATGAACGGAAGCCCAGATCAATCCAGAGTATCTTTAGGCCAAGTAAGTACTGAGTTTTTCGTAGTCATATGTAAACGTAGTGGCTGGCTTCTGCATTGATATTTCGTGGCTGTCAAACGGTAGATGTCCTTTTCCTTACTGCTAAATCCAATGTCATCTTGAATTTAGTTTTCTCCTTCTTTAGTTCGAGCTGTATTCGTGAAAATGAAAAGGCATTACACTAAAACTAGACGGAAAATGAAAAATATTGTCGATCTTTGGCTATTGCAGTGATTTTCCCTGTTGTTTTGTTGATGAGCCATTCCTGAACATCACTGAACTCTCCATGTCGTGGTATTTTAATCAGGGTAACTTATCCTGACAGCTTCTCGTATTGTCTAACCTTGCTTCACCTTTGTATGTTTTTTTTGTGGATGGAAAATACGTTATGCGTTTTATTTTCCGAAATTTGTTGGTGCGGTTATTAGCTGTATTTTTATCGTATTTGGCTTACAGTTAATTTTTTGGTTATTATTATGGTATATTGCAGCATACAGCGTCTTCTTTGAAGCTGCTTTAAACGTTGGGAGTGAAAGGAACACAGTTTAAGTCGTTGTATTGCACAAATCTACATCAGTTTATTCAGCTTTGATAAGATTTTTAATTTGTTACATTTTGAAATTTTGGCCTAATTTTTGATCCTGTAACTTCAAATAGTATGAACTTTTGTAGTTTATTTTTGTTTCAGCTATCTGTCTTGTTTACCCTATAAATCTTTTACTATTTGTTCTGTCAGTTTGAGATAATAAAATAGAGATAGTTTTCTCTTTTAACTGCTTCATAGTATACAACCTGTCTGAATGATAGACTGACCTCATGTAGGAATATGATGTCTACTTAGTATTCTTATTGTTTGGTTATTATTGTAACAAATGTCTGGGAAAGTTGTGTTATGAGTTAACAAATGGCAATTAACTGCCCGATCAAAATTAATACATGGAAAATTTATTGTAAAGTGAGTGGACTGAAACCATGGAAATGTCTTGTGTACTCAACATGCACAAAGTTATAAGGAAAATCTTTTACTTTTTTAAGTGCTGCTTTCTGCTTTTAAAGTCTTTGGTTATTCTCAGGAGGCTAAGGAACTGACAGGATAACCCTAAGTGAAGCTATATTAGAAGTTGTAAGGTTATTGTGATCACTTGAAATGCGTTAAGTTGTCTGTAAAAGTTTACATCTAGTGGTTATTACTTGAGTTCAAGTTTCCCATTAAATATTTGATTTTGTAACTGAGGCTGTCTTTTTGCAGAATTATTAATCACAATTATTACACTCTTTCCAACATTTGCCAACCTAATCATAATAACTTTTTCTCATTATTTTCATTAGAATAATGTCTTAGGGTTGTAAACCACTTAGCTTTGTGATGACAATGTTTACTTTATTGATGTTTTTAATCAATTGCTATACACTTTTCTTTTCTTTCCAGCAGGCATCAGGATTAGCTCAGCCTCCAACAGCAGACCCTGAGAAACGAAGATTAATACAACAACAACTAGTACTTCTGCTTCATGCACACAAATGCCAACGTCGAGAGCAACAGGCCCAAAATGGAGCTGTGAAACCCTGCAACTTACCTCACTGTCGAACTATGAAGAATGTCTTGAACCACATGACAACATGTACTGCTGGAAAAACATGTCAAGGTTTGGGAAAACCTTTGAGTGATGTGACAAACTTAAACTATTATGATTTTTTTTAAATTTTAGGACTATAAATATATCTTAAGGAAACATTTTTTGAACATTGAATAGTGTAAGTTCAAGTTCTGAAATTTGTGAGCATGTTCTAGCCTGCAAATAACAGTTGGTCCTTGGAAAAATGTCTGGTGAATTTCAGGTTTTACTATGAAACAGCTTTGCTTGGTTGGACACTATGACCATGGGTTTCTGATGGCAGAAAATATTATTAATTTTGGAAAAGTTATGTCAAATCATGAGAGAATTAAGCTTTTGATCAATTGTATAATTCTGGTTATGACTCTTTGGAGGCTGTAAAGTGTGTTATGTTAAATGGAACTATAGAACCATGTGAATTTAAGACATATAAGTTCTATCCACGCTCTCTGGTTATAAGAGCTAACCAAGCAGGCTAAAACTGGAAAAGTCTACTTTGTTTGTATTCCCCATGCTACAGAGGTAATAGTTACAGAAGGAAACTATGGGAAAAATTAGGGTGGTTGCCTGAAAGGCTGGATAATTCTGCATTAAATTAAAATTCAGCTGACTGATTTCAAGTTAGTCTGTTTCACCATATGAGTACCAAATTTATTTTAACCATGTGAGCAAATGACCTGTCTTGTGACAGGAATTTTGTGTAGGCTTGTATATATCAAGTTGTTGTGCCTGATCTCATTTTTATGTTTCAGTTGCCCATTGTGCTTCTTCAAGACAAATTATTTCACACTGGAAAAACTGCATGAGACGGGACTGCCCAGTCTGCCTCCCTTTGAAGCATGCATCAGATAACAGAAATCGAGGTATTAGACAGTTAATTAATTTTATTCACTTCATTGCCATTTATTCCATTAATGGATGTCATCTCTAATTTACGTGCAAAGTCTTTCATGTTAATTCTTTATTTTTTCCTTTATCAAGTTTATGTTAGTATCTCTCAAAATTTAAGGTGTGTTGCTGTAACCAGTAGTTTCTTTTTTTTTTTTCCCTTTCTTCAAAGTTCAAGGAAGTGTCCAAGGTATTGAAAGGGCATATGAAGCTCTTGGTATTACTTTGGCAACAAATGGAGAACCACGGTTACAGCCATATACTGGTAAGGAAAGGCTTCAAAGTTGTTTTCCTTTCTATCCTGGTGATTGTGATGGTTCTGTGTTTTAAGCAAGCGCTGTTTTAACATTGTAGCTATTTGATTATGTAAAGTCCTTTTTACAAGGGGGAATTTCATTGTGTGTATTGTAGAAATTGAAGGAACTTTTCATCCCTCAACAAAAAAATGGAGGAATGACATGTACATGTATCTGATGTTACAACCAAAATTCAGGGCATGAAATTAACTTTTTTTTCTGATAGCCACTTGGCTCCTAAATTCTTCAAAGTGGTAGCCAATTCTCAAAAAGTTGGTCGCCATTTTCAAAGACAAACAAAATCTTTCTTTACGCTGTCAGCGTTCAAGATAGACCCTCTAAAATTAAGTTAGGGAAAAGATCTTTAACGTGCTACAGAGTGGACACTAGGATGGATGATATACAACGTTCAGGCTCATCTAAATCCAAGATGGCGTCTAGTTATTGATCGAGATGCATGTGTTACGTTTTGGAAACAAACTTAACAAGGAAGTTTGCCGCGGATTTATCTTTGCAAATTTTTTTAATTCACTATATCTCTTGGTAAGGTTATGATGAAACGTTCTAGTCACCAATTTGGTGACTAACTTTCAGGATTTGGTCGCCAAAGTGAAAAATTTAGTTGCATTGGCGACTGTATTAGGCGCAATTTCACGGCCTGAAATTGCTTATATTTTTATCAAAGGAGAGTGACCAGGAAAACCTTAATATAATTTATTTATAGCAAATACAAATCTCCTGAGATCAGATCCCTCAATGCAATTGACAGCGGATAACAGATCATTTGGTGAAACATCAGCCACAGCGACAAGGTAAGAGTTATCAGAGTTGAATGTAGCAGTAAGTTTGTTTTGCTTGATTTGATCTGTGCTCAGTAATCTTTCGTCCACAAAATTTTAATCATCTGTATTGAAAAAAGCAATGTCTGTCAATTCTCTCTTTAGCACAACAGCAAGTGGTAATCGGGGTCCTAAAGAGTGGCATCAGCATGTTACGCCAGATCTCAGGAATCATCTTGTACACAAACTGTAAGTCATGTATCCTAATTGAGTTTAAGCAATCAATTTCTCAAGCTCTGTTGATTATTCAATTTATATCAAGTTTTTCGAGAGAGTTTAAGCATAAAGAATCTAACTTTTGAAGTTAACATTTGATGGTTAAGGAAGATGCATCTGAGTAAAGTTCTGGGCTGAAATTTTGTATTGCAGGGTCACTGCCATCTTTCCAACTCCAGTGCATGATCCAGCTGCTCTTAGAGATCGGAGAATGGGGAACCTTGTTTCATATGCAAGGAAAGTAGAGGGTGATATGTATGACACGGCAAATAGCAGAGTAAGTTGTGAGCTGAAGTTGTTCGATTTTTTCCTTTAGATTTGTTCTTTTCTCATCTTCATCATGTTATTTCACCCAACAATTTCTTTTAACAAACTGTTTTGTGCAACTGTTAGAAAGGATGGAGAGAAATGCTTAATCAACATTCTTGTTAAACTTGATGTATCTTGTAGGAGGAATATTACCACTTATTAGCAGAGAAAATATACAAGATTCAAAAAGAGCTGGAAGAGAAACGACAAAGAAGAATAAATCAGCAAATGAGAGGAGGCATGACTCCATCACAACGTAAGTGAGCTGCTAAGGGTTTACTGTACATTATGATTTCTCAACATAAGAAACTAAATATTTTTGTTTGCCCTTTCAGTTGCATTTCCTCAACTAAATGGAGACCTTGGAGTTCCCCAAATTCCCTCAGTTGCAGCAGCTGCTGCACAGGCACAGGCTGCGGCAGTGGCAGCTGTACATCAAAAGTTTGATGCACTTGGACAATCTCAAAACTCTTCTCCCCAAGCTCCACCCATGACATCGCCACCTCTACAAGGCACTTTGTCACCTCATCTTCAAATAGCAAGTCAAGTTTCTGCTACACAACAAGCACAAACATCACAGCAGTCCACAGTCCCACTTCCAAAACAACAAGTTAAAAATCAGATGTCTCCATCAGGGCAAATGATGACTACTAATCAGTCACAGGGAAAAAATCCACCTCGTGAAAGTGGGAAAAACTTGGTAGTTACAACTCAGGCTCAGTCACCTGTATCTCAAGCTGGTGCTGGAAGTTCTAGTGGATATAGTTCTGCAACAGACAATGGATTATGTGCTCCTAATGCTCAGTCTCAGATGGTTAAAGTAAAGACAGAGCCTGCATCTCCGCCGGCTGCAAATTCACAGATGGGAAAGGTAGTATTTTTCTTATTCCTGCCAAAAAAACCTTCAGGAAAACACGAGACTGTAAAGCAATCCTTTAACCATGACTGTTATGCCATTAGGGTATTATATGTTTTGATGTTTTCCCATATGAAGTTCAAGTTCAGTTTTCTTATTTGGTCTTTAAAGAGTAATCTTTGATTTTGTGAGATAGAAGAAGACAGTGAAACAAATTTAAGTACAACATATAGAGACAAAGGATAGCATGATCAGAAATGTTTAAGTTTCCCTGCACACCAATGCTTCTGTCCATATTCTATCCAATCAACATGCCTTATCAAGGATCTTAAAATAAATTTGGACAAAAATGATATTGTTTTACTGTAATTTCAGCATCAAGATATCACCCCAAGCTCTGCAACTTCAACCTCAGTTCCCCAAAAAGGTTCTTCTACACCTCAAATAAAGCAAGAGCCCCAACAAGGAGGGTCGACATGTTCAACTCAGTCTATACCAACTCCTGGAAACTCCTCATTATCCACATCATCCTCATCAATACCTGCCCCTGGAACAACAAGATACCCCCTTAAGAAAGGTTATAATCTTGTGTCACCTTCCTTGAGTATTCTATCTTGTTACATTGTTTGTCAATTTATATAACAACTTTACTGAAGAAGAAAAAACTTCCTATGGCTTATCCCAGTGAAGAATTGAACTCCTATTTCAAACTCTTCCTCCCAAAATTTCATAATTAAAAAAAGTCAATTTTTTTAAAATCTACAACAGAGTCTCTCAGCTATAAAAATGGTTTGAATATTAGGGGGGTTGATGATGAACTAAACAAAGCATTATGTATTTGATCAAAAGAGAGAATTTACTAGGAGTTAAGTGACCTCCTCAGAGTCTCATTTCTGTTACAAACAATTCACGAAAGAAAAAAAAAATATTGTTCCAATTGCCTATATATCTACATCAGAAATAAGTTAAGTGGAGGTTGGTTCCTAAGTAAAGCTTGAAAAGCTTTTTTCAATGGCACATGTAGCTTCTTGATTTCCTGGTGTCTGAGAACTTATGATTTAAAGGCTCTGAAGCAGATTCACCTGGGACAAGGTTGGATAATAGTTAAGGAAACTTAAGAATTCTCTCAAAGATGTTAAGTAGGTTAATTTAGAAATTTATATTAATCTCAGGTGTCTGTAAATGAAAAGGTTGTCCTTTGAGCTTTGGATTGTGGAAAAGGTCTGTTGGCTAATTTCTCTTTTTTGAATTGCTTCTCTTTCAGTTTTCCTCCCAGAGGAGTTACGGATTGCACTTATGCCCACTTTAGAGAAGTTGTATAAACAAGAGCCAGACTCTCTTCCATTCAGACAGCCTGTGGACCCAAAACTGTTGGGTTGTTTGGTTAGTTTATGACAGTTTGTTTGATTTCTTGTTCTAGTTTCAGTTGTTCAGTTAAAGTGGAAAGTTGAAGCTTCTTGATTTGTACTCTCAGTGATGATTACTTTTTAGGGTTAGGGTTATCTTTGAATAAAGGTGTGAAAGAAATGGTTGTTATAGTCAAAAAGCTTTCTTCTAATCAAATTTTTTGTTTGTTTTTTCAGGATTACTTTGAAATAGTGAGAAATCCCATGGATCTCTCTACAATTAAACGAAAACTGGATGCTGGGCAGTACAATAACCCCTGGGAGGTTTGTATGGGTTTAAATGATCAACTTGTTTTTATCACAGAATGTACCTGGGACAAGGGACAGGTGCCCACCTGATAAGAGCTGTTTTCTGAGTAGATGTTGGGTTGGCATCTATGTTAAACAACTAATAATTTAAAAAAAAACTTCTCATTTTTCTTGTTGGGAATTGATGGGGGTTGTTATTTCAAACAGCCAGACGACATATGAAGAAAACATAATTAACTTCTTTGTGACATTTTGTGTTTAATTCACACAAGTACTGGACATGGATTTAATTGCTACTAGCAGTCACAAAGTGGAGTACAATGAGTGCATTTCATGTTGTGAGTGCTTAAGGTGACCTCTGATTGAAAGTTAAAAGCAAGTGTAGGAACCCAGGAAAAGTCTCTCCTCCTGGCAGAGAGAGGTCTTCTCTCTGTTTTTGTCCCCTGAATGAAGGTGTTGTATGATGAAGGTTTCGCCAAAGAATAGGTTCCATGGAACAAGATGTTCATGATGTATCTTGGAACACTGCATTAGATCTAATCTTCTAAGAGCAATCACTAATATGTTGTTTCACTGATCAGTGTCTTTACTTTGTCTTCTGCAGTACTGTGATGATGTCTGGTTGATGTTTGATAATGCTTGGTTGTATAACAGAAAAACTTCAAGAGTGTATAAATATTGTACAAAGGTAAATGTACAAGCTTTTGTTTGCCAGTGATGTACTATTTCAGTTTGAAGAGTCTGTCTCGTGATTTGGTACACTTTTGGATCAATAAATATTCTAATCTTGTTGTTTGGGTGTTTGCTTACCTTGGAATTGTTTACTTAGTTGTCAGAAGTTTTTGAACAAGAAATTGATCCTGTTATGGAAAAGTTAGGATATTGCTGTGGAAGAAAGGTAAATACATTGAACAATGGATTACAGGTGCAGCAGGACAACTTACTTTAACTTGATTCCCTTGATTAGTCGTTCTTCTCTCTGTTTACTTGTCCTTCTCTCCATTAATCTTTTCCTTTATTATCCCTTTTCCAGTATATATTTCACCCACAAGTTCTGTGTTGTTATGGAAAGCATTTGTGTACAATTCCACGGGACGCTACCTACTGGACATATCAAAATCGGTAAGGTAGCTTACTTTAATGACAAACTTCACTTTGATTGTGAGAATGAGAATATTGTTCCACACTAACATCTCTTGTCATTATATTAAGTACCTTTTTCAATTTAAAAAAATACTGGCTGTACATCTTCTCTGATATGACATTTAAATTTAAAGCGGGTATTTAAGGGAACCTATGGCACTGAGCACAGCTTATGATCAGATTTTGGATCAAAAAGGTACTAAAAGCATATTTACTCACATCATTATGGTCTTAGGATTTGCTCTTGAATTTAGAATTCATGTACTTATACCTTAGCCAAAATGTCTGCATAGCAGCAGATATGTCATGAATTTAAGAAAATATACAACATTTTTTAAAAACATGTTTTAACAGTTCTTCTCTCATTGTCAGTTCTGATTTATACCAAGTACAACGTTGAATTTAAAGTGTATAACAAAATGCTCATTGGATGAAACAAACAATAGAAACAACACAGTGTATGCAATTACAAGGAAAGTTTTCAATTAACATGCTAAAGTTGATGATTAAGTGTAGGTTGCTTCCATTGAATGTGAATAGCTTCTTTGATTTAGAGTTGGAGTGTTGTGGAAGCATGAAGATGCTAAAACACTCATCAAAACATAGAGTACAACACTGTGGAGAATTTTGTAAATGTCTGAAAATGTGAGAGTTTTTATCACTGACCAAGAGCTCTTACAGATGTGTGGATAAATGCTGATAGGTTTCACTGACATAGCAGGCAGTAGAGTCAGCACATAAAATTTGTGAACCACACATGTACAGAGCCCATGTGTGAGCCCCTTCAACTCAAAAATGTTACATTCTAACTGTAATAAACCCTGATTTGTTAAGGGGATTGTTGAGCCAAGATATCATTGTTGTGATTTTTTTTTTACAGCTTCCACTACTGCGAACGATGCTTTGATGAGATTCCTGGTGAAGCTGTCAACCTTGGGGATGACCCTACACTGATGCAAAGGTTGGATGCTGGTTGTCTTATCTTGTTACATATGGTGGAATTAAAACAATTTTGTTGAACTTCTTCCAACCTTCTCAAAGTGACAGTGCAGGAGGTGTATTTTAAAGGGTCATGATTCTTTATCTGTTCGGTTTGAAAACAGCAAACACATTATCAGCTGTTATACTTACTACAATTTTAAATGACCTTTGTTTTCTGTGTTACAGCACGGTGCCCAAAGGCAATTTCTCAAAAACCAAGAATGATCACCTCGACATGGAGCCGTAAGTACCCTGATTGTTAGCTGTGGTATTTACTTTATTTCCCAGGAAATTTTATGCTAGCTAACTGGTTTTTCTCAAATGGCATGACGTTTGATGCAAGTTTATGAACTAAGGTGAATCTTTGTTATGTAGATTTGTTGATTGCATTGACTGTGGCAGAAAGGTTCATCAGATCTGTGTTCGCCACCATGAGTTTATTTGGCCAAATGGGTAAGCATAAATGTGTTTGAATCCTGTCAGATCGTAATTGTTTCTACATTATCAGTCCAATTTTAAGATAAATTAGGATGAAGACCAAACAATATTTGGCTTGAGATGTCATCACTATCTCTCACATATATATATCCTAACTAATAGCTGTAAGAGCATATTTTCATCCTTCCCAAGAATATTCTTTCAACCCACTGGTAGTCCTTGGCTTTAGTGATGCCTCACTTGACATCATGTATGACAAAGTTTGATGTCTTATATGTTAACTATTAATTTTCCAGTTATCAATGTGATGCATGTTTGCTGAAGAGAGGTATGAAGAGGAAGGAAAACAGGTTCACTGCAAAAAGTAAGTTTGTTGTAAAGTACCCCTGTTTGTTACATGTGGTTAAGGTTTTAGCTTTTAGTTGGAGTGTCAGTTATCATTTAGCAAAACTGAAGTCTGTTTCTTCCTAATTATTTTCTTCTTTAGAGCTCCCCACAACTAGACTTGGTGATTTGATTGAAAAGAGAGTTAACAACTTCTTATTGAAAGAAAACTATCCAGGAAATGTGACAATTCGAGTTGTGTCATCAGTTGACAAACAGGTGGAAGTAAAGCCAGGAATGAGAGCAAGGTTTGTAATATTGATTAACGATTATGTACTTGTTTGTAGTATTTGTGATGTCTTCACAGGGAAATCTTATTAATGTGTGAGCTTTACAGTTTGGAATCATAGATGTCATAACAGCCATCAAGAAGAGATGATTTTTTGTGATCTCTAACTATTATCTTTTTATTGGTTTTGATAGATATGATGAAGGTAGTTTTCCTGGGTCATTTCCATACCGTGCTAAAGCCATGTTTGCCTTTGAAGAGATTGATGGTGTGGATGTTTGCTTCTTTGGCATGCATGTGCAAGAGTATGGCTCTGAGTGTGCATTGCCAAACACACGACGTGTGTACATCTCATACTTGGACAGTGTTCACTTCTTTCAGCCACGGCACCTGCGCACATCTGTCTACCATGAGATCCTCATTGGTTACCTAGAACATGTGGGACACCTAGGGTATAGTGCATTGTATTTCGATTATAGTAGTTCATATTTTGCAGAAATAAATAATTATGTAGATTTTGAGTGAAGTTAAGGAATAACCCATTTGTGTTTGCAAACTGTAAGGCAACTTCAGTTTCACCAGTTGTAATATTTTCATCTTAACTCTATTAAGACTTAGGGTTGTTGAGATAGTATTGAGGAAAACTGTTTGCAGGTAGATAGTTGGTAAGTAGTCAGATTTTTTTAACCAAAGGAGTTGTCATAGTTCAATTGAATCTGTAAAAAAAAAAAACAAAAGTTTTGACAGTAAGTTTAATTTTTTAGGTATCAGATTGCACATATATGGGCATGTCCACCCAGTGAAGGGGATGACTACATTTTTCACTGCCACCCTGTTGAACAGAAGATTCCCAAACACAAGCGACTGGTTGATTGGTACAAAAAGATGCTTGACAAAGCCATCAGAGACCGTGTTGTCATTGAGTACAAGGTAATAAAAAGACTTACTTTGCAGTAACCTTTTGATAGACAGACAGGGGGACAACAGGCAGTTTGGGAAAATTTCCTTTTAACCTAGCTGTTGAATTAGAAAATAGAAACATCTTTCCAATTCTCTGGTGAACAATTTCTTCACTACACATTGGATTCCCAAACACCTACATTAATCATGAAATATATTATCCCTGTAACAGGACATATTAAAGCAAGCCACTGATGATAACTTGACAACAGCAAAAGAGTTGCCCTACTTTGATGGAGACTTTTGGCCAAACGCATTGGAAGACAGCATCAAAGAGCTTGATCAGGAGGAGGAAGAGAGAAAGACGGCGGCCGCAGCTGCTGCTGCTGACACTGCTGGCAATGAGGTACTTCCTGGTTTAATTTGTTTAACATGCTGGCAGCTCTATAATGACTGAAGTCTTTTAACTGTTTGTTGTAGAGTAATGCATTACAATTTAAATACCCCAACGACAATAATTGTCGTTGGGGTATTTAAATAATTATTATTCTCTAGTCTTGCGCGATAATTTGTTTGTTGAGGCAAAAGGTAATTTTCATTCCTCGTTATGATTTAGGTAAGTGAGAGAGGGGAGATTTACCTTTTACAGCCAAACTAACCAAATCACACTTTTTGCATTTCAAAAAAAAACTTTTAGGGAACTCCGGGCAGCAAGAATAAAGGGAACAACAAGCGAAGTAACAACAAGAAAGGAACCAAGAGTAAAGCAAGTAATCGTAAGAACCCAAAGAAAACTAATGGTCCTGTCATGGGTCTATGTGACTTGTCACAGAGATTGTACAACACCATGGAGAAGCACAGAGAGGTAACATAAACCATCGTGTGTTTTTATTTTATTATTATTTCAATTCATATTTAGCACCTACCACCTCCCTGTCAAACTTTAATCCGGATTCCTACGGCCCCCTCTTATTCTTGAAATTATTCCAGTAATCCTGTCTCCAAGCGTCTTTTGTCAAAAACGGGACACTTTAAGCAAGTTGTAATTCATTTAAAACGTTATCCTCTTCACAGGTATTTTTTGTCATCCGACTGAATGGTCGTAAGACTCCGGAAACAAGTGACCCCGACCAGCTGATGAACTGTGACATCATGGATGGCCGAGATGCCTTTTTGACGCTGGCCCGTGAGAAGCACTACGAATTTTCGTCATTGCGCCGTGCAGTTTTTTCCACTATGGCCATGCTGGTCGAACTTCACAATCAGGGAGGGGATCGATTTGTTTACACTTGCAACATTTGTAAGAGGCCTGTGGAAACCAGATATCACTGCAATGAATGCGAGGTACACAAAGTGATAATTTCCCTAGTATTGTTTTGCTATTAAGAGCGGAAGTAACTTACCTCCATCTTCTTTGATCAGAGACGGCTAAAAGTTGTCATTCAGTCCACATGTGCTCATTGCAAATTCAGTATCATACTGTACAGGTTACTGATATGGTATTTCCTCATGCAGAGCATTAGAAAATGACTTTGCATTTCACCAGTTTGAGAGAAGCTGGTCTTAGTTTGGAAAGGATGTTTTATCTAGCATGATTCCTCGTTACACTTTTCATTCGTCAGCGAAGCCCTAACAATATTTACTTTATTATTTTTTTGTAGGATTACGATCTGTGTCTACCTTGCTACACCGATAAAGGACATGAACACAAAATGGAGAAGCTGGGATTCGACCTGGATATAGATCAACAACAAGGGCAAGGTGACGACAAGGAACGACCGCAACTCAGTGCGCAGGAAGAACGGCGATTGAAGATACAGCGCTGTATACAGAGCCTGGTACATGCCACTCACTGCAGAGAGCTGAATTGCCAACTGACAAGTTGTGCTAAGATGAAGCGTGTTGTGGAGCATACGAAGACGTGCAAGCGCAAAACTGGTGGAGGATGTCGCATTTGTCAAGAGCTCATTCATTTGTGTTGTTATCATGCAAAGCACTGCATAGAGAGAGATTGTGTGGTACCATTCTGCCGACACATAAAACTAAAGCTTAGACAACAACAAACACAGCAAAGATTTGCACAATCCCAGACTCTTCGCAGGCGAGTGGCTGCGATGCAGCGACAGGGAATGCAGCATCCACCTCCCATGCCAAGCCAGACAATGCAACAAGGCATTACCAGCCCTGGAACTATGGGACAGTCTCATCCAGCTTTGCAACCTCCCCAGCAGCAGCCCCCTCCTTACCAACCACCTGTCATGCCTCAGAAACCTGTTATTAGTGGCCCTCCTCCGCGTGCAGTTGAGGCAGCACAAAAAATTGCGCAAGTTGCTACAATGCAAGCTGTGAGTAACAGTGTGCAGATTGGTATACAGGGTCGCAATGTTCCACATCCTCAGCAAGTATTCCAACAGCAGCAGCCTCCTAATATGACATCTCCATCTGGACCAATGGCACCACCAACTATGATGAGACCGCAGAACCCTGCTCTGATGCAGCAAGGTATAGGGCAGGGCCTTCAACCGGCCATAAACATACCTCAACCTATGCAACAATCAATGGGTCAGTCAATGCAACCTTCATCCGGAGCACCTGTCCAACCAAACACTCCTACGTTAGAGTGGTACGCCAAACATCATCAACAACAGCAACAACAACAACAACAGCAGCAGATGAACCACCCCAACGCCATGATGCCAGGTGGACAACAACAGTATCCTCAAATGCCAGGACAGCAAGGGATGGCCTCAGTTGGATCTCAACAGAACCGACCCAACATGGGTGTGCCTGCTTCTCTACAGCAGCTGTTGTATACGCTGAAGGGTCCAACTACTCCCCAGCAGCAGGCTAAAGTACTAAGCATCCTTAAACAACATCCACAACTTATGGCGGCATTCTTAAAACAACGGCAACAGCAACAACAACAGCATCAGCAGCAACAACAGCAGCAGCAACAAGGTATACCTCCAGGAATGCAGCAAGGGATGCAGCAAGGAATCCAACAAGGAATCCAGCAAGGAATGTCACAAGGCTTGCAACAAACTATGCAACCTAATATGCAACAAAATATGCCGCACAACTTACAAGCTGGCATTCAGCAACAAACAATTCAGCAAAATATGGCTCAAGGAATGGCCAGTATGCAGCAAAACTTGCAACAAGGGATGCAAAATCCAATGCCACAAGGAATACATCAAGGTATGCCAAATGCTGTACCACAGAATATGCAGCATTCCATGCAGAACCCCATGCAACAAATGCCAGTTGCTTCACAGCCCAGTGTTAGTCAACAGCAGTTTTTAAGAATGTTTCAACAGCAACAACAGCAACATATTCAACAGCAACAACAACAGCAGCAGCAGCAGCAGCAGAACATGTTTCAACAACCTCAACTGCCTCCTTTCTCGCAAATGAACGCATTGAGGAGAGGCCAAGTGCAAAATCAGTTGACTAATTCACAGGCAGGTATGATGCATCCGCACAATGGTCAACCACAGGCGTCGTTGCCGCAACACTTCCAGACTAAACAGACGCCATTTGCGGCGCATTTAATGTCTCCACAGTCAGCGAACCCAATGTCACCGCAGCAAGGTATTCATCCCTCTCAGTCACCGCGACCAGTCATGTCTCCGCAACCTCATCCGACAGGGGCATCACCACGGCAACAGCCCACCATGTCCCCACATCCACAGCAGTCTACTCTAACGTCTCCACGGCCTGCGCCCTCGCCGCATCAGGCCGCCACATCCCAGATGGATAACCAACTTTTAGACAAACCGATGTTCAGCACTCGAATGCCACTTCCCCCGCTTCAGACTTCCACGGATCCAGACCTGTCAATTGGTCAGGAAGATTCACCACTCACGCCACAAGATCAGTTGACCAAGTATGTCGAAAATTTATAATAAAAGAAAGAAAACCAACAAATCCGTTGGGGAAAAAAAAAGAGAAAAGAATTTTAAAGTAAGGAAAGAGAAGAGATGAAATGTACTTTATGGAGCAAACTTTATACGTAGTTTTATCGCAGTGAGAATCGAGATGACGAAATTTTCTACCATTCGTACCATTATTATATAATTAATTTGTATAGCTGTTAAGCTGATAAATATCAGCTTATAAGGGCTCGATCCCTTGACCAAAGTCAGAGAGATAGAGCACTCCAAGGAATTTTAGTTTTAGAGTTTTTTGAACGTCTTCAGTCAAGAGGCACTGTATAAAGCGCACATTCTTACAATGCATATATATTTGTTCAAACGTACTTGTGTACCAATAAATGTGTGCACTTTTCACAACGTTTGTGTGCTTATTAGCTTCTTATAATTTGTAAATAAAATTAAAGCCCTTATTTCGAAAACAAACGATTTGTTTTGTCTACTGTCGTATTGTCGAGCTCAGACGGTCCAGTTTATTGTCTTCTAATCGCTCTGACGAAGGGCTAACGCTCGAAACGTCAGCTTTTTTACCCTTTACGGTGGCTAATTTACGTTTTCAACCCAGTTGTTAACACTAAATTACCTGCTATACTCTCCCACCAACGCAGCACCACAGTTTCTTTAGAAACTTACCCCTTTATATATTGCCATGGAGTTGATGTGTACACAGGTCCAACAAAATAAGCCCCCAGTTGCACGTCGTTGGAATAACGAAGATTTAGGTTAAAGTGAAAGCAATAGCTGTGAATTTACTTCGACATAGAAATTGATTTTGGAAAGCGTGTCTGGCTTAAACTTTTAAAAAATTGTTGAGAACTTAAAAGTGCAGAATTTTTCTTCCAGGCACACACCGCAAAAATGGCACTAACCTGGGCCTCTAGCGATCGCTACTACTTGTGCTAATTTACCGTTAATACCAAAACTTTTTTTTTCTTGTTTTTAATGACTAGCAAACACCGAGCCATACGGGATTCAGTCAGTATATCCCTTAAGGGATAAATACTCAGGGACTTGAGTGTGGGGTACTGGGAGCTAGCCTGTCACAGGCACTTAGTCGGAGAGGATCAGTGAACTAGTTTGGAAAAAAATCACCCGCTCTTCTTCATTTTCCTGTGCCAGTGTTTTCTTGGGGGTGCGAGTCTGTGTGTGTGTTCAGTTGGTAAAGGATAGCCTGTAAGTTAAACGATATGATACCATACTCTCATATCAGAGCGCTGAAGTAAATTGTTTTATTCAAAAACTCTATGGTGAAAGATCAAAACAAAAAATAATCAGACCGACTTAACCCAATTTCTTCCGCTTAAAATCTGTAATCAGAGGGAGATGAATATCTTGTAGGGAGAGGCCGAGTGAGAAAAATGAATATCTTGCAGGGAGAGCCGAGTGAGAAAAACGGGACACTGGAGCGAAGATGACTATTCGTTCACTGTAAGTGACGTAGTTACGCGGAAATCGCGTGGTAGGTTTGCGTAGATCTGCGAAAGTTGTCGCGTTCCGTTCCACCTCTTTCTCGTCGATAGCACTGGTTGGTGTTCATTAATTATGTTCCGTCTACCTGGAGTTGATGGATCACCTGATAGGGCTGCTGTGGAGGCAGAAAAGAGGAAAGCTAAACAAAATGTTTCGTTCACAATGAAAGTCTTTGTAGCCTACGTGGCGTTTTTACGCTTAGGTGAGAACTTTACTGTGAGCTATAGTACCCTTGAGTTTAAATGTGTGATAATCAGAGATAAAGCGATGTAATTACGACATCTCGCTGTCTTGTTCGTTTGCAGAACTATTCATGTAATACTTCCTCAGAAGAGTCTTTCACTGCCTTGAGTGAGGAGAAATCTCCTCCTCCATTACAGCTATGCGTTCACTAAAATTTATTGACAGTTTCTCTAAATCTAAATCCCATCTAAAGAGGAGAACTTTTAAATAAACAACTAGGGGCTATCACAGTCATCTGATCATTAGAATTGATTGAAAGTTCCACTAAATTTGAATCCCATCTAAAGAGGAGATCTTTCATACAATCAACTTGTTTGCTATCAGAGTCATACGATCATTGAAATTGATTGCCAGTTTCACCAAATCTCAAATCTAATCTGGGAAGGAACATTTTCTCACGAACAAGAGATTAGGTGAACCTAGTTTGTAATTGCTTCCAATTTCCAACAATCAACGAATTCTTTCTTGACATTTTAGTTATTCCAGGTTGAATATAATCCTGGTTTAAATGTATGTTGCCACTGACATCTCTAGAGCAGGACTAGTACTATTCTGGTATAAACAATTTTTGGCTAAGGTGTTTTTTTTTCCTTTTTAAGGTATGGCTAGTCTGTCAGCTCATTTGGGTCTAATTTTATTTAGAAGCATTTATAACTTAATTTTTTAGGTATGATTTCTGCATAGCTCCATGCTTTATTATGCTCACACTTCTGGGATTAATAAAACAATGGGAAAAACCATAGATTTTCTTTGGGACTACAGCTTTCTTTTAGAATAGTATAGGGCTGTGCAGAAATTATATTGATGTTATTGAGGGCCATAGCATCATCAGTTTCATTACTGTTGTGTAGTTAAAAGGCTACTATATTGTATTGTATTGAGGATGAAAGAAATTTATCACATGGGAAGGAGAGGTTTAGCTCTCTTAAAATTCCATCATAAAAGTAATCTTTGTTGTTCTTTTATAGCTCCTTATGCATACAAAGCCTTTGCTGGATAGTTCCGGTGGCTTGAGGGAACCCTGTGGTTCATGAATCATGTTTGTTTCTATGTTGTGGATGTGGTTTTCTAAACAACGATCTTCATTATGTTTGGCACTCTGGTTTGTCTATGCATCATTTCTTTAAGAACATCTGATTCCAATCCAGTGGTGAAATCTTGAAGACAGTGCAGAATTAAAGTATGGTTCAAGAAAACGGATGTTCATCAGCTAAATGACTGCATAGTGTGGTTTTCAAGAACTCAAACCTGTAAACCTCATACATCATGGATGAGTTGTGAAAACTATTTTACTGTTTTGTTCATTAGGGAAAAGCTAATTTGTGTTTTTAGGGAGTCAAATTTTTTTAGCAATATCATTGTGTCTGTGGAGGTGGGTGGTCTGATAAAACATTGTTAGATCAGATCACTCTTATGTTAAATACTTGTTGACTCTTATGACCTGCAGTACTTAACCCTTTAACTCCCAAGATTTCATGACTAATTCTCCTTACTGTCTGCCATTCAACTTATGTGATGCTAGTTGGAGAATTTAGAATTGGATCAACCAGTAGTTGCCCAATTGATATTTTTTTTATTCTCATTCTTGTCTGCTTGATATCATACTGATAATGTAAGGAGAAATTCTGTCTTGGTCACTAGGGGGACTTAAAGGGTTAAACAGAAAACAAAATTCGAAAGGAGATGAATCATGGTAAAAAGATTGTTGTTTATTATTTACCAAACAGATTTCAAAGATTTTGTCCAACCATGATTGGTTTTATAAATGTACACACAAGTATTTCAAAGACATTTTATATAACTTAGCACTTACTAAATAACTGTAAATTAGAGTGCATGCCTTGCTGAAACATTTATTTGCTATTCTACCAAGTTTTTTAAAAGCAGCAGACTAAAAGCAATAAAAAAGTTACAAATAGAATTGAAAAGTTTAAAAGAAAAGAAGTCTTTGTCTTAGCAATAACCATGGATTGAATGTTACAAGACTGTGAAGATGAATCTCACCACTCCATAACTCTTACAAAAAGCATTATATTCAATAAAATGAGGCTACCTTTTAAAATTTTTTCTTTAATGTGTTTTGTTTTTTGTTATGGTTTTCCTTAATTAAAGCCCTCTTTACCCTGAAGTTTTTATGAAAGGTTGTGAAAACTATTGGTTGTACTAGTAATCTATTTATCATCTTAAGATATTAAACAACCAACCATGTTACTTTCTATTACAATGATGGCTGCTTCATATACAGTCATTGAAAATATTCTTACTTCTTACAATATTATGGAATTGTTTGGATGGAGGGATTGATCGAAGTGATAAAGATTAGGTCACTGGACTGGACTGGAAAAGGCATTCACAATTGACTGCTCTTCAAGTGGTTTTACTCTCATGATAGTTATTTTTTGTTCTTTCAAAAGATGCTAGTAAACTTGATGGTTGAGAAAATAAGAAGGCAGGTTTTCAAACTTTTAAACACTTCTGCTTTGACCTAATTTCCTCAAGTAGTAAAATATACAGCAAAAAACTGCAGTCTTCTATTATCAAAGGTATTTTATGCTTAACATACTCTAAAACTACCAAATATTTGTCACCAGGCAAAGTTATTTTTTCCCTTAAGAACAGGACAAGATCTTAAAGGGAGAGAAGTTGCAAATGACGGTCACTACTCTTGTACAAATATGGCTCCTCTAGATAAAGTTAAAAGGTACAATGCCTTTTAAATTTTGTTTCTACGCCTTGCAGCCTCTTCTCTCTGATCTGAATACTGTTAATGAGAAGGCAAAGTTGTCTACTGTAAGCTGGAGGGGAACTGTCAAGGCAATCATTGGTCAATGTATTCTTACTCTGCTTCTTATCGATCATTAGGTGCGTGACTGGAGGAAAGCAACACGAGCCTCATCATCTTCATCTCTAAAATGAAATTGAGGGAGAGTTAGTGCTGTTTAAATTGACTTTCTTATTGCTAGTTTTGTGTTGATAATACATGCATTTTTTAAATCTTGTATTTGACTGCTGAATTTTTATTTTCATGTAGAATATTTCCATTGAAGTTTGATGGTTATAAAACCAGATGCCATCAGGAAGGGAACATACAGTAGTAGTGATAAAAGTACTTATGATAAAACTAGCATGCCACTGAAAAAGAAGTCATAGTCTCTTTTTAAAACTTGAAACTAATGGAAGTTTAGTTACTATAGTAGGAGTTGAGACATTTTTTTCTAATTTTTAAAGGAAGAATCAATATATGTTCTCAACAATGAAACAAAACTTACTCTTTGTAGAAATTCATTTTGACTTTCTTTCCACGGAAATCTCTACTTCCCTTTCTAAAGCAGCAGTAAACTGCTCCAATAATAACAAATGTGAGAATTCCAGATACTGCTAACACAACAGAAATCCAGTGCTTCTCCACTTGATCTAAATTCAGAAAGTTATACAAAGTTTTTAGATTTTAGTCTCAGATTCCCTTTGTATGTTATTCTCAATAGTATTTTCATTTCAATACTTGTGGCGTATGTACTGGACTCCTTGATAAAAGATCCAGGCTAGAGATCTGGCTGGGTCATCGCGTTGTGTTCTTTGGCAGGATTCTTTACTTTCCTGTTGTCTCTCACCACCCAAGAGTTAAAATTTATACCAATGAACTGTTAGGGAAACCTGAGCAAATTCTAGGGAGGGGACCCTTAGAGCAATAACCGTTATTACATCATGATACAGGAAACAGTATAACCTACACCAATGTGGGGCATTTGGCTCAAGTGCTGACTTAGGTTAGCTAATCATTGCAATGAATCATGCATCTCTGAGAGTGATGTTAACAGTGTGAGATCCTCACACCAGCTTCCATCCTTATAATATTTAGTAAAATGCAGTTTCTTTAATTTTTCTTAATTTATCTCTCTTCCTGAACTTTTGTCATCCTCACTCAAGTTGTCTTCATTCCCAACATTTCTAAATAGTGCAACATATTCAGTACCTTTCCAAAATGATTTGCCATTATCTTTATTCCTGCTATTTTTCATGATGATAACCTCCTTAACTTTCAGAGTGTCGTCAATGTTAGTGACGTTGGAAAGGTCTGTTAGATAAGCATCTGAATTTCCATATGCCCCAAACATCCACAAGGGCTGCTCCTGACAGAAAATTATATACCTCTTTGTTATTTTACATTACATCGTTCCCTTGGACCCAAAGGCCGTCCACATAACTCCACTCACAGTTTGGTTAGTAATCTAGTCAACAAACTTGAGGAGTTCAAGAAAATATTTAAACATTTGCTGAGGAAATTCGTTGATATCAGACTCAAAGTGAAATGAACTAGCTGCTACAATGGTGCGGATTACACTCCTTCTAATAGTTGAACCTGTTCTCTAAGAAAAGAGAAGAAGTGATGATAACAGGGAAGAATACAGTACAAGTTCACAGGTTAGAGGCTAAATGGCAGACATACTAAAGAGAGCCCCTTTCTTGGGGCCTTTTTGTGTGATAACGTTTCTGAAAAAATTTAAGAAAACTAACTTACAGTGATGGGCACATCTTGAGGGTCGCCAGTCTCCAGTTTCCTTGTAATTTTGAGAACCAACCCTCTTGATTTGTTTGTAGTTGTTTGATCCAATGTCACTTGATAATCCAGAGTAGAATTTTCATCCTTCTCCAATTCACCAGGTTTTTCCATTGTATTCGCGTCCTGAAAAATACAAGTATGTGGTAAGAGTTTGAATCAGGTACCACTAGAGGAGATGTGACTAGCTCTAACCTCTATGGCCTAATTTAAGGCGATGAGAATAAAGGGGTATTTTCCTGTGAAATTCAAGAGCCGGTTGTAACACAAACCGCAGTATTACGCAAGCAGTGAGCCATACACATACTCTCTAAGAGGGTTGTTTTCATTAAATGAATGTCTTTCTACTGCTAGCTTTCGGCCCGTATTACACTGTTCACAAAAAGAATTGTTTAGATAAAAGATTCAGAAAATTCAAGATAGTTTAGAACGAGGTTTTGTTAAACAACGGCCAAACTCTGGTCGGCCCTAACCTGAACCGGCCCTAAGAGTTTGGTAGGGGGCTACAACTCTCTGCAGTATTTAGGCGTCCGGTCAGGGGATCAGCAATGTAATCCCTTGATTTATAACTATCTTAATGATAATCATTCTACATAGATCCTCTCTTTTGACTGGCAACAAAGCATAGTACGTAAGGACAAAAAGTTCCGAGTGGATTAATGTTTTCTCTGAATTATTTTATCTGCGCTTCTTGCCGAATCGAGAGAAGTACAGAAACTGTTCAGTTTTGCGTCTGCCTGAGTCACAACGGAATGTACCCGTTAAATTTAAAATGCAAAAATCTTATTTTTAGGCTGAATTATCCTTATCCCTCCAGAAACCCAAATAGCTTGTGCTTTTGATTTCGTCCAATTGAAAGAGCAAGGTATAGATAAGTTAACCTTCCTAATTGGATCCAGTGGGCGTGATATTAGAAAGTCGTTTATAACAAGTAGGCATCATACCACTGTGGTCCTCTCCTTTGGTGCAGAGGTCGGCCAAGTGATCACAAAATCTCCGCGAGAATCTTTTATGCTTCCCGGCTTACTTTTGGCCGCAGATTGATTTTTCGGCACATCCATAAATCCTAGCAAAACCCAACCTTTATCGTCGACCATAACGTTGATTTTGAACTCCACGCTAGATGCCTTTTCATTAATGCGCCATTCAACGACATAATTGTCGCTTAAGTTGACTTTGTCGGCCAAAGCGTCGATTTTTCCTCCTCGGTTTTCATGCGACGCATCAACAACAAGGAAGAGGCAAAGCAAATTTGCAATCAAGCCCATTGTTTTCATCGAGTATTCCGAGGTTGTGTACATTATACGGCTTCAACTGGATTTCTTAGAAGTTCTGCGCCGGCAGCAGTGAAACACTAAGCAGATTTTCGATTCGAGGGAAAAGAATATGCGTATGTAATAAATTTTAATCACTTGAGTGAGCGCTGTACTCGGTCCAGTGATGATCAGTTGTATTCTTGTGTGCACCTAAGAGGTTCTTTGCTGCAGGTTCAGCTGCGTTAATACTCCGTTGTTACGTTCTCTTTCTCTTTCGTCGAGGATATCCGTGCCCAACGGGTTCAGTTTAGTCCATTCCACGCGGTTTCCAAGAGCTCAATTTTTTGGTCAGGCATGAAAAAATTCAATAAGGGAATGAGTGTTATCCACGTAACCCTTTGCGATGCAAATCAATCAGTTTGCTTAATTTGAATACAATTATTATTCATACTCTTCAAAACAAAGAGGACAATGCAAGGTTTATAGTGCGATGTTTTCGCTTTCCACGCAAGAGATTTTCACCGTTTGAACTGAAAGAAAAACTTCTTGATTTCAATTTGATTGAGGAGCATATTTCAGACGATAATGACCTGGTAGAATGCACGTGGTACCATGTGTTTTTCCGTGTCTTTAATCAGTAACGCAACGTTTAAGTGGTATTATTCCGTGGGTTTCCCAGTCGCTCATGCCTATTACGTAAGCCAACTCTTAGATACCATTCGCGTCTTTTTATGCCAGTCTCAACAGAACTCATGCGTGAAAGGAATCGACAAATAGATTGATAATAAATGGCAAAATATTAAGAAGAATAAGAGAATTAATGTATTAGTTTACGGTTTTGCGTTACAAGACCAAACAATGGCTGCGAAGCAGACAAATGGAAAGATTATTGAATGAACGAAAATATACAAACAAATAATAGATACTTAGATACACAAAACAGGAGCACATTTGATATTTTCCCTCTATGATTGGTTTTTTTTTCAGACCTGTTCAACCAAAATGTCAGGGAAAGTTGGCAAGGGGGGAGGGGAGGGATGGGGATAAGAGAAAAGTAAAATAACATTTCAATGTATTAATTCCCTGCCGTGAATAAGTTTTCCTCCGTGCAGAAAAAAACCAAATCAGTAATGGCCTCTAATTTATTAAGAAATCTACGCTTCCCACAACTTAAGACAATCCTCAGACTACATGTGCATGCTCGTTTACGGGAATGGCGGCAACACCACAAGCTAGCTGCTAGTTAGTAACTTGCGATTGGATGGATTCAGCAGGTGTCTTCGACGGAGTTTTGCATTTATTACTTTCTTAGAATTATTCCGGGTTAATTTGAATTTTTTCTGCGTGAAGAAAACTATAAATGGGTGTGCAAATGTTCGTGCCAACTCATTTCCAGCAGCCAGAATTTTTACTTCCCTACACCGAACATTAAGAGTCCTGATACAGAAATTAGCCACTAGAACTGAGTAAAGTCCAACTGTTACCATTCAATCCGAGTGTGTTTCAACGACAAGGATCCGTCAAAAATGCCTTCATGTAGCCACACTGAGGTAATTTCCGTTTTTGTTCTCGCCAGTTCTGGAAGAAATTGCACCATTTCATTGTGGTAATAAGTGGAGCGTAACCTAAGTAGCCTAAGTATGAGCAGCCGGTTTACATGTTGCAGCCATGAGCAAATTGGCTGATTGCTCTCTGAAGAATAGCAGGCAATCTTAGACCTGTAGGGTGCATAAAAGTGGCTTCCAAGGCCAAAACAAAGTAACTTTTATCTTTTTACTGGAAAATAAGGAATCATCCATAAGAAACATAATCATTTGTTGCCTTGTAAGTTTAGCTACTATACTAATCTGATTAGTTCTGCTTTCATTTTATTTGAGTATCCGGAATAATAATGGTCGTATTGCAACCGGTGCAGACTTTGAGTTTGCCGCTAGTCTGTTGGGTCTGCGCCATTTTGTCAGTTTTGGTAGAAAATGATGATGCTGAAAATAGCTCATAATGAAGAGCCAATGGGGTTCGTGCTTTGATCGAAGGAAGAATCATATCGTCTTTGTGTTATTAAGTTACTGAAAAATAGTAGCTTAAAGCACAAACATGTCTTTATGGAAAGGTCGAGAAAAATCATCCTTACCGCAGGCTACTCTAGGCTTTCCTGCACACTCTGATTTCCTATTGAAACAGGCAGGATGTTTCCTGTTTGGTTTCTTGAGAAGATAACTTTTTTAATAGATTATATCTTTTTTGACGTCAAATGTTTTCTTTCTTGTAATACGCTGATGTACTCAGACTCTAAACAAAATGACAAAATTTGCTGAAATTTGTTGTCAGGTTCGCCCACGTTTATAGAACTCTTGAAGAAAATCAGATGCTTGACAAAATTAATTGAATTATTTTTATCTCCAATGATGAATTTTGATTGGCTGAGTGAGCATCAACAAAATTTCATTACCAGACCCCCCCATATTATGGAAATCTCGCGAAGATGTCTGTGAAGGGAAGCGGAGGAATAATGGCAAACAACGACTGTTTTCAAGGTTTATCTGTTACCAGTTATCTAGAGAATATAGCTTAGGTGTTCTTCTTTTGCCTCAAAAGAAATCAATGCGATATGGAGGGCGAAGAAGAGAAAAACGACGTAGTGTACTCCAGTGGAGATGAAGGAGGCGCTACAGTTATGTCGGAAAGAGTGTCCAATCTCGCTAACAGTATTTACAGCGAGTTCGAACGAATGATTCAAAAATATGATCAAGACGTTGTGTCAGGACTTATGCCACTTATGGTGTCTGTGTTAGAACAACTGGATAGTGCCTATGGAGACAACAACGAGCAGTTAGTTGAGTTGGAAATATTGAGTGATGATAACGAGCAGCTCATTACTCAATATGAAAGGGAAAAGCAACTCAGAAAGCTGGCGGAAAACGTAAGTGGTATATGTTATCTCCTCTTTAGTTATTCCCCTAAGTAAAATTAATCCTTTAGTATTTTACCAGCGAATTTTTCGGTTAGGGGAAGCTATGTCGTATGTTTTTGTACATAAATTGTTATATATATCAGCCCCTCGTATTTGAGATTTAGTAATAGTTTCTCTTTTCACACCAGCACAAATAATAGCATTCTACCACTGGAATTGGAAAAATGCGTATATGAGAAATTTATGTATCTTTCTTTTGATGTTAACTATTTAAATCATTTTTTCTTGTTGTACCATTTTTGTTGTTCCATTTTTGACAGTGCATTTAGGGAAGGCGTTGTCTTTTCGAAAATAATAATCTTGCTTTGATTCTAAAGACTTCAGTGTTTTTTTCCGTTCCCATATTATTAAAACCATGTAAATGAAATTTCATTTCACGGTATATTTACCACAGTCGCTGACTGTATTTAATGCTAAAATTTGTTTCCAATTTGAAAGTGCTATGCATAAATTAATGTGGCTATTTCTTTAGGCCATTTGGAATTATGTTAAATATTTTTTTGTGCAACAGATACATGCCTGGTCATCAGTGCTTCATGGGCTAGTAAGAAAAAAAGTTGTTAAGCACCAAAAATTTTAAGATATTGAGAGTTTTTGTCATGTTTGGCTGAAAATTATTAGAGGATGATGGCAAGGACATAATTAAGTAGTATAAACATTTACTTAAATTATTGTGTTGTCAAACTGTGCGTATACCTTTTAGCCTTAACAGCAAACTGTAACCGATACCTTGAGATTATTTCATCATTATAAATAGAAGCTGGTGGTTTCTCTGCCAACTGTTTGGTTATATTTTGCTGGGTATTAATGGTTGAAAAAATTGTACTGTTAATAATGTTAAGATTTATCGATGTCATGTCATGCTTGACCTGGTTTAACCTCAATTGGTACAATATTTTGCCTTAATTTACAATCCATCCAAAATAAACAGACAATTACATGCAAGTCTGTGGGTTTTAGTTAACAAGGCCCTTGATGGAATAATATTTTTATGGGGGAGTGTGAAACAATTTTTAATTAGTGTCAGTAAAGAAATGAGAGGTAACATAAGAAAATATTTATTTACTTTTATTTCAGAGATATCTGGAGATAGAGGATCAGATTGAAGCTGAAAAGAGAGAATCTCACAAGCAGATTGATACCTTAGAGCATGACAATAAAAGTCTGGAATCTCGAATCAAAAGTTACCAAGACCACAGTTAGTGATACAAAATATTTTAGCATATCACTGTAGTCTAAATAGTGACTTAAAAAAGTCTCTTTTGTGCTGACAAAATTTCTTATTTTAAGTTGAACGGCAGGATGAAAGGATATCAGAGATGAAACGTGAATATCATACTCTTCATGAAAGACATTCAGAGGTGAGTCACCTTTTGTTTGGGTGATGTTTTGACCTGGAAAACAACAGACTACTGTCCAAATATAAAATGTCATGGCTTGGAAATAACCACAAAGGGGCAAGAATGGCAAAGTCCGTGAAAAACTGTTTTAAACCAGGTCCTAGTGGAATGTTGTGCTTAATAGTCAGTATGTATACATGGCAGGCCTGACTGGTATTATTTTGTGGTCAAGTAAATTAACCCAACTAACCTTATCTTTGAGTTAAGGAGTGACTGTTCTTTAGACAAACTGACAAGGCCCATTGGGCTAATCTATGTGAAGGCAAAAGAATACTAATCAAGTCTGCCATTTATGCATAGGGTGCATATGAACCAATCCTAACTACATTTCTAATTCATCTGTAGTTGCAACATTGTAAGTCACTAAATTTACATTTTTTCAAATATTTTGTGTCTCTTTGAAAATGACTTTTTAACCCATCAGTACATGGTTCATACAGGTCCTGGGATTTTATTTTCACATTTTGAAGGACTCAAAAGCCCTAGAAAAAGACTACAGGTCTTGAAAGGTCCTGAAAATCTGCTTAACCCAAGCAATAAAGGTTTTAGAATATATGTTAAAGGAAATGTATATAGACTATAAGGAGAATTGATTTTGAAATCTTGGGAATGAAGGGTTGAAGGTGAAATGTGGGGTCCTAAAAGATCAATCTGAGTTCTGGAAAAGTCCTTGAAATTTGTCTCTAAAAGAGGGTGAGAACCCTGTCAGTAGTCTGTTACAGCTGTGATTGTGAACTTGGCTGATCTAGTTACTGACAATGAGCTTCACAGGTAATAATTGTTTGACATATGAGTGGCATGCGTGAAGCATTTGATCAGGGCTATGTTTAAAATTAAAAATTTAGTCAGGCTTAAACTAAAAATTGTTTTCTTCTGCAAATTTGTGTCAGTTACTCCATCAACACATGGAGCGGCTGCAGAGAGAGGACAGAAAAGGTTCAGGCTCCACAGCAGATACACCATCCAGGACTCCTTTTAGGTAACAATCATAACTCACAGTAAACTCACAAATGATTCCCTAATCTTTCAGTATGAGCTTGTTTTTGTGGGAAGTTAGTTTTCAAGTTATGAATTTTTCCTTTGTTGTTGTCAATCTCTTCACTGTTGGTGAGTAGTGTAATTGAGTATCTGGAGTCTAATGAGGATATTAAGTACTTTAGTAAGTTTTCAGAAGTCAAAAAATGTAGTGAGAGGTCATAGGACTGAAATTGGAGATCCCACCTGATTGAAAAGTTTTGTGGATCTTCCTAAGTCAATGTAGTTAATATGTTTTCTGTTGTTTGGCATTGAGTACTTGCTAGATTTAATCCTTTACTCCTTTCACTTCCAACAGACCAAGAACTGTCTCAACAGACTCACCACGCTCTCCCATTGGAACACCTGTCAACTCTTTAACAGATTTGCTACCTGGCACCTCTCCAGGAGGACCCAAGAGCATTGATGGTGACATGGTTGTACCTCCATCGCCTCACAGAGGAGACAGCAATGAGATGTCACTTGAAGAGGAACAACTTGCTGGTAAAGGGAAAGGTTTGTAGCCTTCTTTGTTTCTTTTTTCCTTGATTTTGTCTGTGATTGCTCATGAATTGCCGATTAAGCTGAGGTGAGTATTTACTTGTGAATATACATGTAAGACCTTATTTAAGAGTGTAATTCTTAACAATTAACACTTGTTCCATTTCTACCTTGCAGGTAGTGAGACTGAGAAAAAAACTGGTGTTGGAGAAGTTTCTCCTGCTGCCCAAAATGTTCGTGGATCTCCTGGTAGTGGTTTTGTCGCCATAAGTGGTGATAAGCTGGATAGTAACAGCATTGGAGACATTGTGAAAGGCTCACCATCAAACACAACCAGTTCACTACAGAGTTTAAATACAGGAACCTGTCACCTTACAGATGTCGACAACATGCCAATCATGACAGTGACTGATGTTGAAAGAGTGATTTCTGGAGAATCTCAAACTCCTCCAGATGGAAGCTTTGTTCACCTGAGTAATGATGCTGCAGCCATCATGGCCTCCACACCTGAATTGATACCTAATGCTGGGTCTTCACCTGTTGATGTGATTAGAAGAGAGGGTAGCAGACAAGGTGGAGAGCGCCCCATATCTTTGGATCTGGAGACACTTCCTCAAGGTGTCAGTGCACATTCTTTGTTTGCTGAGCTGTCTATTCAAGAACCTGACATCATTGGGCAGGTAGACACTGGTGCAGACATCACTGCAATGGTTGGAGAACTGGACACAGTGTTAAAAGAGAATAAAGAATTGCTGACTGCAAAGTAAGCATGTGAAATTGAGAGTATCGTGGACAATATCGGTTTTTCTTACTGGTGTTTTTGCAATTTAATTGCAGGACCAAACTTGTTACTCAAAAGAATGATCTTCTGAAAAGAGTTGAAGAGTTGTCCAAGTAAGTCTTTATTGATCAATACTTACTATTTTCTGATTTGTTAAGGTAGATATTATTTTGAATTTTTTTAAGGTGATGGTTTTGTTTATGCCTTGTTGCGTTAAGGAGGTCTGTTCATCTTTAATGAGCCACATTTTTTTAATTGCACTTCCAACTTTTTTGTCTTAACCGTGAAATTTGTGGTTTGTAGTTCTGTTCTGAATTTTCCTAATTCATTTTCTTTTTGCTTTTTTTAGTGAAAAGGAACTAGCAAGAGAAGAAGTGATAGCACTTCAAGACACCAAGAGTCGTTTATCACAGCACATCTCAGAGATTGAACAGGAACTGAAAAGGTCAGAACCAATTCCTTGTTTTGAGATTTAACTAATTTATAGACAGTTTTATCTTGCACCATAAAAATGCAAAAAAAAAATTAACCTGGCCAACATTCAACCCTCACACTTGCTGGATGCATTAGCTGATGTTATTTTGAACTGTCAATCCCAACTTCTAAAATCCTACTCATTCTGCAGACTTTTCAAGTTACTGTCATAATCCTCATGTAGGCATAACTTGGGAAAATTTCAATTAAAATAGACTGAGTGATCCTTAAAGCAATTTTTATTTTTAATATTGCCTCTGTGTTACTCTGACTATGATTTTATTTTGTTGCTACTTGTTCTGTCACAAATTTTACAGGTAGAATTTGTTTTTGCTGATCAGAAAATTTAAAGCAAAATCTCCTGCTTGTTTACAGGGTGAAAATGGATGCAGAAAAAGCTACAGTGGCTTTAAAAGAGGTAAACCACAGACAAAACATTATTCATGACTTGAGGAGATATATGAATGAATTTGTTTTTCTATAGCATTTTTTCATTCATTTGCAAGAATTGCAAACAAATTTATCTGATGTCACAACAAGTGTTGAGAAGTAACAATGAATTGTTTATGCATTTTGATTTGATAAAAATATTTGACTTAATCATTTGTAGGCTAATGTGTCAGCAGCTCATCGAAAGAGGTTTACGCGAGTTGAGATGGCCCGAGTATTGATGGAAAGAAACCAGTACAAAGAAAGATTGATGGAATTGCAAGAGGCTGTAAGATGGACAGAAATGATCAGGTAATTTCAGGCAAGAAATGATCACTTAGTCTGTAATAACTCAATGAATGGTGTGAATAAGTGTAGAGAACAGCATGACTTCAGATACAGTTGAATTAGTCTATGTTAATTAGTATTTATCTGATAGATTGTTAGTTTGTTGAGTCCTTATTTTTGCAGTACCAATGACTTTTTTTTTTATTTTTACACTGACCAAGCAATATTTATTTATTAATTTCTTACTTCTTCTATTTATTTAATGATGATGAGTTCCATTATGTAGTACATCACACAGTTGAGAATTTAATAATCTAAGAAAACCAACCCATCTGTTTTCAGAGGAAATGGTAAACTTAATTTGAAGTGTCTCAATGAAAGTGTTCCTTTTCTTCTTCCTAGGGCATCAAAGGAGAGAAACCTTGAACTGCAACAAAAGAAGAAATCATCCATTTGGAAATTGTATATAGCTCATTTGTTTTTAAGATTCAGGATTCTGATATTTTTCAAACTTGTGCATATCTGAAATCTAAAGTAACAAAAATATGTTGAATCAGTTTCAGCAATCTTTTTGGACCCTCACCAAAGAAGCCTGCCCCAACCATGGTCAGCATCAGGTACAACTCCCCTCAGGGGGAGGGAGAGTCATCTCCTTCATCTCGACGTAGCAGCTCTGTAAACTCAGGATCTACAGGCTCAATTGCAGTTGCAAGTGGTGGAGGATTTGGTAGTGAGAAGTGAGAAACTTTTCTTATTAGCATCTAGTTTCTACTTACATTACAAATGTATTTTGTTAGCTTTGATTACCAAAAAATGAAAAGTAATTAAGGTTAGGTTTATAGAGTAAACTGTGAGTTCTGGCCTTCTTTCAGGAAACTTACCAGGGTTGAAACTGCATGAAAGGCTATGATGTAATGAAACCCACTCTAAGGAAGAAATTAAAAGCCCAGAAATCTGGTTCCAAAATGATTTTCTGTCATACTCACTCACTGTTCTCATCTTTTAGCTTTGATCGGCAGCGACTTGTGGAGAGAAGGGAACGCTACAGACAAGTGAGGGCATTTCTCAACTCAGGTGATATTTTAAATCCTCCTCATTTTCTATGCTTCTATCTTATGTACATAATTCATGAACAGATGGTGTTTTCCATGCATTATCAATCCTCAATGTCAGAGTTTTTGTTTTGATTTCAGATGTTGCTGAGGGTCGCATGCAAGCTTATGGCTGGAGTCTTCCGGCAAAATACTCAACAGAAGTTGCAGAAGGAGGAAAAAGCCTGGTGTCTGTCCCTGTACCAGTTTATTGCAGGCCTCTTAATCTTAATGACCCTGGGATGAAAGTATGTTTGCCTCTTAAAATCAATTATCAATATTAAATTGGTGAATGTTCTTTTCATCCTCAAACAAAGGAACTAGTTGTACACTTTTATAGTTTCTATTTATCATATTGAAAGAACAAGTACTAAACACAGTTGTAATCTTGATGCAGATCTGGTGTGCAGCTGGTGTAGATTTGTCTGGTGGGAAGACACAAGATGGTGGTTCAGTCATTGGTGCAACTAGTGTATTTTACACAGACAGTGTGCGTGACCAAGATGAAACAGGAATGGACCCAAAGCTGGAGCCAAAAGTGTCTATGGTTTGGATTGGCAGCAGCACACACTCATGCAGTAAGGTTACTGTTGTTGATGCTAATTACCCTCAGAACATTCTGGATTGCTTTATAGTGTGTACATCACATCTATTGTGCATCACTCCTGTGCCTGGTGCATCAGAAGGGGATTATCAGAGTTCGGAATGGTCCTCATAGATGTTTATTAGAAGTGATTTTGAACACAGATAACAAAGCATTATTCTTACTTAAAGGGTTTATTTTTTGTAGTGCATCAATAAACACATACCACAAATGTAGTATAACTGGATTTGCAGAGTTGGTGTTAGAGTTACTTTTCCTTCATTGCAGACCCACTACAGACAAACCCTGACAAAGGTGATTCCACTGAGGGTTCAGGATTCAGTGATCCACTGGGTACAGTTAAAACAGACTCTTTTGATACTTTGCAATTTTTAGACAATTGAAGACATCATTTCTGTGATTTTTAATGGTACATTGTGTTGTTTGTGATATGTCCAGGAGTACAAACAGCCCAAGGATCGGATGGACCAACAGTAACAGACATCACAGCTGGTGAAAGTACATCACCTGGAGCCACACCAGTTGAAGGAGTTGAGAAAATGAGCAGTGTATTACCAACCATGTGGCTCGGAGCACAATCTGGCTGGTAAGTCACAAAGTGTGTGAATGGTTTATGATATACAAGCTGTTTCTTAATGAGAGTGAATCTGTCTTGATCTTTATTTCTTTCTGTCTGTCTGTCTGTCTACAAGATATTCTACTAAAGAATGGTCATGTGTACAATATACTGTTGAATGATTCCTTTGCAGTGTGTATGTACATTCTGCCATTTCTGACTGGAAGAAATGCATCCATTCCATTAGACTCAAGGACTCAGTCCTCAGTATAGTGTGAGTACATGAAAAGCAATAACAAAAGTAACTGCATAAAATGATAGTCTTGAAAAAGTCTGTCAGGGATCTACCAGCAAGTTATGTGCCATCGACGAATATTATCCCTCTTTTGTAACATAACATGATCATCAGAATTTAAATAATTTGCTTCTATTGTTATCTTCTGCCAAACTTTATATTGTAGATATGTGAAAACCCGTGTCTTAGTTGCTCTTGCTGATGGCACAGTGGCCATCTTTCATAGGGCTTCAGGTATGTCTACCTTTGCTTTTGCCATCTTTCTCTCCTATTCTGATCAGGTTTGATGTTTGGCCATTTTGGTTTCTAGTAATCAGAAATGACCTTGTTAATTTTAGATGGTCAGTGGAACTTTAACAATTATCACTTGCTTGATCTTGGCCGACCACATCACTCCATTCGGTGTATGACTGTAGTTCATGACAAAGTCTGGTGTGGTTATCGCAATAAAATCCAAGTTATTCATCCCCGCAGCATGAAAGTAGAGGTATGTTGTGTAATAAAGTAACTCAGCACTCTGGTGTGTTATGAGGAGAACTAAGCTTGTCAAAAGGCTCTCATTCAGGATGTGTGAGTCAAGGTGCTTTTGGGTCTTTTCCTTCCTCCCTTTTACAGTGCTCAGATCTCTTTGTTCGTTTTTCTAAGTTATTTAATGCATTCTGTTTCTCTTTCCCCACACTCAAGATGAAGGCTTTTCTTTTCCATGGGAATTATCACAACAAGTTTCATGCGGGTTGACCAATTGCTGTAACATAGTAGTCGAATATGTTAATATAGCTTAAAGATGGAATTACTTTTATTGTTTATTTCCAACTGCCTTCAAACTAAGTGGTTTTGCTTTTGAAAAAGTTTTTCTAACTAACCAACAACTCTGAATAATTTTTAAGAAAACATTTGATGCTCATCCCCGACGTGAAAGTCAGGTTCGTCAGCTGGCCTGGATAGGAGATGGTGTGTGGGTGTCCATTCGTTTGGATAGTACACTGAGATTGTACAATGCACATACTTATCACCATCTACAGGATATTGATATTGAGCCATATGTCAGCAAGATGTTAGGTAAGTATCTCCTACCTACCTTTTCACCCATCTTTTCTACCGACCCATCTTTTCATCCATCTTACCTACCTGCCTACCTTCTCACCTATCTAACCAAACAACCTTTCCATCCATCTTACCAACCTATTCACCTTCTCACTGATGTCACCTACCTACCTACCTACCTTCTCATCTATCTTACCAAACTACCTTTCCATCCATTTTACCCACCTACCCACCTTCTCACCCATCTTATCACCCATCTTACCTACCTACCTTTCCACCCATCTTACTTACCTACCTACCTTCTCACCCATCCTACCTACTAACCTTTCCACCCATCTTACTTACCTACCTACCTTCTCACCTATCCTATCCTACCAACCTTTCCACCCATCTTACTTACATACCTACCTTCTCACCCATCTTACCTACCTTTCCACCATCTTGCTCACCTACCTACCTTCTCACCTATCCTACCTACCTACCTCCCCACCCATCTTACTTACCTACCTACCTTCTCACTCATCCTACCTACTAACCTTTCCACCCATCTTACTTACCTACCTACCTTCTCACCCATCCTACCTACTAACCTTTCCACCCATCTTACTTACCTACCTACCTTCTCACCTATCCCACCTACCTACCTTTCCACCCATCTTACTTACCTACCTACCTTCTCACCCATCCTACCTACCTACCTTTCCACCCATCTTACTTACCTACCTACCTTCTCACCCATCCTACCTACCAACCTTTCCACCCATCTTACTTACCTACCTACCTTTTCACCTATCCTACCTACCTACCTCCCCACCCATCTTACTTACCTACCTACCTCCTCACCTATCCTACCTACCTACCTTTGCACCCATCTTCCCTACCTACCTTTCCACCCATCTTACTTACCTACCTACCTTCTCACCTATCCAACCTACCTACCTACCTTTCCACCCATCTTCCTTTCCTACCTTTCCACCCATCTTACTTACCTACCTACCTTCTTGCCTATCCTACTTACTCACCTTTCCACCTATCTTTCTTACCTACCTACCTTCTCACCTATCCCACCTACCTTTCCACCCATCTAACTTACCTACCTACCTACCTTTCCACCCATCTTTCTTACCTACCTACCTTCTCACCTATCCCACCTACCTACCTTTCCACCCATCTAACTTACCTACCTACCTACCTTCTCACCCATCTTACCGACCTACCTTTCCACCCATCTTACTTACCTACCTTTCCACCCATCTTACTTACCTACCTTTCCACCCATCTTACTTACCTACCTTTCCACCCATCTTACCTACCTACCTTCTCACCTATCCTACCTACCTACCTTCTCACCTATCCTACCTACCATCCTTTCCACCCATCTTACTTACCTACCTACCTTCACACCCATCTTTCCTACCTACCTTTCCACCCATCCTACTTACCTACCAAACTACCTTCTCACCCATCTTACCTACCTACCTTTGAACCCATCTTACTTACCTACCAATCTTCTCACCTATCCTACCTACCTACCTTTCCACCCATCTTACTTACATACCTACCTTCTCACCTATCTTACCTACCTACCTATCCACTCATCTCACTTACCTACCAATCTTCTCACCTATCCTACCTACCTACCTTTCCACTCATCTTACTTACCTACCTACCTTCTCACCTTCTCACCCATCTTACCTACCAACTTTTCCACCCATCTTACTTTCCTGCCTACCTTCTCACCTGTCCTACCTACCTACCTTTCCACCCATCTTACTAACCTGCCTACCTTCTCACCTATCTTACCTACCTACCTATCCACCCATCTTACTTTCCTGCCTACCTTCTCACCTGTCTTACCTAACTACCTATCCACGCACTGATTTATTTACCTTCCTACTCGCTCTCACCTTTTACTAACCACTTGCTACTCGCCTGTCCTCTCCATCAACTTGCTCACTTGCTTATCTCCCCGTCTACCAGCCTTTCTAACCATCTCAGCTACTCCATATACATTTTCATTGCTTCCGCGTTTTAATAATTAGTGCAACTAAATATTTAACCTTTCTTGTTGAATGTTACAGTACTTTGTTTTGTCTTTTACAGGAACCGGAAAATTAGGTTTCTCGTTTGTACGTATTACGTCGCTCATGTTAACCAATGACCGTCTCTGGGTGGGAACGGGAAATGGTGTTATTTTGTCGGTCCCATTGGTGGCCGCACGTCCCGCAAGGGATGACGGAGAAGCACAAACAAGTTCCCCGGGGACGGGGGGAACCGGAGGTCCAGGAGGAGCGGTTAGAGTGTACAGCAACGAAGGAAAAGATGGAGACACACCAAGAGGCTCAAGCTTTATGCCTTACTGTTCTATGGTGAGTATGGTAACATTCGTGCATCGATGATTGTTTTTCATTGAAATTCCATCACCGTTTTTACTACAGAGGATGTCCTTTAGCTCTCTTATTCCAAATTTTTATGTCCAAAGCATGAGAGGCACACTTTCCCCGTTTCAAAATGAATTTTTTGTTTCAGGTTAACGCTCAGTTGTCCTTTCACGGTCACCGCGACTCAGTGAAGTTCTTTGTAGCCGTCCCAGGCTCTATGAAGAGAGTCTCTCAACCAGCGCCAGCCAACAGATCAACAAGTCCCAGTGGTCAACCTGCTAAGTCTAGCCCAGAGAAGACTGTGACCGAGTGCATGCTTTTAGTGTTATCAGGGGGAGAGGGGTACGTCGATTTCCGTTTGGGAGACAACGAAGAGACTGCTTTGGAAGAGCAAGGTGGTGATTTGATATCTGTCACAACTCGTGGTCAATCAACCAATGAGAGGAGCCATATTATGGTTTGGCAGGTGTCGGTCACATGATGACTATAGATATGGAAAGTGTAAGGTCCTGTTTTGGGGTGCAAATAAGGTCAAAAGTGCAGCAGTGTTACAGTTTGTATCACTGGGTAACTAACGCGAGGGGCCTCAGTATAGTTTTGTGCAGACGTCTTCCATCTCATGGCGCTACAGAGGGCCAGCCATGCCGTTACAGGTTACGTTTTACGAAATAATTGGAAAGTGACCGTGTCCTTGTAAGTCTATGGGATTAAAATTGCTTCACATAACAGGACCCACCTTTCCAAAGCAACAAATAAGGGGTTAAAAATAGTTTTTTTCAAAACTCATTTTATTTGTAGATAAACAGTAACACTCACATTTCACGACAGCAGTGTAATGGCACGTAACCCTTTCTCTCCCAAGTTCTCATTAGTAATTCTCCTCAGCGTCTGCCATGCAATTCTCAAGCCTTTAGTTCGGTGAATTTGATATTGGATCAACAAATAATCTTTGAATTGTTTTTTTCCCTCGACACTTGTCTGCTTGATATTGTAAGTAGATATTTTGTCCTGGTCACTTGTGAGAGTGAAAGCGTTTACTAATTTCATGGCACTTGTATTAAATATACACGAAAGTTAAACGTAATTCAGTTTTAGTACCTTTTGTAACTGATTAAGTTCGTTGGTCTGGTTCGGTTTTTTTAAGTATTTGTAAATAAGTTTCCAATAATTTCCAGAGTTACGAAATGTATTTTTGGTGGTACGTTACTAAATTAAGCATTAATGTTTACTATTTTCCAAGGGTTATTACCAATAATTATTACTATGTAACGAATTTCAAATCAAAATATATATCAGGTTTTACAATTGTAATAAATTAGTGGAAAGAAAACCGACCTGAAAATTAGAACGCGAAAGGTTTAATTAAAACTCTTATAAGCATTGTTGACATTTTATTTTGGCGGCAAAGGGTAACAGTGAGTTTTATTGCTGAAGATTAATGCGAAAGAACCTTGAATAGTTCCTATGGGTTTTCATTTTTGTAATCATCGTCCAGCACCTAAAATTTAAGAATTTCTGAGGATATAGCCCCAGACTTAGCTGTTTTCCTTTTTAATTAGAAAAAAAAATCTGTTCTACACACGCGACAACCGCATTAATCTTACCAAAACGCAATCCTGTGTCACGTGGCACGTTCATCCAATAGAAAAAGCTTATTTCAATCGCGGTGTAAAAATTCCTGTTTTTGAAAATGACTTTTTCTTGTTCTTGGCCATACAAGGAATGGTAGGACTTAGTGCCAAATTTTGTTACAGAAAGAGCAAACGTTTAGTCTTTCTAATATTTTCATTTAGAATTGGCGCTGTTAAGGAAGACCTTGGAGCATGAAAGGTGTCTGTAGCTATATTAGTTTACTCCCAAAATTGTTAGGTTATCATAAGGTATTTCGGTTTGGCTGAGGTATGATTATCGATCACTAGAATTAGTACGTAAACAAAATGTTGGTAAACTTGTATTCAAAATAATTTTCTCTATTACTTGTGACATTCGTTATGTTTTCTGTAGTGTATTGTCTTAATGTTATTATCTTTCTGCCTTGACAGAAGAAGGTTACTGTCGCCCCTGACACAAAGAGATGTTTTTGGTCAAGTCCAATCAAATATTACTCTCAGATTTAATTTATTATCAATAGCTCGTAGCCTTGTTTGGCGTCCAAAAGATATGATAGCTAACTTTAATGAAGGTTAAGTAGATTTTGATTCTATGTATTTATTTATTGTCTGCGGTTTTGTCTATCTGTTATTTTGAACTGATAAAATAGAGGATTAAAAACAGTTTCAGTTTAGACTCAATTCAAGTCTCACTGGTAACGGGGTTGTCCAATTCACTCAAAGTTCAGAACACTTCGCAGTGTGAAAAACAATTGGCACGGTTTGGCAAATACAGAAAATGAACAGGTTTGTGGAAGTCAGCCGTAACACAAAGGGAACAGAATAACCAGAGAAAAAAACAACAACAATAATGACAAAAAAGACAAACGAGAGTCAAAAGGAATCGGAAATAACATCGAAGTATCATGCCATCACGCAGGTTCATCTTTTGAGTAAATTCGATATTTCCTTTACCTGAACATAACTTCACGTGCTATTAAACGAAGCTGAAAACGTGCGACGAGATAAAACAAAGCACTCAATAGGATTGCATGCGCGTTTCAAGACTCAATGAAAGATATCAGTTAACTCACCGATAGCCACTTACACTTTTTCGGACTTGTCTTTTCACTTATCAGCAAGACATCCTGTCTCGCATTCCTTCAGTTAAAGTATTTTTGTTTCCGTACACAGCGACCATTCAATTTTTCAATACCTTGGAAGTTTACCAATTTCTATTTCTGTTAGTGAGGTCAGCAGGTCGGTCAGCAGGACACTGATATAGCAATGAACAATAGTATAGTGACCAAACTTAAGGCATTAATCACGTTAAAATCTCATCTTTAGAGCCAACTTTTGACCTCAAATTCCTTCTAAGAGCTTCTGGGTATCAATTGTCTGATGAACTAGTCAATATTCTTCTTTTCTAAAATGTACAGATACGTAGAACCTGTACAGTACGACTTAAAAACCCAGGCGAACATGTGTATTTCCCGCACACACCAGGTTTGGTTCCGGCATGTTAATGATTACTATTGTTGTGTTTTAGAAATCTCCTGCAGGACTGATCTCATCCTAAGTCAGATGTTCCGCTAACGTACCGGTAGTTATTGAAAGACAGAAATAATGCCAGTTTTTGCACTTTACCGGGATAAGTGCTTTCAATAAGAGGGCTGAGTAGTTGTTACTGATCTTACCTTGACATAATGATTGACAGGATCCTGTTATTGTCACGTTTGATTGGCTTACATCCAATTGATGACAAACCAGTGGTCTGACTGCAGTTTATTTTGCTTCTGTGCCAGAAGGTTAAAAATCCGAAATCTTCATTTTACCCCTCATTTGTGTCTCGCAGTCCTTCCCCAGCACTTTCAGAGCCGAACCTTCATTCTGTGGGATCCTACTAAGTATGAAGACTTTTGTGAGTGTTTGTGTCCTTTTGTGCTTAGGTAAGTTTGATTTCTCGGTCCTGTATACAAAAATTTAACGTTTAGTACTTGAGCTTACGATTAGGAAGGATGGATTTAGATGAAAAGCTAAAATTCTTGTAATACAAATCTGTTGGCGTTAAACAGAGGCCGGATCACCTTACAAAAAACTATCTTTATGTAGAGGGTAGGTGTTGTTTCACCTTAACTTTGTGTTTATCTATGATAGAATGAACATTTCCTTACCAAATGACAAACATTCATCCTGGATAACGCCGCAGAGAAATGCCAAAATTCATTCTGACCGCAGAAAAAATATCACTTTAATAAGGGATCACTCCCCTTTCGATGGATTAGTTCAACAGTTTAATGATCATTTTAAAAACTTCGCGAGGGATCGATGCTTTTGTGTTTACACTGTGTTCACCCTGTTCGTAATGTTTTAGGCAAAAAGATTCTAGAATGTAACATTACACCCAATAACTTTGAAGTTTCAGACAACATAACCATCTGTTCATATCGCAGGTATGTGGGAGGGAGGGAAGGAGGGCAAAAGTAGACCCACTGGAGTAAGACTTTACCCAGTCTGTTCACGCTTTTTTTTTCCTTTGAGAAGGATTATTTTTCAAAATTAAGTTATACCTTGCAGTTCCAGAATTCCATGCAGCCCCAAAGCTGACCTGTATACGATCTCTAAAGTGCCCCGTTACGCATCAGGGATGTTACGTGGTCGACGGGCTCTGCCGCTGTGATCAGGCGTTGTGTTGTAACAATCCCTTTAATTACTCAACACTGGAAAGCTGTTTGGCAGATAATGCGCTTCAGTTAGGTTGGTAACAAGATTGGTTACTTTACTTCCGGTGACAGACCAGCGAAAAACCCCTTAGATATTTCCAAAACTAAACACGAACCAAGGTTAGGGGTAAGTGCCATCCAAGACTGACACAACAAAGTGTTCCATGGGAAGGAATGCGTCAAATGATTACGTGTTCCACGAGAAGGAATGCGTCAAATGATTAATTACTCCATAGGAAGGATTGCGTCGAATGCTCCCAAGCAATGTAACGATAACAACAAATTTTTAAATTCTTATTATTCAGAGGATCCATGTAAAGATGATCCATGTAAGAACAATGGGTATTGTGTCCAACTGATGGGTCAGTCTTCCTACCGCTGTGATTGCTACGGTACAGGATATTTTGGACCTCACTGCCATAAAAGTAAGTAGCATTATCACCTCCTCTTGACTGGTGCTAAACGCCTGAACATTTGGCTTGGGTCAGCTGAGAATTCTGCTGATAATTTTTTCATTTTTCTCATTACTAGAGTGCCCAAAAGATGCAAGAAAGGAAATACACAGTTTAAAAGGACAAACGGAAGAGCACGCTCGTAGTAGGAAGCGTTACCTTATGGCATGCCTTTAACTTACATATTCTTATGACAGAGTAACCATGGCTGATAGTAAAATGAAAGTTGTCAAAAGAATTTTGTTAGTAGATGTCAATATGGACAGTAAACGCCATACATAAGAAAAGATAACCAAGTTATAAACTGGATCTATTCTTCGTCATTTTTTTACCTATGCTCTGCAATGTCCAGAGTTGACAATCGAGATGCATCGATCGTGGCATCTGAGATAGCGCATAAAGAAAATTACTTTTTATATCATGTAGTTTAAAGTACATTAAGGACTTTTTCTATATAAATTAGAGAACAATTCTGTTGTGATCTGATCAAACTTGAGCTTTAAAATATTGAAGAGAAGTTTGGTTTTGAAAAAAAAAAAGGACTTACTTGAGCAATAGAATAGTTAGGGAAATGATGATAGTAAAGTTGAAAAATGACTGCTATCCACGTCTTTACACTTCAGGCAGGTGAAACAGATGTTAAATTCACATCAGCTAGTAATTATCACTGTTAGGGTCTCTCCGCACAAGCGAAAAACTTGTTTATTTAGAAATTTTTTTTTGTCATCACCAACATTTTACAAGTGCGGATGGTTTGTCGCGACTTGACAAAATTTGGGCGAGGTTGACAAATCCTCAGACGGACCGCCGACAAAATTTGTCCCCGGTAAAAACTAGAAAAATCGACTGAATAAACAAAACCGTGATAAACTTGTCGATCATTTGTCGTATAAGCTACTAATAGCATGTAATTGAACTAAAATCAATTTACTAGAGAGGCAAGAATTGTTTTTTGTTGCAAAACTCGGGGATTCTAAAATTTTAAAACGACTTAGGATTGATCCTGGAAATTGGAGCCGGGTGAATCCTTTGCTAAACTATGCTAGCCAGGCTAGTGAACTGATCAGGCGCTGACAGAATTTGTATATGGTGTATTAGACAAGTAACTACAACCTTTTCTTTGAAACAAGCACCATGGCACAAATGGCCAGCGATGAGTTTTGGAAGTTTACTTGACATGTCAAGGCTTACCACTTGGGTACTCAAGGTGACAGAAGCACGTGGGAACGATTGAGCAAATGGTTATCTCACTTAAACTTCAGACCATAACTGCTATGACATAACAATGCTATAGCTTGTTACATAATTTTATTATAACTTGTAGTTGACTACATTTTTCCTACTTGCCTAGGTGGCCACATCAGTCAAAGCTCAGAGGACTGTTACCTGGTCAACGCGTATGAATTGCTATTCTGACCATAACAAATATAATCTGTTAACTCTTATTAAATACTCAAAGAACCCAAACTCCCTGTACACATATTTATGTCTTTCAAAGGGGAACATTAGTGAACAGGTAAGAGACTGATTCACCATTGTGTGTTCTGCGAATAGCCTCGGCAAGGATCATGGAAATATCAATGCACTAGGACAAAACAGAAAGATAGGGAATTAAACAAATAAAAACAAGGAAAATCAAAGTGAAATGCATTGCTGATACAGATTACCCTTCTGAAGGATTTTTCTTGCAGTGTTGATCATTCTATCAGTAGTAAAAGTTGTACAGTGTTAAGCCTGATCCACTTATCAACTGGAAAAACTGATCAATTGACAGAACTTTCATGAACACCAGTCATATGTGAGCTCAGTCACCTCTCCACTAATCTGTAAGTAAACCCTTTGCACCCCAACATCAGTATGCACATTTTCCAGGTTCTGACAAGGATAATTTGTTCAACAATCAAGAGCTTCTTCAGTTGGTAATCATTTTCTTTATTCTCCATCCTAAACGTGTGATTCAGGGGTGATAATATATGGAGAAATTGGATGCTAGTAACTCTTAGGGATCAAGGGGCTGGGAGATTTCTTACCTTGATCTTCGCGCAATTTTCCATTTTGCTTTCTTGTGGGATGGTATTTGTGACTACAACAGCTTCCAGATCACTTTCCTCAATTCTCCGCAGAGCAGGACCAGAGAAGATTCCATGTGTCAGTATAGCATAAACTTTGGCAGCACCAGCATCTCTCAGTCTGTGGAATAACAAAAGGAACGGGTGAGCACTTGAGAAATCCACTGACATAATAATAAAAAAAAATATGTTCCGAGTTCTCATTTTGTTGGGATGAGTGAGAAAGAGGAGAGGGAATACAAAGGATAGCAGCTCCACTACTTTCAAACTCCCTTCCCTCTTACTCCTCTCCACTGAACATTATTAACTTGGTAAAGGTGACATTAAAAACGTTTGATGAAAAGAATACATCAACAAGTGATCAAGAAGTTCTTAGGACATTGGTCCATTTGCAATTTGTGGTGGAGAACTTACTTCTGAGCTGCAAGTGTTAGTGTTCCGCAGGTATCTGCCATGTCATCAACTAGTATTGCTGTACGATCTTTAACATCTCCAACAAGAACCATACTGGCCACTTCATTGGCAACTTTTCGCTGATTAGCAACAAATAAAAAGGAATTAGAGATGATCTTCTACACTACAAACAGATGCAAAATTAACAATTTTCATTCAAACAGACAAGAGTTTATTTTTCTGTGGGAGGAAAATCACATGTTCCCAAGGAGGCCAGTCTGAGATGGATTTCATGTTTCAGTCTGAAATGAGTTGTGCTGTGATTGTTTAATTATATTTCCCAGTGCAACTGAGTGACTACTTTTTGGAAAATGAAAAACCAACAAAATAACAGCACATTCATCTATCATCTGAGCTGATAACATTAGAATAATTACTTGTTGTATTGGACCAATAATGTGCGAAGAGGTGTGGTACAACACATGGTAAACTCTTAAACTGCAAAGAGAACTATAGTCATAAGGGGGGGGGCAGCTTTTGATACTGAGGAATGTAATGAAATGATATTACACTTCCAACTGCATTAAAAACCAACTAAATCGCATCATGCTGTTTTCTACAAACCTTACCTCCTTATGAATCAAGGCAAAGCCAACATTCAAATGATCAGCTATGGATGTAACTCTGAAACAACAAAAGAAGTCAAGAAATACCATTGCTGAATAATTAAATTGGGTTTCGTTGCATTCTAATTGAAAGCTAGATTGCTTGATCAAGGGCACCTTCACTGGCTTTCCCACAAGAAATGCATTTGAGTGAGCAAAAACACCAACCATTTTAAATTCTACATTGATAAAGAGCATTTACTACCATCATCCCCATACCAACTTACAAATGGTCTCCATGTACACAGAAGATACCTATGTTAACTGCATCAGTCCAAAGGTTGACCAAGGTGTTGTGCATTGTTTGAGATTAGGCATTGACAAAAAGAAAGAATATAAGAGTCTATAGCCAGGGAACTCCTGCAATGATACAAGTTGAGTTTGTAGCCTTGTGTCTGTGCAGTTCAGACCTTTTAGCTCCTCCAGCATCAGGCGAAACAATAACTGCTCGTTCCCACTCAGTAATGTGTTCTCTGATCCACCTTAACACTGCAGGCTCAGCATACAAATTGTCTACTGGTATATCAAAGAAACCCTGGAATGAAGAGAAGACCTGTATCATAAATAACTTACCAAACTAATCCATGGAAAATAAACTGGCTCCACTTTCACTGCTAGATCAGTTTAACCCTTTAACTCCCTAACTGTCTGCCAAACAATCCTCATTATGTTGACTTGGAGAATTTGGTGTCAGATCAATTAGTAATCCCATAATTGATATCTTTCTTTATTCTCATCACTTGTCTGCATAGTATTGTCTAGATATAGTAGGAAGAAATTCTCTCTTAGTCACTCATGGGAGTTAAAGGGTTAACTAAATTAAATCATTAATATCGTTGTTGGTAATTAATTCGTGGCAAGTAAGAATTGAAATACTTCCCTTTTTTAAACTAAAAATACTAACACTTTTCACTTAACAACCATTATTTTCTCGCTTCATATTATAAACTCAGTTTCTACCTCCAATTAGAAATTCAATGAACCTGAAATACACATAAGGGTATCTCAGTCTGCAATAGGTATTTATACAATTGCTTAAATAATAACAGGAATGTGCACACCCAAATTATGTCTCCCTTTCCTCACTTGCACCAAGTGATAATACTACAAAAGGAAACATTTCCAAAATGGCAGTCACACAAGTTCTTGATGTTTTATAAGCACACAAGTAAAATGAAAGACAATGCAGTTTCTCTGATAATCACCTGGGCAACATACTATACCAACTAGTCTCCTTGGGCTCAGTACAAATTGTCCAATAATCATCTCAACTGAACTCATTATGCCTTGAGTAATTAAACTTCAAATAATTGTGGTAAGTTTTTCAACATTCATTAATTCTTGTTTATACCTGTATCTGTGAAGCATGAAGATCCATGGTAATAATATGATCTGCACCAGCTACTGAGAGCATGTTTGCCACCAGTTTAGCTGAAATTGGTGCACGACTCTACGACAGAAAGTTACTGGTTTTAGCACCTTAAAAAAACCATTAAGCAACATTTCCAGACAATACTGAATGATAAACAAAAGATTTCTAAGCATCAGCAATGAGAGAGTGAAGACCATTTAAGTTTGAGTTAAAACGCCTTCCAGATTGTAATGAAGTTTTGTCTCAGCCCACATGTTTTGAGCCCAGGCCTTTGAGACAATTGTTAATGCTACACTAAGGGGCTTGTTCTACTAAATACAGTTAATGGAAGTTTACTGTGTGTGTCTTCATTTGAACTAAACCTGTGACCAAGTTATTGCTTAGGGTTACAAAGTTTTGCATGAAACTTCCTTTAGGTATCAATAGCATGATTTCTACTGACCTTGTCCTTCTTATCTTGTCTTGCATATGGAAAGCATGGAATAACAGCTGTGACTCGCTGGGCTGAAGCAATCTTACAAGCATTGATCATGATCAACAGTTCCATTAAATTATCATTCACATCACCGCAACCACTTTGCACTATAAAGACATCCTCTCCTCGCACTGATTCACCAATTTCAACACTACAGAACAATGAGAAAGTTCGATAAAACACAGTAACTCAGTCAGCAGCCGTGAAGTCAAAATGCTGCAAATGACATCAGAATTGACTACATTATTGAACAAACAATGTTGATAACCTTCTATGATTAATGAAAACCGAGATTAGTTCAGGTAGAACATTACCACCGTTTCATTTTCGAGCAAAAAACAAACTCTACCCTCTGGAGAGGAAAACTGAAATAACACTTTCCCCTTATGTAGAAATTGGTATGTATATCACTTCCCTAAAAAAGAGAAATGACGACATCAGAACCAACTTTTCTGAGGTACAAGCAACGCTGACGACTATTCAGGTAACATTTATGATGAACTGTGACAGATGGACGAGTAACCACGTGCTAATAATTTAGCTCGTAGGAAATAAGTCCGTTCGTGAAACAAACCCTGACAAGTCACCACAGGTCTAACTGTCGCCAGTGAAACATGAAATCCAAAAGCAATGTTGGTAAATAAATCAGCGGACTGTGTATTTTGAGCAAACTTTACCGAAGAAATTCACCACGAGACTCGTATGATAGCAGCACCAGGAAGATTTTCCCATATCCTCATGTATTTTACGATCATTACAGAGAAATTTTCAGTTTTCCCAAAGTTGACCTTCGTTTCTGTTTTATCGCCATTATCACTCTTGATTTTTAAGTTAAAAGGTACAAAACACGACGCTGCATTTGTAAACTTGTTGAGCTCGTACGACATCACAAACCGAAGGAAGGCAGTAACAACGCACTCTCACCTGGTTTCCTTGTTCGAGAATTTTTTCAACACACACTTCCCCAGTTCATTCCCTAGCCGTTCTGAAATCAATTTCGCCAGTAGTTGATGAGAATTCCCTCCAAATATCTTTATGTTCGGCATGTTTGGAAAAATGTAACGATACAACACGTTCAGTAGGCAACTGAACGTGTTGGCGGCAAATGTACCAGGAGCGGTTACATGAATTGTGTGACAAGTGACGAAGTGTAGGGAATGGGACGTGGAGAGGGAGGGGAGGCACAAGAGGATCAATTCTTTGCGTCCTCATATTTTCTTCGCTTGTCCTCAACAAGAGACAATGAACTGATCCTATCTTGTCCTAAATTAACAGAAATGATATTTGTTCCCAAAATTTCTCAGCGGTCGAAAATTTTCTCAAAGATGACCCGACTACTGGACAGAAAAGAAGCCCATCGTGACAGAATCAAGGCAGATTACAAGGAGAAGTAAACCAACGTAACATGAATAACTTTCAAGTGCAAGACAGTAACGTGATTCTAAAAGGTTACCCAAGTTTCAAAAGTTTTCCTTTTACGATAGTCACGGCACTCTAAAGATGTGATAAAACAAAATGGGATATGTTAAGTCGAGGTAGAAACTCTTGATCATTCTCGGCTTCTTCCTTCGTCCTTGATCCATGCCTGTGCTTTCAAAAGACTAGTAAAGAGTTGAAAAATATGTCGTTCCAAGTCAGTGTAATATTTTAATTTATCTTTATTTTTCATCGTTTCAGTCTAATTTGCTGTTTAACAACAAGAGTGTAATGACAAAAAAGTTTCTTTATATTTCAGTTCTTCTCATTCTATAGTAATTTATCAATCATAATATTCAGGCTACGCCTATGCTAAGCACAAAAGTACAAAGAGGGTACAGAGTATTGTCTTGCAAAAAAGAAAAAAAAATCGAGAAAAATTGGATGTCCCAAAGTCAGGTTGTGACGTCGTAGTGCATGTTGCGGCGAGGAGAAAGGCAGAACAAGCAGTTGTCTGAACTGCCAGCATGGGAAACGTCGCCACGCCTTGCCGAGGGTTAAAAATTCTTAGCAATATTCATGTTATTTCTTTACGTCTGAAGTGTTGGTCAATCTGCCCTCACGTGGGTTAACAGGGTTATTACCAAATTCATCTTTTACTGGGCTTTTTTGCCGATGGAGGCCTAGGAGATTTTGTAGTTGGTGTTGACGGCCGCATGGGATACTGGGCCAAGATAGCTTTGCGGGGTGCTTTTGCCGTTGATTTTTTCTTTCCTTGTTGTTTTTTGTCGTTTTGTTTCGCCGCAGCTGATCCTGGTCGAAGCAAGTCCTGAATCTCATCGCTCTCCTTTCCTGCACCAGCCACAACTTCCAAACATTTCAATAGGTTGGTTTGTTCCAAGTCTTTTTTAGACAACATTTGCATAACATCCCTTCCATCGTCCAGTGGATTTAGCCAAGTAGATTTACGAACGTCAGATAATTTCATTTTTGTGCCTTTTGGAACGTAAATCTGAAATAATACCTCTACTGCTTCAGCTTTGGTCAGAGCACGACCTTTGGCAGACACTGACGGAAACAAGAAAAGCTGAGGTTAGAGTCCCATGCGACGTAAAGACGTGTTATACTGTTAGCAGTGTAACATAAGTTCCTTTATGATCAGAAGACTCAACGGCAAACAGTTGTAATTCCGGATTTTCAATAACACCTGTTTACCAGTACATCTGACATCATCTACTGTAAACCTTCTTCCCCCCCCCCCTCCCCCGTTACATGAAATGGTCTCTTACTTTTTGTAACAAGCTCAATAGCATCGTCGATTTCCTTTTGGGACGGAGTATGGCCGACAGACTTGAAGAACTCCTTGATGTCGTTATATTGCAAGAGACCATTTGTGGCAAATTTATCAAATGCTACTTCGTACTCTGCAAAAATAATAAAAATAAAGAATGTCTCGAAAAAAATTGATTACTTGCTTTAGAAAACGAAAAAAACAACATTTAATCGTGTCTAAAAATTTAAAATCGCTATATTGGAAAATCTGATAACGATGTAGAACTAAAATTCTAATAAATACTAGTTTAACTGACAATTAATAATATGGCCAACGAATTTAACTTATCGAGGACCAGACTGCCGCTCGATTTAGGCCAAGCATATTTAGAATCTGCTTTACTGATAACAAATATAATAAGACCAAAACTAGGAGATTTTTCCACAATCTTTCAAAAGCGCTTTTCCCAGTTTTACCTCTCAACAAACACTGTCTGCTGAAAAAGAACGAAATGTTTTACCAAAAGAGCACATCCCAGTATAACAGACTCACTATTAAGTCGCTCGACATATTCCATCAGTTCGTTAAACTCCAGTGCAGTTGTTGGTTCTTTTATACCGTATCGCTTTTGAATCCTGAAGAGAAGTTCCTGGTAACCTTTAATAAACTTGTTGAAAGACAAGGTCCGTTTCAAGGCCTTTAGGGCAGAAAAACCCAATTAGTAGAATGTAAAGGTATCTATGGAATGGAAGCTTTTTTGCTTTTCTCTCCGAGAAAGTAATGAAATATAAGAACTGAGATACTTGTCAGAACTCTCCAGGATGTATTTTTTGGTAAAAGATGTTCATCGTGACATATAGAACGTGGGAGCTTAATAAGAGGTTTCCACCCTGAAAAAGAAATCACGAATAAAAACCATTTGGTAACGTTTTTACTTATAATTACCTTTGCTTTTGATTTTTCAAGCATTCGACGAACAAACCAGCCTCTGAAATACCTAAAGACGGCAAGCAAAGTATCGCAATGAAAAAAAAACGTAGTTTGAAGGTGGAGCAAAAGGAGAACACACATAGTTCCTTAACCTTTCTAACTAAATTGCTTAGGGTTAACACAAAGATACGTGACCTTTGAATGGTGACAGCAGCAGCTTTCTTTTGGGCTTTAGTTGGACCCTCAGGTGTTGGATGGAACACGCTTGGAAAAAAGAACAACAGACAACTTAATAAAGTCACTTGAAATCAACTTCCATGGTTTATTACCACGCTCACTGAAAGGCAGGGTGTGGCTCTATACATAATCATTAGAAAAGAAAGAAATAACATTACTTACTCAAAAATAAGTTGATGAGCCTGCACTTGTTTTATTTGTTGCCCATGCTTGTCAGCTTCTCTGTTTTGCCTGCAAAATAATTAATATGCACAATATACCAAGTGAACTGAGTTGTTCTCAGGAACAGAGTCGGGTAACGTTATCCTAATTAGTAGACGAGCGGTCGCTAATATACGCTCCTTACTGCAGGGAGAGGTATTGTGGGACAACTAGGCCGGAATGCGGCGACCTGCTAACTCTAACCCTAAACCTGACCCAAACACAAGATACAAAAGTAAGTGTGACTCACATAAACATGGCATGTTGATTCTTCTGTTTTCTGGCCTCTTCCCTCTTTTTCAGATCCTGTTTGTACTTTCGAGCCCATTCCAGGTCACGTGAACTTGGTTTATATTCTTGTATTTTCTGCTCCATTACCTTTTTCCGGGCAAGAAATCCGCGAAAGTTACTGCAAATTTAAAACATTTACAAGTTAACACCAACCTGTCTGGTATACACCGTCATATATCACACGAGGGAATGTTCATCTTTAACTTGTGACTACAACCACCCCTTTCCTTTCTAAGAATGAATTTACACTCGCTGACGAATAACAGAGATCCTTCGTTTGTCATTTCTCAGAAAATAATTCAAACATGAAATTACTCTGAGCTAATCCTCGTCGGTAAATTTATATGAAAAGTTTTGGTAAATATAAGTTTCCAAAAGAAATTTTAAAGAGTTACTGCTTCATATGGAGCTGCTGTTATCGTCACACAAGTCTGTTGACCAACCTTTGTAGCATAACCGCTGCCTTTCTCTGCCTCTCAATGTCTGCTACTCTCAGCTGTTTTGCATACTGTCTTCCGATGAAACCTCGGAATATCCTGTGGCATAGAGAAAAGACACATGCAATGTTTTATAATAATGAGGAAAGTTCAATTATACGGTTAAACTGAAGGAAAAAAGGCGCAGGATCAGAGGGAAGAATTTAAGGGAGGCCACAACTTCACTAAGTCATAATAGTTGAATAGTCAAACAAAACAAAAACAATACAAAACTGCTAGAAACTCTTATAGCTGAAGTTATATACTTGCTGCTTGGGAGAAAGAAATAGATCACCTCTTAAGAATTAAAACATATGAAAGGAGTTTAGGTGTAAAGATTAACGTTTCAGATCTCGTTTAATGCAACACTAACCGCTGAATATTAACGGCGGCCCAGACTTCTCTTTGCCTTATGTAGTCGTCCATTAGCAAGTACTGTGATGAAAAATTTACAAAACGCAGTTAATCAAAACTATAAAAAAATTATCGAACGTGATTGGCTAGTAACGGCTTAACTTGACCAGTAAGTGGATGGCGCATGCGTCATGAATGTCACTGGACAGGTCACTGGACAGTGCAGTAAGACAGCTTATACGTCATACAATTATAATTAGATAATATTCGTCATTTGCGCGCGTTCCAATGTAAACTTCTGTGTTCATTTCTCGTGGATAAAAGTTAACTACTACGTTTCACTATGGCGAAGAGCTAACGCTCGACACGTCAAATTTAAAACCTTTTTATATTATGAACTAACTTGATAAAACCAAATTATCTTGTTATTTTCATGAATTTGTCAAACAGAAGGGAACTTTGTTTCTGTAATTCTGTTATGGTTTGGACTAATTAGTGGCCGGATTTTGCCTTGTCCAGCTCTGTTCATAATTTAACTCCCGCTTCACGATCATTCCATTCTGTTAATCACTGGTCTGATTACAGAGTGAATTGGACTCAATTTGGACCAATCACAATTCTCGATTAGACGACTTTCTAGGATGAACGACACACAATCACTGAAACATTTTTCTCGAATTGGCTGAAACATCATGACCGTAACAAAATTGGCTTTCTAAGGGTATTAAAAAAAGGCAAGAACAGTGTTACTCTGCAATGGTACTGTCATAGATAGCAGACTTACCTCTTCATCCCAACAAAAGTGTTTAAAGTCCCGCACCGAAAAGTTGGAAGTGTTTATCGCACCATGTGCACTGCACGTGCTACGGGCAGAGGATGGTCTGGACGAGCGACTGGCTGTGGGGATAGGGATCACCTTACGTGAAGTCGAGGCCGGTGAAGACGAACGGGCTTGTGGAGATGAAGGAACTGGTGACGAGGGACGTAATGTGTCTAGAGGGAACAAAAGGTACGGGGTTGGGGTATTCAGTAATTGTTTGCTTAATAATCGAAATATCCCTAATTTGTTATCAGGAATGGATAACAAAGTCTTAAGTAAATTTAGAACCTTTACTTTTCGTGGTAACGCTGCTGTGACCGCTGTCCAAGCTGATAGTGGACGGTGATGACAACTCCTGTGGTTCCCAGGTCGGTTTTTCTTGTTGTTTGGGTTCATCTGCGGCACCAAAATGTCGGCCTTTAACCATGAGGGAGTTGTCTTTAGGAATTCGTACATCAGTACGACGAGACTTCAGATCATCGCTAAAATAACGAGACAAAAATATATTCAGAGAAACCCCTTGGCTCAGAGAAGTATGTTGGAGAAGCATTATGCCATTCACCTAGATCGCAACTGGAGTCAATTTTGAATATTTCGAATATAAACTGAATGAAAGGCTGACAAAATCAAATGCCTGGGGTTGTGCATTGGTGATTATGAGAAAATCAAGAAGCGTGTACTCCTGATCGCGCTGGTGATGCGATACCAACTACTTGCGTAAGTTACGTGCGTATGTGAGTGAATTGTACGTAAGTGAGATCACGAACACAAGCGTTTAGCATTACCATTCCACAGCTAAAACACGAGCTGTTACTCGTACCTAATCAGTCCCGCTTGGTTCTTAAATGTCTGGCGGTAAAGTGAGATCACGAACACAAGCGTTTAGCATTACCATTCCACAGCTAAAACACGAGCTGTTACTCGTACCTAATTAGTCCCGCTTGGCTCTTAAATGTCTCGCGGTAAAGTCCATGCTCTCCTTGTAAATACCAGTTTACTGTTGACGGGTTTTCACTTTCGCCTGTTAGAAGGACCCAGCATTAAAAACTCAGTTAAAGTTTTTTAGTGCTAAGGATAAATTCATGCATTCAAAGGATCTTGGTTTAGCCCTTAACTTACCGAGCCTGGGGCCCACAGGCTGACAGAAAGAGAGGTACTCCAGATTGTAGGCGTAATCCATGTTATCGGATTCGGTGCCCGCCGGACCCAAAATAAGCTTTCCTCCCTGTGGCCCTGATATGCAATCACTGCAAGGATGTAAAAAAAGGTGTTAAAATATCAGATCATCGTGAGACAAAAAAAATTTTTTTCGCAGAAATTATCGAGGGTAAAACATTCTTACATGTTTCTTCTATCTGCGTCACCAAGATGTCTGACTACCACAAGGGAGGCCAGAGTTCGTTTGTCCAATGAGCGGCTACCGGTGGGCATTGTCACCTGATTGGTCGGCTGTTGAAGTTTCTTTCTGGAACTGCGCGGAGATGTCGGTCCCCTACCGAATAACAAGTCAGAGTCATCGAGGGGTTATTACGCAAACTATATCATGGAATGAAAAAATGATACTGTTGTGACTAGTAGTTGTTGAATATTTGCGCTTACTTAAGCTTCTTGAGGTATGTTCTGTTACCAAATCCATCGTCGGTCCATCTACAAAGAAGAAAGCGACAGAAGATCACAAGTTTATTGTGTTTTGTTCCGAACATCCTGCCTCAGGTAATAACTAAAAGATCTGTACCATTTTCCAACGTAAATCTCACTTTCGTGCCGCACTTGAGCACAATGGACCTTAAGAAGACTGTTAATAAATGTTTCTACGAAATCCTGAAAAATTGTTGGAACTTCATGAACTAACACCGCCGAAAGTTAAATGTTTCGATACAATATATGTCCTCGAATATGCAAAAACTCCCCGCATAGTTCAAACTGTAGATCACACAAGCCGGTAACTATTTCCTGATCAGTTCAACAAAAGTGTCTCTCACAAAAATTGACTAGAAAGGTTCAAGTATTTTAATCCAACCAGCCATCGAGTATAAGGGGAAAATGTATACAAGCTAATCAACTGCACATTCTCTTTAAAGACGAAACATATGGGTACTGAGAGCACCTCAGAGAATTTCGATTTTGATCCCGTGATAAAGGCTGTCAGTAAGACTTACTGATATCTGATAGAATCCGGTACGACTGGTCCTGAAGTCCTGTAGCTCTTTATCGTTATTGATTCTGGAGACTTTTCCTGAGGGAAGTGTACAGTGTAATCTCTTGGGGTCCTCTCGGGAATCAGCTCCGGTTCCTTATATTTGAGTTCAATGGATCTGTTATCTGATGTGTCCGACGCCGGTCTGTTAAAAGGCAAAAGCACCATGGTGAAATGGCAATAATGGAAAGTTCATGTTAAGTACCCCGCAGAAATGAAATTGTGATTCATGTGGGCGGTGAATCATTCCTCCAAATGGATACAACAATCACCTAGCTGTTAACTGTTTAATTGCATAAAACCTCGGGATATAGCGTAGAGCGTCAGCAACTGACGAAACCAAAGAAAGAGCCGACCCTTTACTTACTGTAAAAAATTCGCTGCAACGAAAATGAAATTCACAGAGTTACTGGACAGAACACAATGTAAAAAGTTGAGTTACTCTGATGAGAGACAATGGCTAAATATGACTGTGAAGTATTTGTGACCTTAATGTTGGTTAGTTGTAACATGCACTAAACACTCGAGTTCAGGGCACGTACGTAGTTATGTCCATGAAAACACTGGCGATAATTGGTTGCCACCACACAGGGTTTCTAATCTCCAACGACTTTTTCGCTTTTTTACATACAGATGTAAGACGCTATTTCGTTCAAACCCATAGAATGTCGCTTCACAAACAATACACAAAAATGAACTGCGCCTATCCTTCGATCAAACACTTTACCTCTGAAGTTCACGATGGAGTTTTTCGGAATGTGAGCTTGCAATACTCGGCAAAAATAAACCTTTCCTTGCTTCAGTTGAACAAGACCACGACGGTAGAGTAACGCTGTAAAAATCACGGCAAACATATCACACATGCCAAACAATCCGATTGGGAAAAACACCGTAACGAGCTAGCACGTAGTTTACCTGGTCGATGTATCACAAATATCGAATCTCTGACAAGGACAGGATACAGGTCGCTTATTATGAACTGTACACGGCTCAACCCACGGCAATTTATAAACAGATAAAGTGTTCAGTGATACTGGTATGTTTTCCATCTTAGGAGTAGGATAGGTTTGATAATTAGAACCTTGGGAAAGCGTGAAAAAGTCTTATAATGAAAAAATTAATTCATACATGTATATGCTTGTGTAAACAAAGTGTCATTCGCTAAATTCCTGAGGTTCGCTTTTCTATACAGTTATCGAATTAAGATTATTCTTTAAAGGAAACGTTATCATTGATCTGATATCTCAAATGACTTTCGCTCCAAATAAATTGTCAGGACATCACTAATATTGCACCGCCTTTACGTTTTCGAGATAATTTCGTCGAACAAAGTAAAACTAACATTGTGTCCGCAGAACATGTTCTATTCTCGCAGCCCGCCTTGTGATTGGCTGGTCTAAACTGTTATTTACCGATGAAGAGACATTTTACTTACTCTTCTGTCGTGTTTAACTCATGCCGTAAATAAAAAAAAAGAGAGCGGTTTGGGTCGGGTCGCGTACTTTTACCCGACTATGTTACTACGCTATTTCCTTCCGTTTTAGCAATTGACCGGCTCGAACAGGCAATCGCCACCATAAAACATGCGCCTTCTCGGTAAAAAGAGTAAAATGTGTGTCCATAATTTTTATAAAATTTTCACCAATACTTTAACACACAAAGGAACAAACCTCACCCCAATGAGGTGAACGAATTCTCCGGAGATAATGTCTCCTGTTCACATGCGGTTTGCGAAGGGTTATTATGCCCGTCCTCCACTTTAGAATGGTTATTACCGTTGGGGACCGGAGCGGCCAAAAAGTCTCCATCAACCGAGGTATGGGCAGAAGATTTTGTAGAACCTTCCACAGAAACCACTTTGGCTGGCTGCAGAGGACATGATGATAATTTTTGGCCATTCACCTACAATTGAACGTGTGCATTTGAAGGATAAAAGAATTAAGTTCCACAACTTATAAGACAAAAACACCGAAAGGCAAATGTACTCACCCTCTCCCGGTCGTACTCCATCTGCATCCCTATAGGTGTGACCATTCCAAGGACTGCATCTACTTTGATTACTTCCTGTGCGCTGAAAGGTAACAGAGAAAAAATTTGTTAGAATACTTGGTATGTTTGCTGAGAAGTTGGGTAGCATTGGCAGAGTGGCTCTAGAAGAAAAAAAAACTGATTCAAAGTTCTTTCTTTGGAGATTTAGAAAGAGAATTAATTTGAGGAGCATACTTGTTGTGTGGAGGTACTGTAGCATGTCTGAGATGTCTGACTGCACTTCTACTGCTCCACTGATGGCTATTTTCTGATGTATGTCCACTTTGGTTACTGGCTACGAAAGTGAAGATGAACAGAAACCGTAAGAAATTCAACTTACACGCAAGCGCTTACAACAGTTGTCCCTATCAATAAAGTTTTGTCCGATCAAAAAATAAATATTTGACGTCACTTAAAACATCCCCAGGGTGCTTTTTTAATGGAACCAAAGGAAAATTAATTTCAACCTAAAACTGCTAAACAAGATTATTCATGGTTGAATGTTATGTAATCAGAAGGAATAAAAGAAACCACTTTGAAATAAATCTTTCTCCACTTAGCAATTCCATACATGTCACATGGTCACCTTGGGGGAGGTCAAACTAATTCGCGTCTGTGAAAATCCTAGAAACCTGAAGAACCCAAAATCTGAGGCAGACACTAAACTCAAGCCCCTCTAGCCTTGTGTGGCACAAAATGTTTCTGTTTTCTCTCTCTACAGACATGCTGAGTCATCACAGCCCCAACCCACCTACCCCTCCCAGCGTACCTGTACTTGATCCAGAGTACATAATGGAATAACTAGGTATTACTTCAGGTTCAGATAGGTCATAAGTTCCAACAGGAGTGGGTTTCATAGTTTTTCTTTCCTCTTGTGGTGTAGATCGTTTCTTCACACTCAAATCTCCATTGACAATTTCTAAATCAACTTGTTTCTCTTGGGCTGCACCCAAGTCTTTGATGTAATTATCATAGTCATGTAAGAGTTTTTTCTGTAGTAACTCGTGCTGCTCCTCTAATAATTTCTCCTCCTTTTTCTGATGTTCTAGAATTTCTTCCAATTGCATGGGAGTAGAATTTTTCGGTATGACATCCTTTTCTGAACAATTAACAGGAGGAGAAGTCTTCTCGTTATTACTGTTCGTCTTGTCTTCACTGTTCATTTCTGCCTCCTCTATAGCTGGATAATTACTTCTGTCTCTCACGATACCAGAAGCTAATTTTACGGACGGTTCTTTAACAATGTCAGGAGTGTAATGTGCTGTCAAAGGAGACTTGGTTCTACTAAGATAAACACATAAGTGAAGTGTCTAGGGATGGTATTTCAATAAGGAAAGAGATTGACCTTGAGTGGGAAAATAATTGGCAATTGGCACAAGAAACAACTTGGTAATGTACATTTGACCCCTTGTCATAATAAGCTATATATTTCTAGAAAATAGAAATTCATAATTTGAAGACAGCTCACACCTTGAAGGAACAGGAGAGTCCCTTGGTGAAGACAGGGGTGAAATCATCGGTGAAGAGTATGGGGCTGAACTGCTGCTTGCTGGTCTGAGGATGAATGACTTGAGCATATCTGAATTTACCTTTGTCTGCAAATAAAAAAATGACCATAGATGCTCATTTTACACTTATTTTCAATCAAAGGGTAACTCTTACTTGGAAAAAGACTATGATGAAGAGCTAAACAATAACTTCCAATGACTTTGTAACTTTTCTTACCCTAAACTATTTGGTGCCCTTTCAAACAGGCAATGTGCAGTCAGAAAACATAAAGTACCAGTAGAATTAAAAAATTTTTATAATGAATTATAAATGTTCCAGTAATAACTACCATGAACAAGACATGAAATTAATTTACCTGGAGCTATCATCTCATTTATGGTATTGACTGACCAAAGAGTTAACAAACCTTATTATTCCTGAGCACGGGTGGTGCAGTACCAGGCCTTAACAAATATCCACCAGGCACATAACCATGTTCTAAATAAGAGCTATCACTTGGGTGTGGTCCGTAAGGAATGATATGAAGGCTTCTTGTAAGGGAATCCTGCAAATTCTTAAAAATTTAATTATCTGCTGTCAACATCCTGCTCTAACACATCATTTAACTTTTTAAATGTGCCAATAACTTGAACACTTTAGACCAAGATTTCAGGGCTATGTGAAAAAGGTTAAAGACAACAACTTAGCTACTACCCTACAGAAATATAACCTATACTCTGTAAAGTGACAGACAAAAGTAATCTTTCCCTAACCTTACTCCCAAAGTCCCTATGATGTTTAAGTAGTTTTGAGCCTGATGAAGGTCTTTTAGGACCTTTCTGCTGTTGGGCCTCATTCCAAGTCACATATCTAGCTCCCATTCGGCTCTCAACTGAAGGTGCTGTTTTTGGTCTCAGATGTAGTTTAGGAATCTTGGTGAGTGCCTTCAGTTCTTCCTCCTCATCATCTTCATCCAAGCTGTCCTGACCATCAGAATTCCTGTCACTCTTCTCAGGGTTTGGAATTGGAACTTTCTGGTTTTAATTAAGACAAAAAAATTCAATAAAAATTCAGCTATAACTGAACATATGACCTGTACTCCATGAACCTTCCATTTCTTGTAAACAGCTACCACAACATTGGGAGTCAATACTTGTCCCTCTATCCTCTCCTTGAGCCATCTCAAAAACTTATCTCTCCTCTGCTGTTGTCTGACAAAGAGCATAACTAACATTGATATATACTCGTGAAGGAGTAGAGGGGATAGAGTGCAACTGCTTTTATTCTCTATCAACATATAATATAAAACATTTTCCACAAAAAAGTCAAAGAAATACATAAGATTTTAACATACAGGTGGTGATGTAATCAACTTCTTGTTTGCCTTGTACCACTTGTAAATCTTCAACAAATCCTCATGTTGCTTCTCAAAATACTTTGACCTACAAGTTTTAACAGTTAAAAACAGCAATGAACCCAGAGACTTTTCCGTTTTAACACTGTTTATGGGGTATGTATGTACTTCATCTGTACTTGAACCAAAGCTAGCCTGTACAGCAAGCACTAAGTGATGGTAAGACACAATTTCAGCTCTATGTGTATCAAAAAGCTGGATACTCTCTCACTCAGAGTTTCCTGTTGATAATCTGTAACCCAGAAATTAATTTGAGGAGGGAAAGAAAGCACAAGGGTTTAATGCATTTTCTGGCAGTGCAACATAATGAATCAGGACAAGGTTTCAATTCATGTAGAAAAATGGACACTGTAAATTATACAGAATAAAGGTTGTTAGAAGAGGGCAGAAGGGATTCTAGTTGGAGACACTACCACATTTGTTTTTAATAAATCCATATTTATGCTCTACGACCAAACTACACAGCTCTCTTCTAAGATCAAATATGTACCAAAACATCAAACTTACGTTGCCACCTCAGAGAGCATCTTCAACAACGTTCCATAAAAGGGTTTATCATATGGATCTCCTTCATCATATAAATAGGGCCTGCAAGGGAATATTTAGGTAACATCAAAAATATCATGCAGATGTTGTAAGTTCAAATGGACTTCAGGGCAAGGTGATTTAAACTTAATTTAATTTGTATTCATTAATCATTTCGTTCAAGAATTATAATAGTTTGCCTGGAACAAATTATCAGTTAAGTTTACACAAACTAACTGGCTTGGATAAATTGTCCATTCATAGGTATGTATACAACAACAATAACAACAGTAACAATACTTTATTTACCCACTCTACATCTAGGAGTGATAAAAACTCATTAAAACATGCATGGAACGAAAAATGTTAAAAAGAAAGAAATAGTTTAAAGTTACCATTCTTAAATCTAACTAAAAACTTGCTTCTTTAAAAGACATTTAAAAGTAAAAATATCCTTGACATTTCTAACATACATTGGTAACGAATTCCAAAGTTTTGCTGCTAAAAATGGAATGACTTATGTTCTAGATTGAAATTGGGTAGCATTAAAAGTGTCCCCAACCCTCTTAAATTATAATTACAGATTTTAATCTTAAAAAAAATTATTCTATATACCTTAGAGTTTCTTTATGAATACATTTATATACCAAAACTAGGGCCTGGAATTTTCTTCTTTCTTCTAGCCTTTTTTCACCAGCCATATTTAATAAATGATTGTATGGTGTAAACTTTCCACACCCTAAAATATATCTAAGAATATAATTATTGGTATCCTCTAGTTTTTTAACTAGACCTCTACCAACTCCAAGTAATAGCGGACAATAATATTCTAAATGAGGCAAAATATATGCTTTATAAAAGTGGCACATTACATCTAAAGGTATACCTCAAATCCAAATCTTTAGCATCTCTCTTTCCTGTCAGAATTGCAATTTTTACATCTTTGTAGTACTTTTCAAGAGCTGTGGTCATTACACGAAACTCTGAATAGTTCATAAGCTGAAATTTTAACAAACAGTCAAGGCGATTAAAAAGAACATATAAAGCTCCACAAGAAGGGATGCAACTTGTACCTTTCCAATCACTTGAACACTTCTGTCACACATACACAAAGTAACAAACAAGTGTTTTACATCCTACTCTCAAAACATTGCTTAATGTCAAAGTTCACAGAGCTGGTTTTTCTGACATAAACAGATCACTACTTCTTAAAGTCAACACACGTGTGTAGGAGGGTTTAGAGCAAAGAAGAAATAATTCTTCTTGAGTAATTACCTATAATCACCGCCTGAAAATTGTTTACTTCAACTAAAATAATTGTCTATTAAGAATAGTATAGATGCACATTGAATTCAGCACAATAAGTAAACTTCAATATACATGAAAAAGTTGAAAAGGAACTGAAATCAGATCTCATCTCGCACCGACTCATTAACTGTAGATTATTAGGACTAAAAAGTACAATACAAGTTTCCAACTTAACAAATGCAAATTTTGTATTCATATCTTTTTCTGCTTTCCTTGCACGCTCATAAACCCGTTCGGTTTGCTACAAAAAGAGATTAATCCTTATGATTAAAACCACAACGTTATCGCAATTCGATCAGAAAGTTGAGTTAAGTGTTTGACGAGTCACTCATTCTCAAATCAATCAAATAAGATTGTCAACAGCGGGCAATTGCGGTCGGTTAAGATCCCGTGGAGTTCACCTGTGTTGTCAACACAGACAACACAGCTATTGACTCCCATGAATATAACAGGTAATTTTTATTGCGAGTCTGACCTTCTGTAAACGTCAACATCACTCAAGTTTATAAACTGGTTCAAAATTAGGCGAGTGTTAATTTCACCGCCTACGCAACATCTCGAGGGTGATAACAGTTAACTAGACGAGTTAAATTGAAATTAGTGAAATTGTTATCGATTCCTGAGAATGAATTTGTGAAATCACAGCCATGTCGTATCAAAATATTTCCAGTTGAATAGAAGAGCATCCATGTTATCAGACGGAATGAATTCCAAGAACATGAAGTTTGTAATTCAAATGGATACATATGTTCTATTTATCAGTGTTTAACGATGGCAAAGTATTTAAGCGTAACAAACCTTCGATCTTCTTAGAGTCCTTAGATCTCTCTCCATCTTCCCTAACAAACTCGCTGATGCCTCCTATTAGTGAATGATTAACTTTAAGTTGGTCATCTTGGATCGAACAACACACACCGCAGTCCTTTGCACATTTCCGTGAAGCGTGTATTAGTTTTCATTTACGGACCTGTTGCTACCGAGTTATTTCTCAACATGCTTGGCCAGTAAAGCGAATTCCGCATCCAGTATAGACTACAGAGCGTGCGTGTTCTTTTTGTTTACTCCGCATACCATCAGATCAACCAAGCAACAAAATGTATCAGGGAAATTATTTCGTTTGTTTGCTAGGACCCACGGGCACGTCACGCATTCCTATGGATTCCCTGTTGCTCAGTGCATTTGTTGTTCTTTTATGATAGGGCCTGCAATAACACCTGGTCAGCATCAAAGAGTGAGCTCTCGATGATTCGCGCGAAGAAATTTCTGTCTCGGAGCACGGAAAGATAAGAGCTGAATCGGAGTGAAATATTGGGGGAAATGAAAAAGCTTAAGGCAAACTGCAGAAAATTTAACTCCCTGCCGTTGTCTTTCAACCGTGTGAGCGCGAAAACGAAAAATAAAGAATTACAGGAAAAATGTGTCAAACCAAACTGTTCAGATTTGCCAACTGTCATTCCCGTTAACTTCGCGTGTCAACCTACTTTTGAACCAACACAGTTAAAAACTAAAAGCAGTTAAGTTCCCATTCGACCACCCTTACTTAGCAGACGCTTTCTGGTGATCAAATTTTCATCAAAAGAAGGGTAACTTTAATTTCAGAATTTCTTTTCCATGGTTTGTCATCTATCGGTTTGAATACCACTGTCAAAACAGGAAGGAACTTTCTTGTTTTCATGCAACTATTCTCACGTTCAAATTTGTACATGCCACGTTTACATGCGAAATACGTTTTAAATCTGAAGCACTTTTTGAAATGTTAAATGAATCAATTGAAATAATTCAAACTTCTCTTCCAGAGGAGCAATCATAAATTTGCGCAATATAATAACAAAACCTGCCATTCCTTTTTGAAGATTTACATTAGAAAATGAAAAAAACACATACCTTACAATATCAGCTCTTTGTAGAAGAATCGTTGTTAGTATGTTTCTTATTCCTGTCTTACCTGAAGCCTTAACAAGCGCATAGCGTGTATATTTAAATTATAAGATCTACAACTCGCAGAATCGAATTCTTTCAACTGAAGAATGAGAAGTGAAGACAACTTCTCAGTGATGAAGTTTCGTAACTAATAATGCTTCAAATGAAATGCAAATACAAGCGAAACGTGACTTGACTGTGTCAACGCTTTTATTAATATTGATCAGTTGATAACTTTTTTCGCACAAAACAACGGATTTCACTTGTACTATGAAAAGTAACGAATTCGAAACAGTATTTCTAGGTTTGAATATTTACACGTGCAAACTTTGGTGGACTATACTGCTCCTGGCCAAATTTCGACTTTCGAAATGTCTTTTTTGTTGAGTATATTTAGACAAAACAGATGCTTTCTACACTTCTCTCACTTATCCCAACAGGAAATACAAGAACCCTAATCATTTACCATTCAAGAAGACTTGGGGAGTTGTTCTTAATTATCCGGCTATACAACCATCCTGTAGGTCTCTTTCTTTCGATTGGGTTTTTGACGACCTACACGTTTTTTTCCATAATCTCAACCAATCAAGATCAAGAAAACGACAAGAATAATTAAGAGACTTTCCTTGTTTCATTGCAGAGTACTACAAGGTTTGATTAATAACATGAGCATGATCTCAAGGTTTTTTTAGGGCGCCCACATATTAGCAATCGGTATCAAAGCAATTAACAGCACGAAATCAAATAAAAACAAATTATTAAATTCCGGCTAATTAACATTGACTGATGATTCTATTGGTTTTTCCTGTTCTCATCCATAACCTAATTTTCACTTCTTTTTTCTTCCTCGTCTCCTTGGTTGTCTTGAACCAGCAGTGGTGAACGTGATGCACTGAAATACAACCATTTCTAAAGTCACAAACAGGAAACAGGATAGAAAAAACCCACAGAAAGAATCTCATCATTAGACTTATTGTAAATGCGACATAAGTATCACACATCAATCCCACTCCTACTAACTATATTTCTTAACTCCGTGAAAAGTGAGCCATAAAATTTGACAAAAATTTCCCCATCACATTCAAAGGTAACAAGTTTGTTTTGTATGCTTCTCACTGGTTTATATTGCAAATCAAAAGTTTGTAGATCTCAAATACATACAATCCTCAGCTCTTCTACAAAGAAAATCAGAGGCAAACTATTACGAATATTCTCACCTGCTGGTCGAGGAAATCCACAAGTTTTCCCAAAGAACAACTGATGCCGTCAGATTTAATTTGTTGATGCAGTGAAGCTAACTCTAGTGGCTGTGAGGAAACAGACAAGTGCCACATGAAATATGCGCGTGGTGAGACCAGTTCTCTTTTCCGCTCTTTTCAAAACTTAGGAAAGATACGTCCCTAATTCTCCCTCCGCGCTCGAAAAATAACGCGCAGGAGAACCAGAAGATGATATAAAAATCAACTGCTTACTCAACAGAAAGTCAAATCTGAAAATTTTATCTCAACAACTGAGAGTGAGAATAACATTATTCACTCGTAACATATCTAACTTAAGGCTTATTAAGATTTGAACAACTCTCCCTTTAGAGATCTCTGTGCTTTACCTGAAACTGTAAGACTTTTTGGTAGAGCTCTTTGTTATCACGGATGTAACAAGCCAGCTTCTCTCTCAGATCTCCTCCGTTGATCTTTTAGGAAAGGGAAAAAATTGGAAATGTTGGAAACACTGACATAATCATCTCTATGTTTTAACAAAATATAGCTTCATTTCCTTCAAACTTATAAACTTTCCATTCCGCGATATCTTTAGTTATAATCAGTTGTAAGATATTCTTGTTAATCAAGGGCGTTTTATTCCAATTGGGTTATCAAGCATCACAACTTCAACTTTTCGAGAAGATTTGTACCTGCTGAGATGCTGTTATGACGTCATCTTCAATCAGAGTAGTGCAGTCTCCAAATTCTGTATCCTCCTGATCACTGAACAAACAAACACAAAATGAAAGATTATACAGTGCGGCTGGAGAAAAATTAAAAGACAAAAAAAAAGTATTAACTAATTCCCTAAGACAATAGGCCATATCCCAGAGGAACATTAACAAAGCATCTGCTTCAACGCGCAGGTAAGTGCAGCGCTTTCAAGTTGATAAGAAGACATTATTTAACCCTTATGCAAATAAAACTAATTTCACAAAAAAGGCTTTGCGTTTAACCCGATTTTGAAAGTGAGGTTGTTCAGCACTTGAAATGGTTTAAAGTCCCACAATAAAAAATTACCGGGAGCAAGGAAGTGAACACACGTTAAGCCATTTATGGCAGTCGAGTTCCACACAGTACATTACTAGCGGGACTGATTGGGAATGATGTGGGAATGTTAAGTATTCTGGATGACGTTAAACTCTGTACGCTACACGGGAGTAAGAAAAAATATTTATCTTCACTGACGGTAGAAATACACAAACGTTCTCACCTGTTATCACTGCTTGCATTTCCACTTTCTTCAACTCCATCAATAGGAAGCGATGTTTTACTCCCCTGTGTATGTGGTTCATCTTTCAAAGAGAAGGGAACGTACTAAAACGGATATACCTTTTACAAGGGTCACGTTATTATTAAAATTGAGCAACTATTGTTAACTGTAGAGACTGTTGCCTTACTTGGATGTGTGTAATCATAGATCTCTTTAAGCTTCAAGATCATTTTTTTCTTCGGGAGAGCACGAACACCAAACTTATACAGCTCATTCTACAAAAAAATATAAGCAAAAACATAAGTAGTTACTTTTCTTTGTTAAAATAATCTGAGAGTCTAAGCTTACTAGAGCCAGTGACAACATCACTGCGCACTCGTGAAGCACATGTTGAACATGATCCTAAACCTGTGTTGGATATGAGCCAGTCTAAATTATTATATCTCTTAATAGTAATGAATTTGTTTAAGTTGTTACCTTTAATACTGGGGTGGCCATCTCGATGTAGTTCGGCATGGGTGTTACTGGTTGTTTCGCCTTCTGTTCTACCTGCTTGTTTGACTTAATGTGAGACTTTTTCCTACGCTTTGACGGAGTTTCATCATCTTCATTGTTGCTATCACTATCTCGGACTCTTCCTTGACTTGAAGGAACTTTCCTCTTGCCTTTACTCGTCATTGAAGCATCCACTTGCGCCAACAGATTGTGTTCCTTTACATCTTTATCACAATGGCGCTTTTCCCTTGCTTTTACATCGCTATCAACATTTAAGACCTCAAGTTTGTTTACTTCATCAATGTCAACATTGAAGCCCCCATCGTCATAGGAATCAAACTCGTCACCAAGTGAAACGCTTTCTGTTTGCTGCTCCTCTTTAGCCGAGGAGTTCTTTTCTTGCTCATCACCGCTTTTGTCTTCATTTCTGGTATAACTATCAACTCTGTCTGTATCGCTGTCACCTTCATCAGCATCGCTAATAAAGAACATTTTAGTTCCACCAACACGTGCGGCCTTTAGTCTCTCTTTCAATGGCACGTCAAGATCAATCTTCACCACTTCTGTCTTTCGTGGCTTTTCCTTGTCATCTGAATTCTGTTCGAACTCCAGTTTTTTCACAGAGTGGTTCCTCTCATTCTCTAATTGTCGACTGAACGCATGATGCGAGCTAAATGAACAAACGGAAGGCGACACTGGAGATTGTGATTGTGGACTAGAACCCATTCCTCTTGTGGCTGCTGATGACTTCCAATCAACTGGAAGACTGGGCGAGTCAAGATCAGGTGATAAGGCGATCTGTTGTGATGGAGGGGAAGTGCAAGGTACTGGGGAGTCTGGAGACGAAACAGCATCAAAGAAATAATAGCTCGGCGAGGGGACTGGCTGCGACATAATGTTGCCAGGAGAAGATGAAGTTGACAGAGGAAAGTCTCGATAAATGCCATCATCTGGCTCATCTCCGTTAAATTCTATGTTTTCACCATTGATAGGTCCTATGGATTCGAATTCTTTTTCCCCTGAAACTTCCTTTCTCTCTGAAGGACATGTCAATTTATCTTTTGCTTTCTTGCAAGTTTCAGAAGTCTGCACTACGTCATCGTCTATAAATGGGGAAACAGAAGGAGAATTTCCAACCTCGACCCCTTCTGAAACACACTCTTCGTTGAGGTTTCCAGGCGAGCAACTACTGTTCTCAGAGCCTTTGAGGGATTTTGAACCCCTAGGGGGAGTTCGCACTGGGGAAACACTAGCGGACATGGTACCCCACAAGGTCACTCGTGTTGGTGAGACATTGTAAGTCTCTACATTTCCTGATAATGAAGTCGGTTCACCTAGGTTGTCTCGTTTCCCAAGAGACTTCTCTGTGGTCGTTAAACGATTGGCTGATATTTTTACCGAAGATTTATTAGTCACACCATTGCGTCTTGACTTTTCTTTCACTTGCTTATTTCCTATACTACGTTCTGCACGCTGTCTTAGTTTGGACAGAAATTGGTTTGCTTCCTCGCTCAATTGTCTACGTGATTTGGACGGAGAGGAACCAGTTACAATGACATCGTCTTCTTCACTGACAGAGGTTGTTGATAGGAATTTAGTTGAGGTGCTTCCCCATCCATGAGGTGTCTCTGGGACGATAGTCACATCAGTTTTTCGAGGAGACACATCGAGGACCTAGAAATTACATTATGCACAAATACGAACTGAACAAATTTGTCATCAATACTGCCAAGAAATGATATATCACAAAATCAGGGGGCAATCTACTGTCGAACAAATCTTTTTGAAGGATATAAAAATCTAACCACTACTCATTTCTGGTACTCAGCCACTGCAAAGAAAGCTTCTATTTTACTGACTAGAAAATAAAGTCAGAAGAGGAACAAAGTGCTTACGTGTTCGTTCCACTGCATTAAATGTGTATTCTTCGACTCTGACACGACTCTGACGGAAACGAATTGCTCTCGAAGATGAGTATGCATCACTTGTTCGTTACTTTCTTGCGATGACTGCTCCTAAAGACACTACTCTAAGTTCTAGAATTGAAATAACACACTACAACAAACCTCTTCCTCATTGTCGCTGATCAATGTGATCGATTCATTTGCAGCTATTTCCACAGTGTCGTCCTCACTTTCCTCATTGTCTGACAAAGGTACCTTCCCTGGGGACCCCTGCAAGTCTTCCTTTTCCCGCTTCTCTTCCTCTTCCAGTACAAACACATTTACACAGCCAGGCTTGTTGCAGCTTTCCTCCAAAATGTTAAGATCTTGGTACCAATTTGGTTGAATTTCACCTGATACATCTGGTTCACCTGATACATCTGGTTCCCCAGCGTCATCATGATTGACTTGATTTGCATCATTTAACAGATCTGTAGACACGTTATAGATATCGGCATTCTCGGGATAATTATCCACATTAACATCGATTTCCAAAAATTCCTCAGGAAGGTGTAATTTGTCATTACTATCAACGGACTGTTCCAATTCAAGTGTACAAATTTGTCTTATCCCATGCCGCTGTACCTCGACATCGTCCGGGTTGCTGATTGTTTCTCCGCCTGTAACAGGTTTGTTACAAGAGTCAGGTGAAAACGTATCATTCTCGCAAGACTCTGTCAATGTATAGTGATCGTGAAGTAGTTTATTTCCCCTTTGTTCGTTTGGAAGGGATAAATGTTCCCTCTTGGTACTTATATCTTCCTCAACGATACTTTCTCTTGCATATGAGCCATTAAATTGGAACTTCTTTCCTTTCTCAGCATCATCATGCAATTTTTTTCCTGTCTGTTTGACAGGACTACGTGACCAATCATCTTCTTCAGGAAGATTAGGTGACGCATCACTACCTTCAATAGTAATATACGACGGATTATCATCTCTGGAGAGTGTTTGCAACTTACTTTCTTTTCCATTAGACGCAGAAGGATTTGAATCTTCCACAGATGTTTCTTCAACAGACTTGCTTCGATAATTACCTGTCAAATCTGCTTCTGTCTTGCTTGACTGTTGTTCATTCAGGCTTAATGGATTTTTCGAGCTCTCCTTCAAATTTTCACTCCCTTCCCTTTGAAGTGATTGAGTTTGGAAAATCATTATTTCTTCGATGTCTTCATCGTTTAACTGGTCAGTTGTACCTTCCTGTTCTTCATCTCGCGGAGTTTGAAAATCCAAGCCGAAATCGTTGTGTTGATCACTTGTCCAAATAACTTGCTCAATATCTTGCTCAAATTTTTTCATATCAATGACGACGCAATCACTAATTTCATCACCATCTTTATTTTCTTGCGCTTGCTTTAACCGAAACATAGTGTCCTTACATGCTTTCAGAAGGCATGGCAGTTCAAGCCTACAAACAAACAGTGTAAAACAATTCAAACATTTTAGATAAATATTTTCGTATCCCTGCCGCTGAAATGTTTTTGTAAAGTACGTTTTGTAATGTTTTACCTTTCAGCCAAATTTGTTAAGGCACCCAATGCACAATGCTCAGGGATGATGACCTCACCAGTATAAATGTGCCTTAGCGTAACTTCGAAAATAAATTGTTCAACTTCCTCAAACTGTAGATTAAGAAGCCCTCCATCTTTACATCCAGATCTTTGTTCCTCCAACATCTAAAGCAAAGTAGAAGGTATTGTGAATCAACGGTAGATTCAAATGAATTCTTTTGCGCAACCTCTCAGGCAAATATGGATTTGTTTGTATGTTTTTGTTAAGTGTAAATGACCTTCCACTTAAAAAAAAAAAATACTTAAGTGTATAAATCTTGTATTCTTAGACATGTAGGCACATATAAGAACTCTATCAGTTAGTAGTAGTCAAATGAAGAGAGCAACTAGAGGTCTCTTGCATTAAATCATTATTAATGAAATAGAAATGGGACATGTACCTGTGAAAGAACATTGGATCTGAGGGACAAAATAAAGCTGTGTGCCATCAACTTTTGACCATCTTTCAGATTAATAACAACATCACTAAGCCATGAGTTGTTTACCATGGATGATAAATCTTGAAGCAATTTTGAAACTCCACTGGGGACCATATGAGTTCCCTAATCAAGAGAAGAAAGATAACAAAGATTTCCATGCCACTTCACAGTATTGCAGGAATAGTAAACATTTATAACTTATCTCAAGACCTGGTCAATGATTCCAAAAGATGTTACAAAAAGAAAATATAAGGCTTAAATGGTTAATAAATGCATTTTCTCACAGGCAAGGAAACTGTTGTTCAGGGTTGAACAAATGATCACATTTTACCTCATGAATATTTAGATTCTCTTTTTCATCAAAACAGAAACCCATGGCTGTTACCATCTGCTGGGGGTTTGCTAAAACTTTAGACATGTCATCATCACCACAAAGATCCATCAACATTTGTACATTCATAGCTTGTGACGGTGTTATCTCTTCACATTCACCAACTCCATTTGGATTTCCTGACACTTGCATGTTTGATTCACATGGCACAGGGCCTGATGTCTCCTCTTTAGTGGCAGCATTTGCAGCAACTTGATCATGAAAAGTATTGCAGGAAACATTCTTCTGAACTGGTGAAGCAGGAGGCAAGAGGCCTTGTACATAGAATTCCTGATAGGACTGGTCCTTTGTGGATGCTAATGACCAAAGTGGACTGGAAGTTGGTGCCTGTTTAACAAAGTGGAACATTTGGTACTTTAACTGCACAAGATTACATCACAATACAAAAACTGAACATAAAGCCTTTGAAAAATTAGGGCAGTGTATCACTGGCAAATGCTCATTGTAAACACTGAACAAATTTTTGTAAAAAGAGCAAAAAAAAAATAATTAATAAATAAAATTGAGAACTTACCTTTGGTTGACATGGGTTACTGTCATTGTTTTCACCAGCATATAAAACATTTAGAAATGATCTGCTTAGTGAAGGATCAACAGAGGCAAAATATTCCTTCATTATGACAGCATTATTTCCACTGTTTGCACACATGTGCTTGCCTTCTACTGTACTGCAATCTAATCCAATCATGTTGATGGTCTCTGATGTACTTGCAAAAGTAGTAGGATGCTCTTGTAGTGTTTCTTTGCCAGGTAGAAGTTGATTGCTTGGAATATTCTGAGCTAATCGACTTGGAGCAAGAGCAGGAGTGCATGATATTTCATCCTCCTCATCAACTTCTTCCTTTAGAGTATACAAAAGAAAATATAAAATACTAGGATTTCATGTTATAATCAGACCATTGTTAACTTTTTCAATGTTCTCTAATGTTTGACCAAATATCAAAATGAAAGCAAGGAGGAGATTTACTCCTATTACTGACTATCATAAACATTGGATGAGTATGCAAATGAGTGAATGAGTGAGTATTCATCTTCATCTCTCATTGTATTTATTGATTAAATTCTGATAAAATATCATATCATTGATATGTATGACCCAACACTTGACTATGATGATGACTTCCACTCAAACTTTCAAAGAGTCACCAATCACTGACAACAGACTACCCTCACCTGAACAATCACTCAAAATAACTTAATGTCACCCCAGGGTGCAAAACTCATTAGGTTGTACAGCAATTTCTGATTTTAAAAAAATGGAATAAAATAAAACATACTCCTGTGCAAAGAACCTGAGCTGCTCTCATCATAACGGCTCTTTGAGCACTTTCATCATCTCTAAGCAACAATGCTGGCAGTTCACTACCACTAAGGAAACACAAAACATACATTAGTGGAAAACATTAAGACAAAATAAGTCACTGTGTAAATTGACTTTCTCCTGGGAAATTAATCCAACTTATTTGTGATGAATATGCCTTTATTAGCAGTTCTTACCCTTTCATCTTCTTTCCTTTTCCCTTCACACCTTTGGCCTGTGCCTGTGGGGGTAGGGGTGGGGCCATGGATGCTGACAAAGCCAAAGCAAGCTGAGTTTCTTCATCAAAGTCACTAAGGGAAGAAAAAAAACTGGTTCAAATCACTCTCTCTACCAAGGTCCATTTTAATCGCTCTATAGAGTGCAAGGGTAAATGGAAGGAAAAAACTACTATTTCAGCAGTTTTTCCATCCAATAATGCACTCTGATGGTTCTGAGGAGTCTACTACACTATGTATTGAAGCTTCAAATAGCTAGGTGTTCATGCAATTAGAATTGGAAAGTGGAGAATTGTTTAGTTGAATTTTAATTGTCAGAGAGGATTGAGATTATTCTCCTCTTTGTTCACACTATTCTTGTGCTACTAAAAATTCTCAATGAAAACCTAAATAACTGGAAAGTAGCAAAGACAACACCACAATCACTACAAAACTGTTGTGTAAATACAGAAAGACAACAGATACCGTCTCTGTTACTCAATTTTAATAAAATTATATAATGGGATTTGAGTTAACATGTTGTATCTTGTCAACTACTTTCTAGTCAGTTTGTAGACATATTAACATGGGCTGACCAGTTAATCTGCCAGGCAAGAGCTTTCTGTCTACTGACACTTACCCAAAGCAAGTGTCATCTCAGATATTTGTAAGAATAAAAAGGAATATTCTAAAAACTGATACCATATGAGAAAGTTGAGAATAATGCATATTTCTTACCCCCTGACTGCAGTACCTCTCCTTTTTCTTTTCACTCCAGTAAGATTCCTAGAAGGAAGCACATTTTCCGCAGACCCAGTGGTTACAGAAGTCTTGTCTTCCTGCTGTTTCTCCCGACGTACAATCTCCAACAGCTGATTCGTCTCTACATTGTACTGCTGAGCACATTTCTTGAGATGTATTTGGCGAGCCTGCAGGCATTGAAACATGAACATATCAGCAGCAAATAGAGAACCACAATCTAAAGTGACATCTTTAGAGAATCAATAATTATATTCAAAGGATGGATGATGTTATTCAGCAGATGTTGCAGTTTGTGCTGCCATTACATTGTAAGCTACATGTAGTTATCTGGTGACTAGCAAAATCAATCATTAGAAATTGAGATTGTCTAAGAAGAGGTGAATCAAAGTGAAGGCAAATAGAGTTGCAATGAGCCCAGTAACAATTATTGTAAATGATAATGTCAATAAGAAACAAACAAACAAAAAAAACACCAAAAATACAAAAAAACCTTTGGTGTTTTGAATCTTTTCCCACAGATAGGACATTGAGCCTGAGATGGAACTGAATTTGACTGAAGTATTTCCTTTTCATTGGCCTGATCACAACAACGGTTTAAGTGTTGTTGACGTCTCTGTGAGTTCATCCTTGACAGATCCTTTTGGCATAGCTGACAGAAATACAAGTCCTCTCCGATCCCTTCACAAGTCACTTCTTGTGAACCTTGTTCCTTGACCCTGCTATCGGAACAGTTGTCAAGACAACTATTAATATGTTTGTTTATGGTATCCAAATTTTCTGCTGATATGAAGCTGAAACTGCAGACTGGGCAAACCCTGTCATTTGAAGAGTTCTGCTTCTCATCAGAATGCTCTTTATATTTTGCAGTTTCTTCATTGGATACAGTATCCATTTCATCTGCATTTTCTTTATCCAGATTCTCTTTATTCATATTTTTTAATACAATGTTACCTACAACAACATTACTGTCATGCACCTGGTGCAATGAACCATCTTCTGAGGACAAAGTTTTGATATTATCTCTGAAGTCAGTCTCATTAGTGGATTTAGCATCCTTTGGATTCACAGCTTTGGATCTGTAAGTTTGGCATTTTTCGAGGCACAAAGAAGCTTGCTTTAGATTTACAGCATTGCGAGTCCTTTTAAACTTAAACACATGAGCAGAGCTTGCAGATTCAAGTTCTTCAGTGTCAATCCTCTTGCGTTTATTGCCATATAACTCATCCACAGCCGTTGACTTCCCATCATCACCCTCGCCTTCAGTCTCACAAAAATTAAACACATCAGTTGTGTGCTCTCCTGACACCCCTGCGATTAGTTCAGCATTGAGGTAATCATCACCAACACAGTCAATATCTTTAGTATTTATCACTGATAAACTTGCTAAATGATTAGAACTTTCTTTCGGACTTGAGAGAGCTGATTGTCTTGATCTGAGGGCTGTGTAAGTTCCACTGGCAGTTTCATTTAGACAGTGATCATTTTTCGAAAATTTCCAAGATTTAGATTGCTTCTTACGCGACAAGCATCGTTTAGACTGTGCTCCTTTCACTTCACCCGTCATCTATAAATGCAGTTTTTCCCATAATATCCTTTACAAATTGCCACCGATCAACATGTTAATTCACTTTCAATAAACAAAGAAGTCGATTAAAATATAAGTTTGGACCTGCGCTTAAATTAAATTAAATCCTCAAGATCCCACAGGTTACACTAGGCTGGCGATCAAGGATTAACCTTTTCGTCAATTTTCTCTTGAACTTTACGACGAAATTCCAGCGCCTGCTGTATGTTGTACTTCCTTCTTTCCTCTTTTTCAGCGGGGTTGACGATCAGCTTATACCTGTGATAAAATCCGAAGCCAAATAAAATCAAAGTTCCACCAAAGACAATCGGGAATATAAGTCCCCTATTCAACATGTTGACTGTCCCTAACCACTGCGCAAACCCGCCAAAATATTTCATGAAGACGGCGCACCCTTTTTACGTGCTACCGCTGATTATGAGCTTTGTATTTGCACTCACCGACTGCACGCGACCACTCTTCGGGGCATTGTCTCCTACTTACTCTCTTGCAAGTTCGTTAGATTGTAAGTATATATCTTGGTTTGATAAGCTTAGTTCATAATTTTAAAGTGAGTGTTTAGATAACTAAAATTAAGCATGCCTTCAAGTTATAATCTTAGTTTGATGATCAGATGTAATCATCACGAGAGTTGTGAAGATAGTGGTCGTCTGGTCATTACTGATACTAAGAGATATGTTTAGGCTCGGTGGACAATATCAGCCACCAATTCTTTTGATATTGCATATTTTCTCTATTCGAGACTCCCCATACCCCTCCCTCATAAACGTTATTCTTAATCATTAAGTTGTAGGGTATACTTCCACGCCCATGCCACCCATAGTGCCTCATGAGGTACAGCTGGAGTATTTATGATATGAACCCCACTCGGTAATGACATCTTTTCTCTTCCCCCTTTTCTTACAGCCACCCAGCGATTATATAAAACTGATACCATCCTCTTTTTTGTTTTTGTTCTCTGCTCTAGCTTTTTGTGTTTCTCAACAAACTTAGACTTGTTATTGCATTTAATTAATAACCAAAAACTGTGACCTGAACCAAACGTTAAGAAAGAAAAACTGGGGTCGCCTTTTAAACCTCTTTGATTGTTGTATGGTATGGCTTCCACTCCTTTGTGGAAGAAATGTGGTATTGTTAGTGAATGATATGAATGATTGTAGGTAAGAATTAGTGGTAAAAAGAACCTGTGAAGGAAATATTAAAGCTTTTGTTTTTATCTTGTCTTCTTTTCTTTTGTCACTTGAAAGAAAAACACATCATGAGGCTTGTCATCTTGGAAACATATGAGCAGGTGTCAGAGTGGGCAGCAAAATATGTGAGAAATAAAATACTGAAGTATAATCCAGGACCTGGCAAGTGTTTTGTACTTGGTCTACCAACAGGTACTGAAATGAAAACTTGCCATTACATTTCCTATTTACTGCTGAGTTGCTGGTTCGCATAAAGTTGACCAGCTTTCAATAGTAAGAACTTTGTTAGCTTTAAATGTTTAAAAATATTTTAAATAACAGGGCAAGAAACCTGATACTAACAGTGCTTATTGCTGAAAAAGGGAATTTTACATCTATTCTCAGGTGGCACTCCTAAGGGCATGTATAAGAAGCTGGTAGAATTCTACAAGAAAGGGGAGCTTTCTTTTAAATATGTTAAAACCTTTAACATGGATGAATATGTTGGACTTCCTCGTGATCATCCAGAAAGCTATCACTCTTTCATGTGGGAGAATTTTTTCAAGCATATAGACATAGACCCAAGTAATGCCCATGTGTTAGATGGCAATGCTTCAGATCTTGTCAAAGAATGTGAAGATTTTGAGGCCAAGATCAAAGATGCTGGTGGAGTTCATCTGTTCATTGGAGGTATGTACATATTCTGTAATGGTCTTGATCATGAGAGGCATAGTGTAGTACGCCTTAAATGTCATTTTTAACTTCATTGTATCACCATGATAATGATAGGAATCTCATTCTTAATATTATAATGACTGTCTTAATGTGAACTCATCTCTGCATCACCATTATCAGCATCATTATCATCATCATTATCATCATCATTATCATCAAGCTCATTCCTGTCAAACCTTTGTGTCTGTCATCTCCATCCTCAGCCAAGTAATTAGCTACAGATGCAAATAGTATTTCCTGATGCTTACTAGTGTTCTAGTGATTTGGCAAGAGAAGGGAAAAAAATAAATAACCGAGAATTTATGGAAAGATTTTACCATTTATGACTCAAATTGAGGATCCTTAAAACTCCGAGTTTACCCATTTTTGGAAAGTACTACTCCTCAAGTTTTTTATTACCCCAGGCACCAACACTCCCTAGGTAGATTGAGCATGACATAAAGCTCTGTTTTATTATTCTCTGACCATGCTTAACTAACCCATGCCTTGCTTTGACAACCTTTACAGGAATAGGAAGTGATGGTCATATTGCATTTAATGAGCCTGGCTCATCATTAGTTTCAAGAACACGAGTCAAGTCCTTGGCAAAAGAAACCATTGTAGCCAATGCACGGTTCTTTGATAATGACATGACCAAAGTACCAACAATGGCTCTTACTGTGGGTGTGGGCACTGTGATGGATGCGAGTGAGGTACAGTCAACAACACAACTTTAATAATTATTCTTTAGTGCCTGTCTGCTCAGGATTACAAACAGCCCAAGTATTGTTCAACATTTTAGGGTGTCCACACAGAATTCAGGATACAATGTAGAATGATAAGTGTCATATCCATCTTTCTTGGGTGTGTAATCTAACCATATTAGGTTGAGGTATGATGAGTTAAGCTGAGACTTTTTCACTATGTATCGCACGTTAGTTGTTTCTTTTCACATTTGCCATTTCTTTTTCTTGTCAAGATTTTAGCGTGGAATACATCCTGGGCAGGTTTTGAAATTTGACTAATTAACAATCATTTTTATATCCATCAGGTTCTTATTTTGATTACTGGTGTACACAAAGCATATGCCCTGCGATGTGCAACAGAGGAAGGAGTCAATCACATGTGCACTGTGTCTGCCTTCCAGCAACACCCAAGGACCATTTTTGTAGTTGATGATGATGCCACCTTGGAGCTGAAAGTCAGAACTGTGAAGTATTTTAAAGGCCTAATGGATGTTCACAATAAGCTGGTAGAAGATCCTCAAGATCCCACAGATGCACCACCTAGTGCCAAGAGGTTGAAATCGGTTTCAGATGATGATGGAAGAAATTAATGGCTTTTCATACCTTATCTTCATCAGGTTATTTTCTACTAGCCTCACTTTACTAAATATTTCCTCTTTGAGGTGAGGCTTAACTCAGATCAAAGTTATGTTGACTTAAAAATAATTCTGATTCAAGTTGCATGGACAATTGTTCAGATTTATTTTTTGATAGAAATGGAGAAGACTTAGTGTCCATCGTATTGAAATACAAATGGTATTAAACGTAGTAGTTATGGTGAAAGTTGGAAACCTGAAAAACTTTTAGTAACAATTCAAATTTGTTCTCAAAGAACCAAGAATGGTGATTACTGACTTAATAATAAAAATAACAATTTTCTTGAATGTGATTGGTTTAAAAAAATCCTATTTTCCACTAATTCACGTGCCAAGTTGTTATTGGACATTTTAATAAGCTAATCACATTCAAAGTTGTAGTTAAAATCAACCATCACATTCAAAGTTGTAGTTTAAATTAGCCAATTACAACCTTGGTTTCAATCACCACAGAAACAGTGCACAGACTGCTAAATTGTGGCTTTCTCTTGATGCAAATTTTCCCTTTCTTTCATAACTTTTTTTTCTTTTCTTGGGAGTTGTAATGTTTATGATTAATGTAAATATGACATGTCGTCCGATTCAGTCTGTAATCATACGAGTTATAACAAAATTGTTGCTCGGAAGATTGGGCGACCACTTCTCACCTTATTAACAATAAATAAATTATTACTATTACCATTACTAAAATCGGACTAGCGCGCAGAGGGAGTCAGATTTGTTTATCACCATAACTCATAAGACCAGTTGATATTGATAAGAGAGCGTTATTGCATAATATATTCTTTTAAAGAGCAAAGTCAGAGAGAAGCTTAAGCAGGGCAAAGAAGTTTAATTGATTTTCCCCAAATCAGAGCTTAATCACCTTATTACACTACTGAAATTGTCTCAACTGATCACAGCTAAAAATAGATATGTTAATAGTGGTTTACACTGTAATCAGTCAAGGGACATTTGTTCAATAATAAGAAACGTGGAACTTGGAAATGTTTCTTAGTGCAAACGAAATTTGACTGTCGTTAAATTGGATTTAACTTGACAGAACTTTTTATGATAATTTCTTTATTTTCTTGATGGGCAGTTGTTAAAAAAAAAGAGTGGTTTCCCAGAATAAAGATTGAGAATGTTTCAGCGACGTTTGTTTTTTTAACATGTATCATTTACTACCGGTGTGACGTATTTTGTATTCATAGTTTCCATCAGCTCGGAATTGTCACAGTTGGGAAGTTATGTAATATCGTGACAAATTGTAATGCTAAAAATGACCTGATCAGAGCCAAGAAATCCTAGTATCTCATTTACGATGAGCCTTTAGTTTCTCTTCGTCACAAGCATTGACCTCAGTAAGATAAATAAAATCTGTATAAAATTACGGGTGCGACCGCAAAACTAATGATCACTGCGGTTGATGTCAAACTCTTTGCCGACACCAAGCGGTGTCTTTTATTGGTTTATTTTACAATGCACATTTATTTTTAGAACTTTAATTAAGAAACTGAGTTGTTTTTTAAGCTCGTTATTAGAATAATGAGTTTAGAGATTGAGTTTGTTAGAGACAAGGAGGTCCAAAGAGGTTGTGTCAGCTTTCACTCTCCTCCGGTTCCATTCAGTGTGAGACAAGTAAGTGTGAACTCTTGTTTTAAGTCAGTTTACTGTATATAAAGTTGTCTTCCATCCCACACGTAAACTTTAGTCCCTAGAAAGCTTTTTTTTAGGGTTTACTAACAAAGTTTGAGAGGCAGACAACTCCACCTAAAATGTGAAATATCTCATTTTCTTTGTGGAAAATGGCCAAGTTGAGCTGTCTCAAAAAAAAAAGAATCCATGAGAAAAGTACACCCAATTTTTTTATTCCAATACACTCTTGCTCTCAAGCAGAGTCCTCGAAAACCATTACAAAATTAATACTTATTATTTATTTCAATAAGTTATCATTTTCTTTGAAAGCCACTGAACCTTATGTTAAGAGAGAGGTTATTCTAAGTTGAGCTAACAGCGCTTTGAGTTAACAGTCAGTTTAACATAGTCATATCTGGAACTAGTTAAAATTCGATTTTTAAAAAACAAAACTAATCACGTAAACACCAAACTAATTCTGGATACATTTAAATCATGTTATGTTAAATATTTTACTTAAATGACAAGCAGAGGTTACTGTTTAAAATTAAGACAGCCATAGCTGTCTGCCCCTTGGATAGAAAGTCTTAAGTTACCATTTTCCTACAAAGGACTTTAAGGTTTGAAGTAATGACCAAACTTCTCTATTAATACGTGGAATCACAAGGCCTGATAATGGACCAAAAAAATTGTTCAATAGCTTTCAGCGAGAAAAAACTAAATTCTCAAAGTTGAATTATTTATTACATTGTCACCAGTGGATCTCAACCTTCTCATTGGATGTTCTCGGCCAATCTTGATTTTGATTAAACTTTCCATCAAAAGATAAGATTTACTTTGAGGACATAAATTAGCGACTATTCAAACCGCTCGAGTCTAAACTTGTAATGTACAGCTTATTAAGAAGGACGAGCAGGAAACATGTCGGTGTTTCCTGCATGTGGAGCTGTTTCCAAGATTCAAATCTTCCAGCTTCTAACTAAGTTGGATTTATCAATTCACAGTCTCCTCAAATTCAGCTCTTCCGCTTTGCTTTGTGAACTTGACGAACTCGGCAAAGAGCTTTAAGGTAGGTAATAATTATTGTTTAGGCCACATTCCAACTCATCAACGAGATTGTTTTTGGCTGACACTAAATTTCTGACCGAGTGAATTAATGATTCGTTGCAGGTGGTATTTACATTCAACTGAATACTGTGTATAAAAAAGTTATGCTAAAAATTTTTCTTTGAAATACTTTGTAGTGATACAAGGATAAATAGCTCCAGCAAACTTGTAAAATGTTTGGGTAAATACATTGATCAGAACCCGAAACTGAGGGGTGAAGGTAACATCTCTTTACCAGGGGAGTGACCCTTCTCTTCATTGGAATTTAGGAGGACTACGGAATATTTTATCTCAATGCCGTCTATATCTTAAATTATTTTTCATACCAGAGGGTGGGGGTTATTCGCACCTTACGAGGCTACGACCCCCTTCTGCTTCCTAATTTCGCCATGTAAAATGTAAAACCTAATCCAAACAGAAGATTATCGAGATATATCAAAGAAGATACAAATACATTCAAGTCAAAACGAGTACTGCCACTCTTTTACGATATTTTGGAGGATAAACATGCTCCGTCGATTCTGATACGTCTCACTAAACTGACACGAGGTTCAAAAAGAGCTAAGGTTAGGCTATGTAGTTCTGGTGTGCCGCGCGATGTTTATCATATTTTTTTTATTGTTATTTTTAACCGTGGACTTTTCGCCCGTAAGCTTAGTATTGTTTGTTAAGTGTACCTTGTGAAGACAGCTGTTTTCATAAAGCAATGAATATGTAAAGTGGGTAAGAGGACAGAATTCACCAAAGACATGTTTAAACCAGAAACCAAAACAGCTACTGAATTAATTTGTCATTTTTCTTTCCATTTCACTTTAGATAGCGATTGTTTTCTTGTACAATACCAACGCTTCCTTAATACTTAACTGACATGTTGGTCAAAAGCATATATCGAACCAAACATCAGCGTAAATGAAGATCGACACAACAGCAGAACATTTAATCCAGGCTTTTATCCGTGCCACAAAATAAATTTTAATCCTGGCTATTTAAGAAGGTTTAATTAAGTGGTTTCTTTCACGACAGTTTTGGCTTCATGTACCAATACTTTTCCTGCCTTATTAATTCTTTGTAATTCTTTCTTGAAAATCAATATTTTTACGACATCAAATTTAATTTCACTCTCTGTACCTCGAGGAAAACTTCCGATTTACTCTCGATTGGTCAGACACATTTTAACAAATCAACGGCAAAAACAGAACGTTTTAAGAGAAAATAGTTTATTTCTACTTACCTTGCTCTTGCCTTATTTGTCTACTAAGAGAGTTTTACCCGCTGTGTTATCTGTTTACCTTTTTGAAGCCCATTTCCCAACCATAACTGTTAACTTCGTTGCAGTCATTTCGAAAAGCGGGCTTTGTTAATTTTCAAAAAACTGAGATCAAAATAATAAAAGCAGGTGAGAATTTTTATGTTGAACTGAGTTAATTTGAACATCAAAGGCTCACCAAGCCCTTTAATTGTTGGAATTTCTCACAAAGTAAAAAATTAAATCTAATAAAAATGTGTGAAGCCGTTTTCATTACTAAGACTCACCAGCGACGCTAATTTGGGTAAACATCTGTCGAAGTTTTTCTCGGTTTCTGATTGGATAAGAAGAGCAGTAGAGAAAACACAACAGATGGCGTTTGCCCCTGGTCGAATAACAACGAATTTTGATCTTCCAATTTCAAGCAACCAGAACCACCTTATATCTGTAACTTTTCAAAACCAAGAAAAAATCTTTCTTTTAAAGACAACTGGCTTCTGCTCATTGGCAAAAGGACACATTATGTTTGTAAAGTAAATTGTCAGCCGGAAACTGAAATGCCGCGGTGGAAGCTCGTACGGTTTGAGGTTAGCATGTTGTTTTTACCTCTTCACTCCTTAACTTAACACTTGCTATTGTGTCTTTGACTGACATATGCATATAACCGCCGCGCAATGTGTTTTCTCGTGCGTTCAGTCGCGTTCATAACTATTTAGAAACCATCCTTTTCTCAGGTATACCTTACAAATTTCACAATCATGTTTGGTGCTGATCGCACATTTGAACGCAGTGTTTCGATCGTAATTACTCTTGTCTTGCGAGGCGAAGAAAGGGTTAAACAGCACCTTAAGGACTTATTCATTTTTAGGCTAAAAGACTATTTTTGTTAGTTTAGTTAATCCCTAATCGAATCATTCCAGCCTTATTTTTCTGTCTTACTTCAAAGGCAACCATGTCACAGTTTGCTATGGTAAAAAATGTCGCTCAATGAGATATTTATGATTCTAATATTCAAATATAATACATTGATTTTCAATTGCTTTCAGGAGATGCAAATATTGTTTGGTATAATTACAGCTTAGGCTTGTCGCATCTCACGCTATATTTGGGAAACCTCTGTGTTTAATATTTTCATCAGTTGCCAGCGGTGCATTGCGCACCGGGAATAGGAAAATTATTGTCCATGTTGAATTCTTTCTTTCTCTAAGAATGGGCCCATGTTGTCTTTTCCAGCAAAACTGCTGTGGCTTAACATTTTATATTCTGTCCACACTATTCCAATTGAATTTATACGTGATGATGTATGGACAAAAATGGAATACTTTTGGCAATTGTGAAGACTCGAAACATAAATAATTTACGTGCTTAATTTAACTGTTTGTTTTCGTTTCCTTCTTGTTATTTCGAAGCCGTTAATTTTAGGGCCTGCAAAACAAAATCAGACAACGCAGACTGGATATAAATCATTCTTAGCCGGTATTTAGCGACATATTTTGTTTATTACCAAACACAGTCCTTTATTATACAATTGCAATATACTCAGACGGAAACCAGCTAGGTCTAGGCCGCTATTTGAAAATGGCTCAATAAAATTTTCTGTTGTGGGAAATTTGAGACGAGCTTGCCTTGAATCCGTATTTTCGTACTCATTAAATATTCACCCTTGTACCGCCAATGCCGGCAAATTGTGATCTTACTAATCATTCAAATGAATCGCACTCTTTTGACACTTGCCAAATCAACTCATCGATAACAAAATGGTACCATGGGTGGTAAGTTCTTCTCTGTAATCAGAAAGAGAAGCATTCATGTCTTTGTTTTAAAGGACAAATTAACTCATTGATAACAAAATGGTACCGTGGGTGATAAGTTCTTCTCTGTAAATCAGAAGGAGAAGCATTCAAGTCTTTGTTTCAAGGAGATCTCTTTTAGCTCTGCCTGCGACTCAAGCCTGTTTCCAACGACCAATCATTTTTGTCGACGAGAGATTAGAAAGTTCTGTTGCTTCTGAGGATATGCGCCTATACCCACCTAAATGGCGGTGAATTTATTAAAGTCAGCAAAGGCGTGAAGACACCTAACGTTTGACATGCACTTAATATATCAATCGTAAATGACGCAAATTTAAACTTTCAACAACATTCAACTATCTTTCTTTTCTTACCAGTTATAGGTTAGGACTGAGTCAGCGAATCACATTCTTGAATTGAAAATTTTCAAGTTCCATTTATTTGTAAGTTCATGATGTTTAAAGTCATGTTAGGTCAACCTGATTTAAAATAGATAATTCTTAAAATTGTTCAAGAATGTTTCAATCTAACACGACTCTGAAGTAAAATTAACAGAAGGCAAAGTTTGAAAATTACAAGAAAAAGAACATCGCCTGGCACACAGATAAAGAAACCACAATCTGATTGGGCGGTTTAACTACGAATTTTCTGGTTGGGTATGTTTATTTGTCCCATATTTTGTGCTTTTTTCTTAATAGTATGAGCTAAAAAGAAAACTATTGACAGTTTGCCAAACGCTAAAAGTAGGGCCGGTCATGAAGGCCGGTCCGCCGTTCATGGTGGAAACTGTATCACCCTATGTAGCCAGACTGTTGAAATGTGGTCCTCTCCGCGATGTTGACAATGGTCATTTGCTGGCTAGAAAAACTAATGAAATTTGAACATTGTAAGCAATCAAAAATTCATCCTGCCACCCGCAACGGGGCTGACAAAGAGACTGAATAAACATATGTAGATTTTCATTCATTTAAACGTTGCAACCCGCTAAGAGTGAGATCAGACCGCATAACTAGATTGAGACAGCCTGAAAGAAGAGAGATCCCCTAAATGGGAGGAAAAAATAGCAACGTGAGACCGAGTAAGTGGAAGAGGAAAATTGGTTGAATTACGACAAATTGAGCGAGTAGAAATTTCAATTTACCTGTTTTTGCCGAAAGTTATTTGCATTTTGAGATAATTGGGGAATAAAATGATTAAAGAGCTCTTTGATTCTATCCGACTGGTGTTTAAGCACAGGTTATAAATAGTTGGATATAGCTCCGTGAACTTTGAGTTCACATTTCGTTTTTTTGGAGTTTTAGACACTTAAGCTTTCAAAATACAGTACATAGTGTCTTTGTAAACTTGCAATGAAAGGCATTATTCTGGCACCGTCTTCGTATGTGCGTGCACTGTCATTTCTCTGAATCCGCAAATGTGCGCGCGAAATAAAACTCCCGCTTGTGACGTCACTAACAGAGGCGACAAGACAACATCCTGCTCGCCTGAAAGATAATAGCATGCTACAACAAAAGCAACATGGTTTCGTAGTAGGCCGTCGATACGCGCTCATAATAATTCGTAAATTATATAGAGCAAGCGCGAAACATGTCGGCCAGTCGTCGCTTGCTAGGTGTTCGTAATGCTTCGTTTGCACCGCAGTTGGGAATTGAAGGTTTGGTAAGTGAATTAACATTTTACGATTGTGTGATACGTCTACAGGCTGACCAAAATGACATTTACACGTTACTGTACATCAGATGAACTTGACTTTCCCGACAACTTTTAAGTGTACGTCTAATAGAGAAATGAAAGTTGCTGAAATGTTTGGGATGACTAGATCTTTTTTTATTGCCGGAGGATCTTGATTGCAACAGCAGGTTTTTAAATTTAGTAGTTGCAGGTCATAATTTGGTAAGTACTTACTTAAGAATGTTATCGAGCAAGTTTCACAACAGCGATCGCAAGATAAATCATATCTTGACCATTTCATTATCTTTGAACGAAATATATTTACTTTCGAGGATTTTTGCCATTTCTTTACATTCCTGTGGAACCACGCAGCGTTCTTACTTTGCTTTACTATCTTGAAATATTCGTTATTTCAATATGAAAGGTTTAATTTAGTTTTCTCTAAATGTCCCTAAACGTGGATTCTGAGGAAATATATCGAAAGATAGTTTTTATACGCTTGAGAGCGAGAGGTATTTCCTTACTGGGTTTTATATTATTATATTTCTGAGATGACAAGAAAGCTATGAATAAAGCAACAGCATATAATAGATTCAGCTATCGCTGAAGCGACATGGGCGGAAAGTTTATAATCCACAACTTCACATTATTGCCAAAATATAAACTATTTTCTTTGTCCTTTGAAGATATACATGAAATATTAGCCCCAAATTCGAATATAAATTGCCTCTTTCAATGCAAGATTTCAAAAAAATTTTGCTGTCGTTTTATGCTTTAAAGTAAATATGTAATCGCATCTGAGATAACAAGAGTTATTCCTATTAAAAATGTAATTTATAGAATTTTTCTCCGATATTGTGTGGTCTGAAATGACAAGAAACTTCTTTTATCACGATTTTATCGAGCGCACTTTTTCTTCGCAAACCAGCAGGGTGCATATACGTCTGTCATAGGAAATGTAAATTCCATTTATGGTTCGCTTCAATCTGCGACCTTCCTGTTTCTTTTGCTGTTGCGTTGTAATATATCCCGCCATTGACACTGTCATGCAGTTTAGAGTTTCGTTGAAACAATATGCGCTGTTTCCCAGCGTTTATTTTTACGCTTTATTTCATCGAACTGGTCACAGTGCTCGTCATTAAGTAACTCTGGGAAAAGTTTATTCAGAGGCTGGCCACGAAGAAGTTAATTTCAAGGAACAGGTGAATTCACTTGATATTTTTAGTAGACCAGCTGCAATTATCTTGATGAAAATTTGCATTTTCCGAATAATTTCCAAAATGGGTCTCAATAAAGGATGAACGTTTTCATAGATCTCTTTTATAAAATCCTTTTATTTCAAATTAGGTCCCGCCTTACAATTTTTCCTATGTATCAGTTTTATCTCGCTTCAAGGATGATGAGGAATCCTTTTTTAGAAAATTTTGTTCTCGCTCGAATACAACTTTTAACCTTGCCTTCCATCGATTTGATGTTTATTGCAACTAAAAGATTTCGAAGCAAAAAGAGTTAAACTTCTCAAGTGTTTTAATACAAGAATGGGGCTAAACTTTTAAATGGGAATCTTCGAACCATCTAGATGTGCGAAGATGTCAATGATTTTATGATGTATGAGTTTTCATCACAATTAGATTGTGTCCAAACTATTCCAAAAAGTGCTTCCAAATTAGTAGTTAATAATTTAATCGCAGGAAGTCAAAAGGCTTATAAGATATCTGGAACACAAAGCACCGGACCCTGCTAAGGTAATTAAGGCAATTTAAGGCCAAAACAAACGAGAATTAAAAAATTCAGTACAAGCTTCAACCGTCCGCACTTTTGAAATATCACCCACAGGCCGGAATGTAAAACAAACTTCACGAAATTATGTCTCGAACTTTTAATTTCAAATAGATGTTACCTAAGTTTTTGAGCACTTGATGATTAAATTCTTGAATGAAACTACGATGTGTTGCCAGCTAGAGGAAGAAATTTCAAATAGTGTCTACTGTGTCGTCCTTTTACTGTAAACATTAACTCTCGAGTAGCATACGGTGTTTATCACATTGTCGACTTTGGTATTTTGGTTTGAAATTTTTAAGTGTGAGGATATCCGAAGTTGCTGACCACTGCTGTTATAAGTTATTCTCTCAGGATATGACGCGATCTCGATCAGTTCACTACAACCATTACAGAAGCCTGTGCCATATACATGTTTCGCAAAAGCGAAGAAAGATTGACAAATTAGTCGAAAGACTTTGAGCGAAAACTTTTACTGTGATACTCTCTTTGAATTTTAAAATCAAAGAGGCAGGTTGTACGTTGCAGACGCATTAATTATTATAAATCACGGGAGGTCTTATTTTGTCTCCTCTTGCAGGTGATGTCTCTCAGTCCCAGCTCAAATTCTCGGCCCCAAGCCCAACTCCATGCCTGCACAATCCGACATGACTCACTATTCAAGGCCGTGTGGGACTGGATTATACTTGCGCTTGTCATATTCACAGCGATAGAGATTCCTTTCTCTGTGGCTTTTCTAATGCCTCTACAAAAAGATAGAGAAGAGGAACTAGAAGAAAAAACAAAAGGAGACTGGAGCTTTCTCAAAGTTACCCCGCTGCTCGTCTTTAACCTCTGTGTGGACCTCATGTTTATTATCGACATTTTCATTAATTTTAGGACAACTTTTATCAAATTAAACACGGATGAAGTCATAAGTAATCCAAAGCAAATTGCTCTCCATTATTTGAAAACCTGGTTTGTGGTGGATTTTGTCGCAGCTATACCTTTTGAATTCATGATCACAACCAAGGTTGATTCGGTAAGTAACAACAATCTTGTGCCTTATTTAATAACCGCTGCCATTGCTGTTTTAATTCTCTTAAGTCGCTAAATCTTTTAAGCGACTAAGTGTCATTTTTCATTTTCATGGCAATGATTACACGTGACATATTAAAAACAACAACTTTACATTTTATCCCAGTTTTCTGGGTTTCGAACGATTATATTCTGAGAAGTCTTTTCTACGACAGACGAAAATTGGGGAAAGAGTAACTAAGAAATAACTGTGTTTTATAAAGTTGGAATTTTCAACGAGTTTTCAATAGAGGTAATACTTCATTTCAATTCATTCAGGCAACAACATTATTTGGACTTCTTAAGACCGCACGTCTATTGCGCCTGGTGAGAGTGGCGCGAAAACTGGACCGCTACTCAGAGTATGGCTTAGCGGTAGTCATATTGCTCACGTGTCTCTTCACCCTAATCGCCCATTGGCTGGCTTGTATCTGGCATGGTATTGGCTACTCAGAGAAAAGGAATGACATGGGATGGATACAAGAGCTAACGAAAAACTTAAACCTGAATAGTAATACAACAGGTCCAGATCTCCAGACTCGCTACATTACCGCTTTGTACTTTACTCTTAGCAGCCTGACAAGTGTTGGATTTGGAAATGTTTCCCCAAACACTGACGCTGAGAAAATATTTTCAGTTTGCGTAATGATAATTGGTGGTAAGACTGCAAGGACCCAACATTCATTTATTTTCAACTAGTTTTGTTGTATAGGTTCAGAAACAGTGATTCATCTTTTTCTGAGTTGAGTGATTCCTATCTTTACCAGTTTTTTCAATCCTTACATATAAACTGATCCTAGAATTGTAAGTGTTGAAGACCACAAAAAAAGAGCAGTTTGCCATTCAGTAGGCTTCCCTAACCCTTGTTTTCTGATTTTTTCTACATTTACCGCTTAAAGTGAAAATTTCGAACGATTATTTCAGTAGTCTGAATTTGCCATCTTCACAGCGGATTGTCCTTTCCACAGCTCTCATGTACGCCTCCATATTTGGTAATCTCACTGCTATCATCCAAAGACTTTACTCGCGTGCGTCCCGTTTTCACCGAGATTTGAGAGTCATCGAGGACTTTGTCCGCTTTTACAAAATACCAAAGGCCACCAAAGAGGAGTTGGACGAGTATTTTAGGCACGAATGGGCTTATACTAAAGGTGTTGACATGGAAACGGTAAGTTAGTTTTTTTCTTGCTCGTCTGCTTGGAAGGTAAACAGGCATGGACAAGCATCTCTTTAATGCGTGTTTATCAAATAGGATGTGTTAACAAGGCAAGACGCTAGAGATCGATGCATTTTGGAGAGAGCGGAACAAAATGAGAGATTATTCAGTCTGGAACACAATTCTAACGGGGCTTAAAGGGATGATGGCGATTATTTATAACATTAATGTCAATGCTCAGTTCTTCTGTACTCTCATATCCCGGTAGTTCGTGAAATGATTTAACCCTTTACTCCCATGAGTGACCGAGACAGAATTTCCTCCTAAAATATCAATACAATATAAAGCAGACAAGTGATGAGAATAAAGAAAAAATATCAGTTAATAATAATAATAATAATAATAATAATAATAATAAGCTTGGTATGAACTAGTGATCAGCATGATAAATAGTATCAATCAAAATCAAAGGACAAACCCTATAAAGAACTAAAGTATGAATTAAAATAACATAAAATATATAGAAAAGCTAATACTTATTTTAAACTACATAAATGATTAGATTTATCGTGTTCTAAAAAATATTCAAAAACTATCGCCTTAAATTTAGATAAAGACTGTATCTCTCGAATGTCCTTTGGTAAAAGATTCCACTCCCTAGCAGCAGTACATTTAAATGACGTTTGACCCATTTTGGTCTTTGTAGCAACAATGTTCAATAAGGTAGAGTCTCTAAAATCTCTGGTATGAAAGGCTGATCTCTTAAGGAGATAGTTCTCTAATTGCTGTGGGCAATTTATGTTATGTATAATCTTAAAAACAAGATTAAGTCTTAGGAATCTACGTCTACTCTCCAATGATAATAAGGAAAGCTTACTACGCATTTCTTGAGAACATGTATCACGATTTGTAGAGAGGATAGTACGCATGGCCTGATTTTGTAACCTTTCTAAACGCTGTGAGTTGTTCTTTCCACAGTCCCCCCATACGATACAGCCAGGGGATTATAAGATAATCCATTACCAAATACTCCACACTAACATCACAAGAACTGTATGGGAGATAGTAAGGAGAATTACTAATGAGATCTTGAGAGTTAAAGGGTTAAATAAAGTTGATGGCCATACTTTTGAAACATAATTAATAATAAATCTTTTATCTCCTCTATCCAGGTACTCAACCGCTTCCCAGAATCCCTTCAAGCTGACGTTTGTCTCCATTTACACAGAAATTTATTCACAGAATGCGGGGCCTTCAAAACCGCTAGCGAAGGCTGTTTGCGGGCTCTTGCGCTGCGGTTCAAGATTCGACATTACCTGCCGGGTCATTTCATCATTAAACAAGGGGACGAAGTGAAGCGACTTTACTTCATAGCCAAAGGGAACATTGAAGTTGTGAAATCTGACGAGACCATGTTAACATTAGGTTGGGTCATTACATATTCACTTTACCTTCTTTTATATGCCCATGAAGTCAAATACACGTACTTCTTAACCAAATGATCTGAACAAGGAATTTTTAAAGGAAAAAGAAATAGATAAGATTCTGCTTACTTTCTGGCAAAGAGGCTACCCCCACTTTCTTTTTCTTTTCACTTTCTTTCAACCAGTCCTTAAAAAGATAGGTAAAACCCATGCAATCTTAAATACAGCAATAACAGAGACAATGGCAATAATGATAACAATTTAGAAGACAGATCGATAAAAATAATAATAATTCTCATTACAACTGTGTCTAGCATCACAGCACCATTCCCTTGCAGTCTTGTTCACTAGAAATGTTTCCCAGTTGCACGCCGCCTAGAAGTAGTTGTTCGTTTTGCACTTACATTGAGGATTTTAATTCAGATTAGGTCTGTTATCACGTTGTTCACTTTGGTAAAAAAAAAAGTCTGGTAGGTGTTCAAATAATTTGTATCTTAACCAACTCATGCAATTTTATTGACAGGCAAGGGTGATGTCATAAGTTGTGATTACAGCACGGTACAGAGTATGTACATCCCAAAGGCTAACGCCAGTCTTCGAGTTCAAACACACTGTGAAATCCATTCTGTTGCCTGGTGCGAGTTAGTTGCAGTTTTAAAGGCTTACTCGTCGTTTCGAGAAGAGTTCATCACACACCTCGAGTTGGCTTACAATCTTGGTCACGAAGAAGAGGTAGGAATGAGCGAAATAAAATGCACACTGCAGACATGCATCTTTCTAAATAGTATTTTGATATACAAATGTGTTTTGGCACATATGTGGAGATCTTTAACGATGTAACTGCTTGAGATTTATTACTGAAAAATTAATTTCTGCATAGGCACATACCCTTAAGGAATATGTAAGGGACTGGCAGGCAGCTTTGAGTTGGTAATCATATCACATTCTCAGATCGCTTTTTAAGAAAGCTTTGTTGAAGTTGACTGACAATCACAAAGTTTATTGCTGCTTTGTCTTTAAAAAAATTCAGTCATTTTATCTTTTTATTTAACAGAAAAAGTTGCGTAAAGTTGTTTTATATTTTCTTCGCAGGAAGATGAAATTATCCTTTATAATGAAGAGATAAACCTAGGGTCTCGCAGACTATCAAACGCCAGATCAACATTTTCGTCGCGCTCAGGAGTTGATAAACTTGAACGAACAGGCTCACCAACTTTTATGATAAATGGCCGAATATCTCAACACCAAAATTCACCTGTTGTCAATTTACATTCTCGCCATCCTGCGGGAGGAAGTGAGCCCAAAATTCACACTCTTATGCCATCAATCCATTCCACTCTTCCATCATTACACTCGCATTTAACTTCAACTCGAGATCACTGTACGCACGGAAGAGAACTTAAAGTTCTCGAACAGCGGATTGATAAAATGGAAGCACGGTTGATAGCTATGGAAGACCGACTGACCGCAAATTTTGAGACAATTTTATCTCACTTACGAAGCAACGGCAGTGGTGGCTCCGCACCTGATCTTAGAGACACAAACGTTTGACGGGCTAATGAGTGATGATTTGGTCACGTGATCCATTTACGCAATTTTCAAGATCAACGAAGTGCCTTGCTTATTGAGGTTATTGGCGCTGTTGTAAATAAAGTGAAAATGGTGATCATATCTAGTTGTATAAAGCTTTAAAAGCTAACGAGAGACATTTATCGGGGCGTGAGACATTTATCGAGGCATGTGTACATTGTATAAACAATTCCGCATGCCACGAGTACAGCCCTTAAAATTGAGTCAAACAACGTGTCAATCCAAGGATGACAAAAAATAAATTCATTTTGTAGCAGGACGTGTATCCATAGAGTAAATTGTTTAAGGAGAAATTTATTCCTTCTTACTCTATTTACAACTTCTTTTCACTCTCACAACGGTTTGGACATCGCTAAAGGTGGCAGTATGGTGCATGCGTGTTGTATATGAAGATAATAATAGTCAGGCCCATTATAGAGGTCTCTGTGGCTCATTGACAGAGAATCAGGGCTCAGAATCCAAACTCCAATGGACAGATTCCTTGTTGAGGACCCTGTGACTGTTTATGACCGAGTTTAAAGTTGCCATCTTTATTGTTCTTGTAGCTTGCTCATTTTGTACAGAGTTAATGTAAATTAAGCTATACCATTCTGTTCTTGAATTTACTATGCTGCAATGCCTTCATCGGTTTTTTACTTCGTATGTTGGAGCTGTTAACCAGTATTCCTGATTGTAAAATTATTTTTATCGCATAAAAAAACTCGTTCAGCTTTAATCAATTACATTGAAGCCTCTAACAACCGAAAGTTAACCATTGAAAATATGTTTGACGACAGACCATTACGGCTTTCATTAAGTTGTTCACGTTACTTAACACACTTTTAGCGCATTTCAAAGTTTTCACCTGATCTAACTGGTAATGATGCTATTATTGTGAGTGACACTACTTCAGCTCAGTGGAGAACATAAACTTTTCAAATGAAACTCTTTTGGTTAAAAAAAAAACCCCAATATATTCATTTCCGTGGGTTTATTTATACTGATTTTGAGAACAAATCTATTTGAATACTTTTTCACAAGTTTTTTGTCAGGCAAGATAGATAAATAAATACATAATCTAGAAACTGATAAATGGTAAACAGGATTTGTAATTAAAAAATGTTTCTTAAAAGTATTAAATTAAAAGATTTGTTGACGAATATGATCTCTCGTCAGAACGTTTATTTTGTCTGTAGCATTTTCACGCGCGCGCGCTTGTCTTCGTTATCTCCCTATCGCGCGTTCTGATCACGTTAGTGTAAACTTGCATCTTACGAGTTCGTTATTTTTCTTTCGAAAAAATACCGAAGACATCTGTTTCGAAAGCTTTTCCAGGAAAAAAAGATCCCAGAGTTCCGGTAAGAGAGACATCTGACTTTATTGTTCCTGTATTGTTGTTTTCCCATTTGAACTTGTTTCGATCGGTAGAACGAAAACTTGCGTGAAGAGCAAAGACATATGCTATCCTCAAAAAGCTTTCCTCTCATTTGAATTGGTGAGTGGCGATAGTCTGTTACTTTTATAACATTTTCTTTTGCTATGCATTTATCGAGTCGTATCGAAAGTCTTCGGTGTTTCAGTAAACATTGTCGGACGTGACGAAGACAAGTATAGTTTTCATGAAAGTATGTTCCCAAAATTTAACAAGCCAATGCAGTATGACGTCAGTATTGTAGATTTAACACCCGTTCTCATTTCTAACTCAATACAGCAAAGGGGATCTATGCTAAAACAACGATCATGAGATCTGGGGTAGGTATATACACGTGTCCTGTCTTAACTAGTTGCTTTGGCTGAGCTCTACCTGCACAAACATTCTAAGCTGAAGAAAACAAAAGTAGCCTTAGCTTTTGTTGTGAAGTCGGAAAGAAAATGAATCCCAGCTGGCAATACAAAAGTGCGCAATTCTCATCATAGGAAGCCGTATATATGTTTAGTAAAAAGTACCAAGTTAAAGAACCATTCAGACTTAATCTTATTGCTTCTTGGCTGCCTCCAGTATCTAAACATACTTATGCTTTTTTGTCACCACAGAGAATATACAGCAAGTCATACGAGGCTAATAACTCACCTTACAAAAACAAAACGTGCCTGATACGTCATGATTCCCTCTTCAAGGCCGTGTGGGACTGGGTCATCCTTTTTTTTGTCATTTACACCACAATTGAGATCCCTTTCGATGTAACGTTCCTGAGACCGAGTCAGACTGGTGCTAGTACCTCTCGTTTTGGCGCCTTAATGGCTCTCTCCCCGATAGTAGCCACGAACGTTTTCGCAGATTTTCTCTTTATAATCGATATTCCGATCAATTTTCGAAGTGCATCTATCAAAAGGCATTCCGAAGCGATTATTAGTGACCCCAAAGAGATCGCAGTTCTTTACCTCAAGTCATGGTTTATTGTGGATTTTGTGTCAGCTATTCCGTTCGAGTTCTTAGTTGATCCTCAGCAGGAGGGGGTGAGTAAATCTTTGATCAACACATAGTCCATAGTTCGTCAGGTAATGACGCCATGTAGTTAGATTCTCATCACAGCGTCTATAACTGAAACAACTTGCAGCAAGTAACACCGAGTAATTGGCAATTTGTAGGTTTTCTTTGATATTTGATAATTTCCCAGTGTTTATTTCACTTCTTATTAAAAAATAAGTCCTTGTTCATATCTATGGAAAGCGAAATTATTTATTGTAATATTTGTTCCAGGCCACCACACTCATGGGTTTGTTAAAGACCGCGCGGCTCTTGCGCCTGGTGCGGGTGACGCGAAAATTGGACCGTTATTCAGAGTATGGTTTAGCTGTCATTCTGCTGCTCACATGTCTGTTCATGCTTGTTGCTCATTGGCTAGCTTGTATATGGCATGCTATTGGAGCGTCTGAGGCACAAAGTGAAATTGGCTGGCTAGCTTTACTGGCCAAAAACACCAACAAACCAATAAATCAGTCTATTCCAACAAGTGGACCAAGCCTTAAGACTAGGTACCTCACTTCTCTATATTTTACTCTGAGCAGTTTAACCAGTGTGGGGTTTGGAAACGTTGCTCCAACTACGAACAATGAGAGGATTTTTTCCATCATCGTGATGCTTATGGGAGGTGAGCGATTTTGACTATACTATGCGGTTACGGGTTTTTTTTTCCATGTGTCCACCACTAGCATCATTAAATCTATTCGCTTTCAAGACGATGACTCGCTGATGATGAGAGTCCCTTTAAAACAGGGTTTAGACACTGTTGATGGAATTTTTGATAGAAGATTACTTTATTTTATTACATTAAGCCCTGATGTACGCCTCCATATTTGGTAATTTGACGGTGATTATCCAGAGGTTGTACCTTCAGAATTTTAAGCAGCACGAAGGCCTTCGACTCGTCCGGAACTTTGTGCGCTTCTACGAGATACCACAAGCTCTGCGGGAAGATCTTGAGAAGCACGTGATAAATGACGCTTGTGCAATGACAATGTCGGATATCAATGAGGTAAGTTTTTCAATTACTTTTATTTGACTCACATTTCTCCCACCTTCCCTCCAAAGCGGTTCCTTCATTTTAAGTAGGCGATTCCACATTATCATTGCCTTCTTGCTTTTAAAATAAGTTTGAAAACTTTCGCATTCTAAACGAGTATGGATAAAGGATGTTTTACAATTTTCTGCGGAGTGGAGCTTTAAGGACTTATTATGCACGTAGATAATTATATCCTGATATCATGAGATAATAATGTCGTGCTGATATACAGTTTGTTCATCTTTGCCGAAGGTACTGAGCTTGTTCCCAGACAGTCTCCAAAATGACATCTGTCTTCATATCCATGGTAAACTGTTCAAGGAGAATTCTGCCTTCCGCGCTGCCGTTCTTAGCTGTAAGCGTTCGCTCGCCTCAAAGTTGAAGATTCAGCATTTTTTACCACGTCAGTACGTCATCAAACAAGGAGATGAGATGAACAAGGTTTTTTTTGTCGTAAAAGGAATTGTTCACGTGACGCTGGATGAGAAGATAATTCTTGCCCTTGGTAAGGAAATTTAAGAGCTGTGTACTTGGCGTGAGTGGACCATATTGTCAGTTCAAATATCTTCCTTGCAAACTGTTTCGAAATCAGTTATATGGGCATTCAGGGATTATACAACTTGAACAAAATCTACGTGGCACATTGTTATATCCTCTTTTTAAATCTAGTTGTGTCAGCATATACCCCAAGCCGCGTACGTAATTTATTGATTTAAGTCTTTTTATACCTAGGGAGGGGTGATACAATCTACAGCGAAGACAAATCCTCAGAAATCAAAGCACGGGCTGTTGCCAATGTGATCGTACAGGCCCCCTCTGACATTCATTACATCGAATGGAGCGATCTGACAGCCATTTTCAAAATGTATCCTGTATTTAGAGAAGACTTCTTGGCAAGGATGGTCTTTGCATATCAAATTGGACATCACAAGAAAGTGTGTTTAATTTAAATGTGATGGGGCATTTAATGGCTCCATTAACTAAAACTTTCCGTGCATAGTACACGCTTTCCTTCAAGGGACGTCTGTTTAGTATAATTTTCGCACTTAACCGGGAGAGGGCGGGGTAAATTGTACTTATTCTTATTCCTAAGCGGACAGAGGCTCTGTCAGAGTGAAGAGTCTTCCGCAAGAATACAACACAGTACGCAATTAAAACTGAAAAAATTTAAATTCAAAGTTCGCTTGTAAAGAATACCGACAGGATACAATTAGTGCTCATTAATGTGCTTTAAGGAGCCTTAAGGACACATAGATATATATTTAGAAGAAATTATACCCTGAATTGTTCAACGCACCCATGTGAACAATTTTACACTGAGGGGAAAAGCTTGAGGGTGACACTGGTCTCTATGATAATATCTATAGTCATACGATTCAAAACTCGGAAACATCACTGTAATCGGACGAAAACAAATTGACAATCCACAAGTTATGAATCACAACTCATTGAGGAAGAAAACAGAGGTCGGGAGAGAATTTTCTGTTCAGCCTCTGAGGAATTGCTCCTTATTGTGTTTTCCAGGAGGAGGAAGAGGTAGAACTGTTCGAAGACTTCGGAGAAGGATCTTCAAGGAGACTGGAACCCAGTGCAGAAACATATCCTAAGACAGATGTAGAATCTCCAAATCCGAAGGAAGACATGAGTAGTCTAATGGTTCGACCGTCTCCAAGTTCAAATGAAGTGAAAGATGTTCAAGAAAACTTGAAGGTCATCGACCAAAGACTCTTACATATGGAAAGACAGCTGTCAATAGTAATACCTCTGCTGAACAAGATATCAGAAGTAAAGAGGGGTGGTACGGGAAATAAACTACTAGGCGCAGGGGGGGAGGAATGAAAATAATACTTTGTTTAATTTGTCAGTCACATTTTCACTCCGTCAAAGTAACCGGCTCATGGAGTTAGGCATGAAGACGCTCCCAAGACCCATATTCCATAACTTAACGTGGTCGTGCTGGTGATGTAGTCCTAAAAGATGAATAAAAGATGAATACTGCGTACTTTTCTATTGCAAATGTGTCTCCATCTTTCCTCAAATGGTTCTCATTACAGTAAGAGCTTCACTTTTCCTAATCCCATTGAATCATTTCCCACTACAGAACTCTTCCCCAATGTGGCTGTGGTGTTTGAAATGTCTCTAAAGTGCGTTTCATCTCCTTGTTTGATTACGTGCTGACGTGGTAAAAAATGCTGAATCTTCAACTTTGAGGCGAGCGAACGCTTACAGCTAAGAACGGCAGCGCGGAAGGCAGAATTCTCCTTGAACAGTTTACCATGGATATGAAGACAGATGTCATTTTGGAGACTGTCTGGGAACAAGCTCAGTACCTTCGGCAAAGATGAACAAGAGTGCGAAGGGAAAAGCAACGGAAGCCATGGGTAGCCGGTGCAGGCATATTCCGCTCTGTTCCTTACGTTTCTAAAGGAGGCATTCCCACCAGAACCACCGAAAAAACTGAAATTACACAATTAATTGAGAGTTTTTCGAACAAAGTAAATTTTCGTCCGCAAAGAGCACCTTTTCAAAGAAATCCACGTGACCGGAAGTTGAAAAGGGTGCAAATTCCAAACAGTGTTGTTTATTTCAAATATG